CATGATCAAGGTGATCCTCTGAAGAGTCCTGACCCTCCCTCTAGCCCTGGTGTGAAGCACAACTAGAGTCTGATGGGAAGGATGGAGGACAGAGCCATGCCTTACCAACTTCTCTTCCCAGCTGCTCTCTGCTCTTCAAAGACCCCATTATTATCCTCCTGGGACTAGCAGAGACTCCATCTGATGTTACCAGCCAGGGTCTGGGTGAGGGAGAGCCACTGGAAGATGAGATCAATTTCTTTTTGACCACGTCGCTATCATAATCCCTTTTGCTTGTAGGCAGTGAAGGGCTTTGTCACTGCAGTAAGAGAACAGATGTTCTAGACCTCAGCTGTCATTGTTACATGAGAGCTGTGCCAGCTCTGGGACACCTGGCCATCTTCCACATCCTCACTTCTTTCTTAGCAGGTTAAGGATGTGGTGGGGGCGGGGTGGGGGGGACATGGGAACTGCCTGACCTATACTGGGCCACCAGGCCAAAGGAGCGCCTTATTCCCACATCTTCTTTCCAGCTCCCTTGGTCCCCTATTTTTAATCTACAAAGCAGATTTGCGCTCCACAGAAATCTGGGCAGCCGACTGGCATTCTCTTAGTTTCCTTGTCCCCATCCCAACCCTGTCTTCATTCGGGAAAGGTCCTGCAGGGTCTATTTGCTAAACAAAGGCCATCTGGTCCATGGGATCAAGTATGTCACTAAGGGGACAGCAGCACTGCAGACACAGACGGAACTCTCTCTTCCTAAGGGGCAGAAGTTAAGAACGTTGTTTCTCGCATTTGAGGGCATAGTACTTAGTAGAGACGGGAGTTATTTAATTAAAACAGAGCAAACTTTTTCACTGCCAGGTTTGGGAAATGTACCCACTGAGAGATTTCAAAAGCAGTCAGTCACGTTTGGGGTGATTTTTTATATGTAATGTAACATGTGGTGTGAAATGTAATGTATTTGTAGTGTGTGTGTGTGTGTGTGTGTGTGTGTGTAGAGAGAGAGAGAAAGAACAAGAACAAAATTAACTCATAAGATAAGGCTAATAGGATTTGGTTCAGCAAGCACAGTCAGTTTGCACACAAAATGCTTGGAGGAGCAGAGATAGATTCTTTCCATTTTCGACATTTCTGACAAATGCCAGAAAGAGAAGGTGCTAAGGTGGGGTTTGCACCTTGACTCACTGGCTTTGCTCCACTCATTACTATGAAGCCTTTAAGCAAAAAACCAGATCCATGTGCTCACAAATGGAAAAAAATGTTGAAAAAGCACGTTGCCGACCGCGGGCATGGCTCTCAGACCACAGAACATAAACGAGCCAGAAAGGGAGCTGTTCTTTGATGTGGCTTTTCATCTCCAGCCCTTGCTCTGGCAGGTGGTGGAAAACTATATCCTGCCAACTCCAGGCAAGCCTGATCGCTTCAGGTTTCTCTCAGAGAATTCCGGTCAATCAGGGCATTTGCGCTCTCCTCCCCTGGCCTCCCCAGAGAGAAGACTTGGGTCTCTGGAGGCCTCCCTCGTGCCACAGCCAAGAATGCAGGTCCCCTCTCCTCCCAAACGCTCAGATTTGTTTTGAAGGGTCAGATATCCCACCAACCAGAGCGGGGACAGCTGGTTCTCCTCCAATATCCATTGTCACCACTTCCTTGGTAATGAAACCCCAGTTTTATGTGAGGTCCACATGCCCCTTGGTTTCCTGTTCTCTCTAGATGTGCTGCTGGCTGGTGAGACACAGGGCCTAAAGGAAGATTGTCCTTGTCCCCCGTCTCCTGTGATGCATATACCCGAGGTAAGGGTGGCTGTAACCAGTGATTTCCAGAAGCCACCTGGGGAGGGAAGTCCTGCCCAGCACAGCAGTGAACCAGCGGCATCGGCCCTGCTCTGTGCCACACCACCAGCTCTGGGCGCCGTCCTCCAACTTCTTAAACGTGAGAAAGAAATAAACTATCTTGTCAAAGACCTTGATATTTGGAAGATTCTGGTAACTCAGAGGCAAACTTAAGCCAGACTTCACCACCTTGGGAGCCAGTGCAGAATAGGGGGACCAGACCCCAGAACATGTTCTCAGAGACCAGCACCTAGCCCTTCAGGTTTTCTCTCCATGGCCCTGCGGGCCCAGAGCACTGTTGTCTCTTCCCCTGATGGGTGAGAGATGCCTTCTGCCCTGTCCTGAATCTCCACCAGCCCGAGCAGACAACCTAGGTGCCAAGACCTGCATCTTTTGCTTTCTGGCTTTACTGTGACAGCTCAGCATGGGGCGATAGCTGCTGTTCATGGCGGCCAGAGTTGGGGTGCAGAAGGGGAGTGGGGGCAAATGCACATCCTTCATGCTCCCAGACTGGGCTTGCCCGGTATTCCCAATATTCCCCGCCGTTCGGGTATCGAGAGGCAAGATGGAGACTCAGCCCGCTCTCAGCAGCGCCCCCGTGTGAGGTCAGGTGGGGAGTGAGCACCTGATCCTCCCTCCATATGATTCTGCCAGATGGTGGGTTTTGAAGTGATTTTCTTTGTGTGTGTATGTTTCTTGGTGTTTTTAAGTTTTAAAAATCAAGAGGCAGGAGTCAGGAAAGGTGCAGTTTGGGAATTGTGGAGAACTTCCACAGCCCTCGCCAATGGGGTCCAGAAGATCTAAAGTCAAGGCCCAGTTCCTTGCTTTATTAGCACAAGCCACTTACCATCTCTGAATTTAGCTTTCTCAATTTTGAAATGCAGATAATAATATCAGCTTTAAAATGTTGCCATGGGGCACCTGGGTGGTGTCCGACTCTTGCTCTCAGCTCGGGTCGTGATCTCGTGGGTCTTGGGATCAAGCCCTGCGTCAGGATGCTTGCTCAGTGGGGAGTCTGCTTGAGATTCTTGCTCCCTCTCCCTCTGCCTCCCACCAAATAAATCTTAAAAAATAAAAATACAATAAATAAAATGTTATTGCCGTGACTGAATGAGCTCCCGTCTGTGAATGCATTTATAAATGACCTTTTGAAAGGTGTCTTTGTACGAATCCTAACCCCACGTCTCTGATTTGCTCTGGCGACATCTGAGAACATCAGGCATTCAACCTTCACCTTCACAGAGGACATAGAGGTGCAGCAGACACTAGGACACAACCAGGCACAGGGAGGGAGCTGGTCGGATGGCTCTGTTTCCTCTCCAGCTAGAGACAATTGACTCCCATGTACGTTACAGATGCAGGGTCCATGTTACATGGAGCCTGACGTGATGTCCCCAGGTGATGCTCTTCAGCTTTCCATATCCTTCTCACCACATCCTCAGAGCCACCTGGAGTTGGGCGCCAGGAGGACACAGAGGCTCGGACAGTTAAAGAGCTTGCTTCCATCCATAAAATCAGCAGATGGTGGAGGAGATGCGGGAACCACTTCTGGGTCATAGCAGAGTCCGGGCTCTTCCCATGACTTCATGTCGCCTCACTAAGGCGCCATGTCCTAGGCGCAAGGCTGGAAGTGGGGCTTCCTGCCTTGCCATCACACCCACCCCTCTTGGGCAGTGTCCCAAGACCCCCAGTCCTCACTTGCTTTTACGTAATGAGTGGCCCCATCCCCATCACTCGAGGACCAATGTGTGGTTGCCCTTCTTCCGTCTTCCCTTCTGCCATCTCAGTGATTGGCCTTCAAGACCCACAGTATGAAATCTCTAAAGGTTACATGTTGGGCACTGAAGACATGTTTGGGGCAGGGCTGCAGAGGTGATTTTCCAGATCCTCCTCATGTCCCTCCATCTGCTGAGAAGCTCAGCTGCCTTGTTCCTCCACGCCCACCAGCACAACCTGACTCACCTCCCAGGGCGCTCCTGGGAGTTCCTGGTTGGGCCATTGGAAGTGTATCCTGCCTGCAGCTGTCTGCAGGCTTTTCTGAGAGCCCAGGATGACCGAGGCACACACAGCAGGCGCTCATCACATGTTTGCTGAACTCATATTACCCCATAACCTTGCCCCCCAGAGGAGGAGCCCAGAGGCCTCACTCCATGTCCTCACATGGTCCTTAGATGTCCTGACACTTGTGTCACACCTTCCCAGCTCTCCCAGTACTTAAACATCACCTGTCTCTGTGACCTACTTCTCTCTGCCTTCACACTACCTGACAAACCCCCCCTCCACCCTCACTCCGTCTGGATTGACGGTGGCTCCATTGTGGCAACACGGAGGACGGCGAGGAGGAAAGGACAGCCTGTGCCTCTCCCTGACAAGACAGGCAACATTTAAATACACTTTCTGTAGGTGGGCTCCACTTAAAACCTGGTCACGAGGACCAAGACTCCCCGCCCCCCACCACTCCCAGGAGAGCAGATGAACACACATGCCTGAGGAGGAGGCTCCCCAGCGCCCCCCACCGCCCCCCCACACACACTCTCTCTTCTTTATCTAAAGCCTCCTCAGAAGTTTCATCAGAGGCTAAGAAAGATCAGAGAGGACATGTAAGAAAACAATTTGAAGTCCACAGTTTACACATTTGTTACCAGTGAAGAGTATATATGTTATGGTCGGAAAGATAAGATATTGGGGAAGGGACTTGCTGGAGAGAAACAGAAATGAAGCACTGGTCCCCTCCACGTATCCAGATGGGTTTTAAAATAGAATTCAGAAGACATGGCTTCAACATGGCTTCAACATGGCTTCCCTTCCCTTCCTTTCCCTTCCCTTCCGTTCCTGTCAAGTGCAAAGCTTCAGGTTCCAAGTAACCAATGTCCATTCTCAAAGGAAGACCAAATGCTGCTTATACCTGACCGCCATGGTTTCATGTCCTGGAGACCATCACTGAGCTTAGCCCATTAGGCCAGAAGTGTTTGTAACACAAGCACCTGTCTTTCACCTGCCTTTTTTCGCCTGGCCTCCCATTCACATTAGAAACTTTGTTTCCCAATGTGCTCTGGAGGCTGGTTTTCATGTTGTTTGGTTTATCTCACAGGTAAAGAAATTTTAATATAAACCTTCTGGTTTACTCTAGGAACAAAATCACTTCTTGGACCAGAACAGGAACCATTTATAACTCATAGTACACCGAACTCCTTTTGATGTATTTACTAGAATATTTTGCAGTTGGCATAGGAGTTAAACTTCTAGAATCACCAACAAGAACAAAAACCAAGAGTGAAATAAAATACAATATTCCTGGAGCAAAGGGGACAAAAACTGCTTCCTAAAAAGGTTACAGTTCTTCTAGCCTTCAGAGAAGGATCATATTTCCAACACAATTCGGGTACCATTTGTAGGAAGTGCCGCCATATTTGAAAACAAAGTGCCCTTCAAGAAGGCAACATATTAAAATACTTTTGCCAAGATAGATACTACAGATACAATGACATTTGTTTTCAAATAGTGAATAAAACAACACTGCCTTTAGGAAACCAGTGACAGAGGCCTCTTTTATAGTAATATTTAAATTCTATTGGATCTTCCAAATATTTCAGATAATTAAGTAACTGGTAACCACCGACAGTTCTCACCAGGAAAAGTAAGTAGATAAAAGATAGGGCTTTGGGAGATTTCAAAGAAAGAAAATAAAGCAAAGCACATTTAGTGTTCTTTAGGCTTTGGTTTAGGGGCAGGCAAGTGTGAGGAAGAGCACAGAGAAATCAGGGTTTCTTTTCTTCAGATGAAAACCCCATCTTCCTCTCTGCCACTCAGTTCCCATGAAGCATCTCTCTCAGGTGCCAGCACGTTCCGATGTTTGGATCTGAAGGTAAATCGTGTTTTCTTTGGGCTTTGCTATCCTGTAGCAGCCAAAAATAAAAGTGAAAGTTAAAATAAACAGTCAATGTTTTGATTAAGAAACTATTGCAGGGCTCCTGGGGGGCTCAGTTGGTTAAGTGTCTGACTCTTGGTTTCAGCTCAGGTCATGATCTCAGGGTCGTGGGATCAGGTCCCATGTTGGGCTCGTGCTCAGTTCGGAGTCTGCTTAAGACTCTTTCTCCCTCTGTCCCTTCCCCCTGCTCTCTCTGTCAAATAAATAAATCTTTAAAAAAAGAAAGAGACAGAGAGAGAAGGAAAGAAGGAAAAAACTATTGCCAAAAAAGAAAGAGGGAAAGAAAAGAAAGAAGAAACTATTGCGAAGTTGTCTGTGGGAATAAATATCAAAACAAAAGGTGAAAATGAGATTAGCAAGCAACAGAGGCCAGCAGAGGGCGGTCTCAAGAATGAGCAGGTGTCTATGGACAAATTGTACTGAAATGGCTTAAAATCTGCTAATCAACATTAGCTCTCTGTGTTTACAGTTAAAATAGAATGTTTGTTCCTTATCAGTACTGAGACACCCAGAATTTCTCAAAGTCAGGTTTAGTTAGCACTTAAATGCTCTTGGTTGGCAGAGTTTATTAAAAGCACAGATTTCCTGGGTCCCACCCTTCATTTACTAAGTCAAAAACCTTAGAAGATGGCCCAGGAATCTGCATTTCAGTAAACTTCTTTTTTGGTGATTCTTCTGCATACCTAGTTTTGAGACCCACCAAGGAGTTCACACAAGATGCGAGAAGAATGGAGAAAATCTCAGACTTATTGAGCATCTACTGTGTGCCAGGCGATCGCTTGGTCATCTACTTTATCTTAAAGTAATAAAATGTCATCTACTTTATCTTCAATAAAAGATAAAATGTCACCTACTTTACCTTGCTGCATTTTCCCAGCAACCCTCCAAACTGAGTACTAATGTAGCTCTTTCTCAGGCAAGGAAGTTCACTCTCTGTGAGTTTCAGCAACATCCCCAAAGTCACATGGACACATGGATGACTGGATTTGAGTCCACGTCTCTCTGACGCCACAGACCATTGTCTCTCCTCATCACAGGGACACATGTGTCTTTCCTATGGAATCCACAGAATGAGTCTGGAGGGGGAGCTAAGTGGCCACCTCCTCGAGCACTGTTTTTTCCTTTTCTTTCTTACCACTTTAAGAGTAGCATCTGAGGGGCAGTCCGTTAAGTGTCCGACTCTTGCTTTCAGCTCAGGACGGGAGCTCAAGGTCATGGGATCCAGCTCCCGTTGGGCTGCGTGCTCAGCAGAGAGTCTGCTGGAGCTTCTCTGCTTCTCCCTCTGGCCCTTATCCCCCATACTCACTCTCACTCTATCTATATCTCTAACTCAAAAAACAAAAAATGAAAAGAGAAGCATCTGAGGCTCCATTAAAGCACTTGTCCATGGTACAGGAATGAATGTTTTAAATTGTTCTCCTTTGTAAAGAGAGTCACTAAAGAGCCTGAACCAACAATTGTTGAAAGGACAGAAGATGGATTTAAAAAACGTTCCCAACACAGAGCAGTTCACTCCAGGGATGAGCTAGGGACTCAGTCCTCGGTCAGTCAGCATCTCAGACACAGATTCTCCATCCCACAGTTTAGAACAGATAACCGACCACTAAAAACACGTAATTGTGCTCTCCAGTCTCTCCTTACCCAAAGCCACTGGTTGGTTGTTTTTCTCTCCAGCAACTCTAGGAGTAATAAAAAACGCACACCATACCTGCAAAGCTCCTACACCCTTAAGACCAAGAGAGGACATGGAGGCACATGGCCCTGAGTCCCTGAGCACCATGTGCTTACCTCCCGAGGTTCTCCGCATCCTCGATGGTCTCTGGCAAGGTGACACCTTTGGTCTCAGGAAGAAGCAACGTCATTCCCCCGGCAACCAGGCCCAACAGCGCTTCAAAGGAAACAGAGTTCACATAGAGCCCTTAGAACACAGCCAATGGCATTCCGAGGGATGCCAGCCGCTAACTAAAGGTTAACCAGGTAATGAACCTGGTTTTTAGAAGTCAGGAGCATCTCGGGAAAAAGTTGAACAATAGGATTATTGGGAAAATGTCAGAGTAAGAATAAGGAATATTGCCTTCATTTTACTTCTACGTAAATTCTACCACAACTGATGTTTAAGTATTAGGGAATTTATTTATTATTATACATAATATGTATTATATTGATTATAGCTACTGTATATAAAACTATACATACTAATTATATTATAATGTATTATTTTTATATATAATACATATTATAGCTACTATAAACTATAAAATATACTATAGTTTCTATATGTTAATATTATATTACTATATATGATATGAAGCATAAAGAATATATTTTGGGGGTCGCCTGGGTGGCTCAGTGGGTTAAGCCTCTGCCTTTCGCTCAGGTCATGATCCCAGGGTCCTGGGATCGAGCCCCACATCGGGCTCTCCGCTCAACGGGGAGCCTGCTTCCCCCTCTCTCTGCCTACCTGTGATCTCTGTCTATCAAATAAATAAATAAAATCTTTTAAAAAAAAGAATATATTTTGGTCAGGGTGGGCCACTCTTGTTTCTCCCTCCCCTATCCTCCTCCCTTCTTTCCTCCCCTATCCTTATTTCTCTCCCCTCTCTCCTCCCACTCCTTGGTGGGTCTGCCTGGGGCGCAGACACAGCAGCTCTCTGCACACAGACAGCAGTTTTGCCTTCTGCCAAACAGGTAAGCTGGGTCTTGGAAGACCCAAGGTCTTAGTCTGGGGAGGAGGAAAAGTGTTCTCCTCCTGCTCTAATCCAACATTATCACTAACAAAGCTAATGCCTCCTTGTGTCTATTCTCAATTGTTAAGCAAAAGAAGGGTGACAATTTAGCATCTTCAAGCCTCCCACAATTACATGTTATATGCACAAAAATTGGGAGTCAAATTCATAAGAAAGCGGGAGGCTATATCAAGATGCCTCCCAAATTTTGTCCTATGGGATGAATTATTGGACTCTAGAACCTTAAGATGTAACATCTGGCCTGCCTTCTGGGAATGGCATCTTATCTTTCCCATGAAACAAGACAGAGTGAGTCAGGAGACAACAGAAGGGCAGGCACCGTCCTTGTCTCCTATAAACTCACCAGAGGATATCGTTCACTGGTCAAAGAGGTCTTAAGCAATCATGCTGGGCTGGAAGGAAAGAATAATGAATAACCCATGAAGTCTTACCAAACAAAATGAGTGGCAAGCCTTGCCAAACCTCCATCAGCCTGAAGACCAGGAAGGGGGTGATGATTCCACCCAGATCACACAGGGAGGAACACACCATCACTCCAAGATTCCTGATAAAATACAGAGAACAAAAAGGATGATATGTCTGTGATTCAACTTTCCAGATGTTAACCTTATCCTAGAGCAAGAGCAGGGAGGGGAGAGAGGCTGGAGATAGAGTTAATCACCAATGACCAATGATTTTTATTTAATTAGTCATGCCTATGTAAGAGAGCATCCATAGAAACCCCAAACTATAGGTTCAGAGAGCTTCTGGGTTGGTGAAAATACCCATGTGTTGGGAGGGTAGCCCACTCCAAGTCTATGGGGACAGAATCTCCCATGAGGGACAAAAGGTCCTCCTGTGCTCAGGAGACCTTTCCAAACCTCACCCTAAGTACCTCTGCATCTGGCTGTTCATTTATAGACTTTGTTATGTCCCTTAGGATAATAAACCAGTAAATGTAATTAAGTATTTCTCTGAGTTCTGTGAAACATGATAGCAAATTATTGAACTTGAAGAGCAGGGTATGGGAATCCTGATTTATACCAGTGAGTCAGAAGTGCAGGTGACAGCCTGAGACAGCCATAACCTACATCAAATGTGGGGCTCAAATTCAGGACTCTGAGAGGTGGGGGGGGCAGTCTTGTGGGGCTAGGACCTTAACTTGTGGGGTCTGCTCTTAACAGTTAACCAGGGGGTTAACGTCAGAATTGAATAGGATACCCCAGTGGTGTCTGGAGACTTGGAGAATTGGTTGGTGTGAGTAGAGTTCTTTTTTCACATGAAGAGATAGGGAAGGGTAGCGAGAAGGTATTGAGAAATAGAGAACAAAGAAAGCTAGAGGGGGGAGTAGAGAAAAGATCTACCTGGAAGGATCCCCTCTATCCCTTGTAATAGTCTTTACTCTGACACGCACTCTGCCTTCTGTGAAGATGGTCACTTCTGATTAGTGTTTGCATGGAATGTGCTTTTCCATCCCTTTACTCTTAAACAATCTCCACCACTATATTTTTTTAAGATTTTTTATTTATTTATTTGATAGACAGAGATCACAAGTAGGCAGAGAGGCAGGCAGAGAGAGAGGAAGGGAAGCAGGCTCCCCGCTGAGCAGAGAGCCTGACGTGGGGCTCAATCCCAGGACCCTGGGATCACGACCCGAGCTGAAGGCTTCAACCCACTGAGCCACCCAGGCGCCCCGCCACTATATTTAGAGTGAGTTTCTTGTAAGCAGTACACAGTTGGGTCTTACTTTCTTGTCGTGTCTGACAATCTTCGCCTTCTAACTGGGGTGTTTAGAACATTCATATTTCTTGTGACTATTGATAAATTTTACATTGTTTCGTGCTAGATATTTTTGTATTCCTACAAATAATCTTGACTTTGTTTTAAAAATATGGTGAAATTAGGAACAATAAACTGGGAAAAGCTTTATTCTTTAGTACATTACTTTTAAGTCTCCATTATGCTCATTTGCATAATCTCTTTCTCCCTACAATTGTAATTATAAAAGTAGTGCATTGCATTTCCTTTCCAAACCCCCACCACTACCTCATCTTCGTTGGTTATCATTTCTTAGTGTTTGCCATTATATTTTTAAATATATTTGTAACTTACTTTATCAGTGTTTAATGATATGTTTTTTCTTAGCTGGAAATAGAGGAAATTATATGCAAAATTATCTATCCCTGTTTTATGGAAAGATTGTAATAACAACAGCAGATGTTGAATTTTATTAAATGCCCTTCACTATCTAAAGAGATAATAGTATAGCTTTAATTTATTAGCTCTATAAAAATTCTTTCAATATACTAGTATGAATTATACTATTAGATTTTTTAATATTGAACTGTCTTTGTGTTCCTGAATAACTCATCTTAGATATGATATATTATGATTTTAATGTCTCCACTATTCTCTTCTGATAATATGTTGTTTGGGATTTTAATCAATATTCACACATAATATTTGCCTATAGTTTCCTTATTTTCTTTATCTTTGTTGGTCTTTGATACCAGTATTATTCTAGTTTTATTAAAATGTTTTTTGGGGGCACCTGGGTGGCTCAGTCAGTTAAGTGTTTGCTTTTGGCTCAGGTTATGATCTCAAGGTCCTGGGATCAGGCCCCTCACCGGGCTCCCTGCTCATTGAAGAGTCTGCTTCTCCCTTCCCCTCTACTGCTCCCCCTGCTTGTGCTCTCTCTCTCTGTCCAATAAATAAATAAAATCTTTAAATAAAATAAAATTTTTTTAAACCTTTCTCCTTGTTCTATAGTCTAGAACAGTTTCAGTATTATTGGAGCTTTCTATGAATTAAGTGTTTTATAAACTCTCTGTGTGAGACCATTATGGATTTCCTCTTTATCATTGTTAAGGGACTTCCTTATCTTATTAAACACATTTTTTACATAAATTCAACTTTGTCTGATAAGATTATGGGTCTTGCTATATTTTTTGTTGGCATTTACTGATAAGCTTTCATGCATTCTTTTCTTTTCAACCCTTCCAAAGAAAAGTTGTACTTCAGCTATGCAGCAAAGTGTTCAGTTTTGCTTTGTAACCAAAGAAGTTTCCTTTTGTCAATAGAGGAGTTAAGCCTCATTGTATTTGTTTAAATGTCAGAAGCACTTGGAATTAATTCTGTCATTAGCTTTTATACCATGCTCTTTATTGCTTCTAGTGTCTTCTTCTCAGTATGTGTTGGCTATGTGTATTTTTTTCTGATAATTTGGAAAGTTTGTATTTTTTAAACTGTATTTACATATATATATATATATATATATATATACACATACATATATATATATATATATATATATATATATATAAAATTTTTTTTTTTTTAGTAACCTACATCAAATGTGGGGCTCAAATTCAGGACTCTGAGATCAAGAGTCATACAGTCTTCTGTCAGAGCTGGCCAGGGGCCCTGGAAGGTTTGCATTTTTATTCATATGTTAACCTTTATAACTTTATATAATACATTTACTGCTCTATTCCTTTAGGCAGTATTCATTAACTTCCTATTATAAACAATTACAAAATTTATATATTTCCACTTCCTCCATCCTTTCAAGCACTGCTTTCAGTAAATTATACCACTGTTTTAGTGTTTGCCTTACCCTTTACATCTTTAAGTACACCTAAAGCACTACATAATTTACCAGCTTTTTAAAAAAAATATTTTATCTATTTATTTGAGAGAGAGAGAGAACCCACAGACAAGCATGGCAGAGGGTAGAGGGAAAGGGGAGAAAGAGAATCCCAAACAGACTCCCCACTGAGCTTGGAGCCTGATGTGGGACTCAATCTCACAACCTTGATACCATGACCTGAGCCAAAATCAGAAGTCAGATGCTCAACCCGCTAAGCTACCCAGGCACCCATATCAGCTTTTAGTAATATGGCTTTTTCCAAGCTGGAAAAAGTATACTAAGGATACCAGATGCAACATTCCCTTTCCTTTCCCTTCCCTGTCTTCTAGCATTTCTTTAATGTCAGATTTATGACATCTACTGCTGTTCTGTTGTCAAAATCACATTCACTTTAATCCCACATTCAATGATTATCAAGCTGATAATCAACTTGATATTCTCCTTATATCTGTGACTTACAGTTTTGGCCCAATAATGTAACTAGGATATTCTTTATCATTGTTCCTTCTGAGTCCATTTTTCTGTTACACTGAGTGCCACTTCAAATCGCAGAGTCAAACCTTCTTTTATTTCCAGAAGTTTTTGTAAAGGTTTTTTTATTTTCCCTTTGAGTTTTTTTGTTTCGTTATTTCAGTTGTCTTCTTTGGGACATGTGTGTGTGCGCGCATGTGTGCACGTGTGCTTGTGATCTCCAAGACTTTTAAACTTTGCTTATTTCACTTTCATTTTGCAATTCTTCATCCTACCTTGCCTTTCCCTCACTAGATCGGTTCTCCTTTGCACTGCTTTCAGATAGGTTTCCATTTTAATCGTCTTGTCCCATATTCTTTCAAGAACTTTAATCTCTGCTTTAAACTCTTATTTTATGCATATGACTGATTAATTGATATTGCATTTAATTGAGGTATGTGGGGCTACAATTTTCACCTCCATTGCGACAATATTTTTCCAGAGAGTATTCTTTATCTGTCATTTGCTTTTTCTGTTCCTTTTCTCCCTTTCTCTCATGATGTGTTTGTATAACTGGGTGAATTACTTTCTTATTATTCATCTTTTAATACTTGATTTCTTCCTATATCAGTCCTTTCAGAAGAACTCATGGGGAGGGGCCAGATCATGTTCTAGGCTAGTGAAAATTCTCTGTTCAACCAGGGTTGTATGAGAACAGGTGCTTCAACATCTCTCACTCCCAGTCTACAGGGGTCAGCAGTGCAGAATCCTCACCACACCGTCTCTCTCCTCCACCCTGCCTTGCAGCACGCTGTTGTCCCCAAGACCCCTGAAGGTTCTCTCCTGGACTCACTCTCCCTGCTTCACCTTCAGCATCCTAGTGTTCGGGGAATGAAACCTATGCCTCAGGCCCCTATATCCATCTTGTTACTGTAAACAAGGGCTCGTGGGTTATACCCTCCCAGGTATGCTTCCTACTTTGGAAACTGCTGGTCTTGTCCCAGAGTTACTGTCATGGTGTGCATCCCTGGAATCTTCCAGACCCTCTGAAACCTCACTGCATTAGGCAGCCCTTCTTCTCACACTTGTCTTTCAGGGTCATCCTCATTGCAAAGCTGGAATTTGCAGGGTTTTTAAAATTCTCATTCTTCTGATAACTTCAGTGTGATGTCCAAGAGGAGAAAGAAAAGGCACCATTGTTTTTTATTATTATTCTAAGAAACTGTGTCTTAAAAAAGTAAAAAATTGAATAACCACACAGAAGCTGGAAGAAGTAGGGAACTAGGTCCCTGATGTAAAAGTCATGGGGTTGTGGGGCTTGGTTCATTCAGTCGTTCTAGAAGTACTTAGTCACTGCTTAGCACAACTGGAGACCAGGTGCAGAGGCACAGAGATGTATGGTATGTCACTCCTTTACTCAGGGAACTCATACCATACTGAGGAGACAAAAAGGAGAGACTGTTCTCAACACAAGGCAGTGCCTATTGAGACCGAAAGAATGTTCTTGACAATATGTGCTGTAGTTAAAAGGAGACTATTGTTCACTTCTAATACCTCCTGTGAATAAGAAGCACATTCAAAATGGCTTTGATAATAATTTTTTGACTTTGGAGTCCTTGTAAAGTAACCGAAATAATCTTTTTTTAATGACTTAGATTTGATTCCGTTTATTGAAAATATCAGAACTTCCACGAAAGCCTTCTTGCTGTGTGTGTGTGTGTGTAGGTCATGGTTAAAGTCAGTTCTCAATGTCTGGCTTCTGTTCCCAGTTACCGAGAATCTCATCACAGACTCTCTGCGCAAATGGCCATCCTTGAGATGGGCTGCTTGGCCTTCTTCCACGTAGGAGCAGGCCATCAGGACCTTTGACAGTTTACACTTTCAGTCTGTCCCTTGGGTCTGGTGGCCATGACAACGGAATTGTTTGGCCCAGCTATTTTAGACTCTGGGCTCAGGACAGCCAAATGTAGAATTTCTCTTTAATTTGCCTTCATCTCTTTATACTCAATCCAAGCAACCTTTTACAGATGAGAGTAGAAGACGTTCTTTTAATGAAGGACAGATGGGGAAGAGGAGAGTACATTAGAGCCACGCTTGCGTCTTCTGGTTGACTGAGGGGCTCAGATTGCTGCGTAGCTAAGAGACTGGGGACCTGGAATGGTTCTGAGAAACCACTGGCATGATGGCATGGGAAACAGGAAACCATACAGACAGAAAAAAGCGTTTCAGGAAACATACCACATTCTAAAGAAGGTCAGAATTGGAACTTTAAAGCAGTTAATTACTTTTACAATAAAAATCATCTTCACTTAAAACTGAGTCTCCTAAAACACAGATGGCAGTAAATACGTACAAAGATGCTCGACATTGTCAGTGATGAGGCAGATGTAAATTAAAGTCACAATAATACCACTACCTCCCAGAATGACTTACACAATAAAAAAAACTGACAACACCAAGTGCTGATGGAGCTGTAGAGCAGCCAGAACTCTCCCCACAGCTGGTGGAACACGAGATGGCCCGCCATTTTGGAAAACATCCTGACAGCTCCTCATACATTTAAACATGCACCGTATGAACCATTCCGAAGTTTTTGCCCAAGAGATATGAAAACATATATCCACTCCAAGACCCGTACCTGAATGTTTCTGAGCAGCTAGATTAGAATCACTCCAGACTGGAAACAGTGAGTGCCAATAAACCGGCGAATGGCTAAGGAAATCGTGGTGCATCGTTTACACATTGGATCACCGCTCTGCACTCAGAGGGAACAGGGCATGGATGCCTGCAAGCCCGTGGGTGGCCTCCGTCATGCTAAGTGAAAGGAGGAGGGCACAAAAGGCTACAAGGCTATGTTCCTTCATTTACATAATAACATTCTGGAAAAGGAAAAACCGAAGGGAGAGAGATGGTTGCCAGGTGCTGGAGATGGGAAGGGGGGGACCGACTGCAAAGGGACCTGAGGAAGCCTCTGGAGGTGATGGCAATGTCCCCGTAGTGACTGTGTGGCAGATTAATGAATACATATACAATCAAAACTCAGCAAACTAGGTGTGACAGTGAATTTTGGTCTAAACCTGACTTTACACAGTACATGTCCTAGGCCTGGGGCACCTGCGTGACTCAGTCGGTTTAACGTCTGACTCTTGATTTCGGCTCAGGTCATGATCTCAGGGTTGTGGGATTGAGCTCCCCCTCCCCACCCACAGGGCTTCGAGCTCAGCAAGGAGTCGGCTTAGAAATTCTTTCTCTCCCTCTGCCCCTCCCCACCTTCTCAAATAAATAAATAAATCTTTTTAAATTATGATGAATCTTCTAGGCCTGTTGCTACGTTTACAGAAAAGTATCGTGTCGTCCCAGGAAGAGCCCACCGTCGAGGTCAGAAAGATGCCCTGCCACTTTCTGGCTCTGTGCCTCTTGCAAGTGCTCTTTCCTTCTCTAAAACTCAACTTCCTCATCTGTAAAATGGGCATAATGGTGATGCTAAGGGCGAAGTGACAGATGTCTAGAAATGTTTTGTGTGCCATCGTACGGTCAGAGCTCTGAGCACATTATGTCTACAGGTGTCTGCATGGCTGTGGACTTAGGCAGGAGCTGGAGCTGAGGGCTGGGCTGAAAGTCAGTCTCATACTCCCTAACCAGGGCTCTCTCTATGCAGATGCTTGTTCTTCAGGGCTTGCCCGCTGCACACTCCATTCCAAGTTCCCATTTCATGTTCTCTCCTGTAATTAGCCGTTGACCCTCTCTCTAACGCCCACCCCCCAACTCAGTGTCCAAACGGATTAACCTCTGGGGGAGCCTTGAGCAACTGTCTTGGAAGTGCTGGTCCTCGCTGAGCCTGGCTAGTGCCCAGCTAGGTCAGTGGCGACCCCACCACACTCCCCTACTCCCCACTTTGTGCACCCACCTGATGAATGTGGGGTACAGTTCGGCGTTCACCAGGCACACCAGCTGGAACACGATGGTGATTCCCATGCGGCCAAAACAAGCCACTGCGATGTTCAGCCAGTGTAGATCTGGACAGGAAACACACAGAGGTGGGGAACTCACATGGGGACTGAGCCCACGAGTGCCCCACCTTGAGGAGCCCCATTAGGAAGCTTGGACTTCAGAGCTGGAAGAGCCAGAAGGAGTGCCTTGTCTAACCCTTTCATTTTGGGATAAGTAAACTGAGTCCTGCGAGGTTTCAGAACCTGATGGTGACACAGGAGGGAGACTCCTTTGCACAGAGGAAAGAACATGTGTTTTGGATCTCAGCTCTGCCTCCTGTCAGCCATGTGACTTACCTCTTTGGGCTTGGTTTCTTCAGCTGTAAAATGGGAATAGTGATAGCCAGCCTACAAGCTATTACGGGACTTTGAGATGACAAATGTGAAATGTCCACCATGACTGCTCCAGAAACGTTGGCTTCTTAATTACCATGCAATAGTGTCTCTGCCAGAGCCTGACACAGGAGGTCCACAAGAAATACAGCCCCTCGGCTGGCAGCCCTGGAGCTGAGGGACCAGATTTCTAACCCTCAATCTGGCCTTCACTTCCAAACACATTGTCTTAAAGGAAACACCTTTCAGGAAAGTCTCAGACTCAAGCACTAGGGAAGCAAACCCTTGCTGCATCTTAGCAGACGGCTGTGGGGCTCCCCATTCCACGAGGGTTCGGGAAGCCCTCCCCCTACAGAGGACCGATTGAGGAATTGGGCCCCATCACTGGCTCCACCTCGGTTACTCCACACACTAGCAAGCAAGTGGCTTCCAGGACATGCCAGGGGACTCATTAAAGCCTCTGGGGTCACAGACATCATGTCTTCTTGACCCCTGTCCCCAGATACTGGCCGTTCATGGAGGACATGCTCGTTTCACTCCGCCAGCGTGAGGGTCCCCGGAGAGAGGACACGGTGGCCTTAGGAACGAGCTCCCCACCGGGTCCGACTCAGTCTCCCAGCCCCCTGCTGCTCACCACCTTGTGGTGGGAGCCAAGCCAGATCATGGATACCCCCAGCCTCCTGAAGAGAAAAGAAGAGGAAGTTCACTCAGACAGGATCTACAGGGAGGGCCTTGCGTACACACTCTGGGGTCTTTAATCTGGTGAGTGACTCTGCTGTCCTGTTTCCCATCGGCGCCGGGGGCACCTCTCCCTTGACCAGCCAGAGGGACCGTGGGGAGCATCCCTGCCCAAAGCCCCCAGTGCTTCCTTCCATATGGGGGACACCGTCCAAGGCTGCCTGCTGCTAATGCCCACCTCTGTCCCCCAGGTCCCGCCCTGCTCTCCCGATTTCAGGCGCAGGGCTTCTGGCTGTTCCTTGAGTGCTCAGCTCGACCCTCCTCGGTGATCCTCCCGCTTCCATCCTCCTGCCCAGAAGCACATTCCCCAGAGGGTGACACGGCTTGCTCCCCTCATTCAGGTCTGCCAAGGCCACCCCTGACCACCGCACGAAGGATTAACGCCCACCATGCTTCACCTGCACTTTTTCCCTCTAGAACGGGAACTCTGTGAAGCAAGCACTTTCTCTGCTTTGCTCACGGCTGGGATCCCAGGGTTGAGATGTGTGCTGGCCACACAGAAGGTACTGGCAATATTTCCTGGAGGAGGGCCTGAGTGTTTATCATCTCACATGACAAGGCCTCCGTAGAGGCAAGTGGAGAGGGTGGGGTGGGGGGAGAGACCTTGGCAGGGGGGGATGGGACCAGAGAGCACGGTGCCTGGGTTCCGTCCTGATGATAACTAACAACCTGAGATCTTGGGTTCCTTCTCTGCCCCCACTGCTGTTACTTAAAAACAAACAAACAAACAAACAGAAAACTTCCCATTTGTCTTTGCAGGATTCCAGAAATAGGAAGATGGGGAAGAGGGTGGATAAAATCTATTTCAGACGGACTCTGCTCCTCTCCCTGTCCTCACTGTTCTCTCCATGCAAGGAGGAAGGAGAAGACTGAGTTGTCTTTTTATTTTCAGCCTGATCCATACAGCCTGGTTCTTGAGAAAACAGTTTTCAGGAAACACGTCCCACAACACCCTCTCTGTAAAAACTTACCGAAACAGCTCATTTAACCCACAAGGGCAAAGCCCAAGCAATACAAACTGAGGAAATGGCAAATCTGCCTTGTGTTTCTTCAACCACCTCCCCAAACGTAACAAACAGCAAAGGCGGTTTGTGTACTCAAACCGAAACTGACCAAAGTCATTCTGCTTTGGATTATCCTGGGTCGTAAGGACGATGGACGAAAGCACATGATCACCAGAGAGGCTGGTGTCAAAAAAACTGGCAATACCCAGTGTTGGCAAGTTGGAACGCTCAGGCATCCTCGGTGGGAGTGTGCGTTGGTCCAGCTGTTTTGGAAACCTGCCTCTATCGACTTCGAGCTGCATATATACCACACCTGACCCAGCAAACGCACTCACAGATTTGTACCCGAGGGAAAGGAGAGTCTAGGCCCATGAAGAGACGTGCGTCCGAGTGTTCCCTGCAGCTTATGCCCCAGGAGGCAGATGCTGGAAACCACACAGGTGTCAGTCAACAGTGGGACAGGTAAGTAGCTTGACACTTGTCATTTACTCATCATGTGTATGTTATACCAACTTAAAATTAAAACACACACACAAACACACACACACACACACACACACACACACACAGCTGTAGACTAGGGTAACACCCTGACGTTGTCTTTGTTCTCATTCGAGGGGCATATCCAGGAGCCGAAACGCTGTTCCACGGTTCAATAATACGATCCTCTAGAGAGTGAGGGAACACCCAGCTCACCGTGGGAGATAAAGATCATGATGGCGCAGGCTGTCCCCGCCACCAGATTGGACACCACCAACGGGCGGATGAGGCCGAAGCGGTCAATGGTGGTGAGGATGATGAAGGCCGCTGGGAATTCAACCAGAGCCGAGTACAGGAAGTCCAGGTGGAGGTTCCCGCCCGTGGCACCCACGTGCATGATGAGGCCCTGGTAGAGTACGGAGCTCGTGAACCTGAGCACAGAGGAGAAGCAGAGGCTCAGACCGAGGCTCCTATCTGTGGGATGGGGGAGGGTTCGGAGTCTGGCCACCGGAGAGGAACAGGTGTCGCTCGATCTAGAACGTCCTGGAGTGACATGAGAAGAGGGGATAAAAGTCAGGAAGGGTGTCCTAGAGGGGCCATCAGTGAGGGGCTCTCTCAGGATTGATGTGATGTCATGACTTCTGGGGTACAACCCCGTGTCCTAGAGCCAGCAAACGAGGACCCTGAGGCCACAGCGGCTACAGGGGGATGGGTGGAGGGTACCAGGAGTAAGCAGGTTCAGCGATCAGACCCTGTACGAGCTGTGAGATCTTGAGGAACTTAACTAAGCTCTGTCTGCCTCATCAGTAAATGCAACAAATGGAATAAGGTCTTCTGAGAACACTCAGACACAGTCCCATCCTGTCCCAGCACCCAGACTCAACCAGAGCATCCTTTCCCAGTGGGAAGCCCCTTGTTCTACCCGGACAAAAGCACAGCAGGCTTGTCCTGACCACAGATGTTTAAGACTTAGCGGCCAGCCTTCATTTAGAGAGGCTGTGTCCTACTCCAGTGGCCTCCACAGATCAGGTTTGCCCTCCGCAAAACAGTGACAAAAGGCTCATGGATGAGCTATTTCTCTCCACAACCCTCTCTTCACACCTTCCCTGTCCCACACTGAGTGCCTGGAGTGATTCCTGGCACATAGAAAGCACTCGCTAAAGATGAGCTATTACTGGTGTCATCATCATCATCGTCCCAAGGTCAAGTCCACAGAGCACAGCAGAGCAGATGCCAGCCAAGTCTTTCCAGCGGCACAGTGGTGCTGTCATTAACAGCACCGCTCCCCCTCTCTCCTCCACCCTGCAGCCCGCCGCAGGACCCCTCCATCCGCATTCCAGGGAGGAATAGCAGGGGTACCGAATATGGCTCAGACACCAATAGGGACTGGCTAATTCACTCCAGAAGGTTTTAGAGAGTTCCATGGGTCATTTTTTGGTGACATCACGTAATTTTGGAGGATAGAAACATTTGATCATTATATTGGTATTTACAGTTTGAGAAGAGATTTTGGTTGATAAGAAGTTGTGCTCTTGTCCCAGCATGTAAATTGCCTCTTGGCTCTAAAACAGATCACAACTGATATTTCTCATCAATATACTCCCTTGTTTTATACAACTGCACACCAAGAAACATTGTGATGCTCTTGTTTCTAGTCCTGAATCATTCCTAACTTCCGAGGGTCTCATCATGCCCTCCCTTTGTCCCAGTTAAGTGGGAAGAGTCACCTAGTACCAATAAAGGGATTGCTTTAAGAGAAAGGAAGGTCTAAGCTTGATTTTCCAGTCAAAAACCAGTTAACAAGTGTGCAGTGCTGCCATCTTTTGGCAGAGCCCATGAATTGCATGTACATGTTAAAACAGCCATCCGTGGGACTAGACCCATTCTACAAAGCCCTTTACACAAATTATCTCATGAAACTGCCATCATGCCGGCGAGGGAGGTTCTGCCGTGATCCCCGTTTGCTGACGAGGAAGCTGAGCCATAGAGAAATGGGAGTTGTCTGGAGTCACGGGGCCGGAAAGGGCTGGGAGGGAAGGAGCAGGTGGAGGGAAGGCCAGTAGGAGGGGGGTCCAGGGTCGGCTCATGGTAGGCCATGGAAAGGGATTTGGTTTTATCCTCAGTGGGTTAGGAAGCCAGCGGAGGGTGTAGACAGGGGAGTTCTGCAGAGCAGAATGTTCAGGGGAGTGGGTGCAGGAGTGTGAGAGCCGAGAGGCCAAAGCAGACCCCTCCCCCCTCCCCCCTAGAGAAGAGTGCATTAGGGGATGGCAGTGGGGGCAGTGAGTGGAAAGGGGAGGAGGGAGTGGGGGGACAGAAGTGCACCAGGCAGCTGGGGTTTGCAGAGGCTCGGGGCCAGCACAGGGACACGCCTGTGACTGGTAGGGGCAAAGGGAGGGCACGGTCAGCCTGGCTGGCACCTCTTGCACCACAGATGGGTTCTATGGAACTGTGGTTATTCATTCGACCTTCAGCAAATATTTGCAAGGTTACCATGTGCCAGGCATCACGCTATTAGCTTGGACCCTTGGTTCTAGTAAAACCTTCCTGGAAGCAGAAACAATTGTACAAGGAGCAGAGTGGCTCCAGATGAAGGGGGAGCCCCAGGGGTTGGGGGAGTGACTGCTAAGAACCACCCGCATGTCAGGGAAAAAGCCTGGGGGATGGGGAGCCTGCCTGATGTCCTCTGAAGGAACAGGGTAGGGGACTGCAAGAAAGCAGCCTGGAGAGGGGTGCAGACCCTGGGGGTGGGCCGGGGTACGTGGGTGAGGTCCTATGTGTGAGTGAGTCTTGTAATCAGTGGGCAATAAAGGCATAGCCCTGCCCACGCAGGGTCTCTAAAGTGCCAAGATGTGAGGAAGGGCTCTGCATCTTTGGAAGCACCGAGAGCCACTGAAATCTCACCCATTTCCGATGCCACGTCAAGACATGTCTGTTCCCAGAAGACAGACCTGTGAGAGGGGCGGCAACCCTGGGGTCCCTCCATCATATTTCACTCATCTTGCTGTTGACCCCCCATGTCACACACTCTTCTTACTGGAATGCTGTCTTTCCCTCATTACTCCACCCTCAAGGGAGAAATAAAGATGTCTTTCTATGAGCTCACTGACTGCTTGTAATTCATTTAAAAACTCCTTTTCTGCCTTCCACTGCCTTTAACTCAGACCCCAGGACTCTGGCAAGCACCCTGATTCTGTGCGGGGGATGGTCTGGAAGGTCCCTTACCACAGGTACATCAGAATAAGGGTGTGCTTTCTCAGGTGTGGCGTGCTGAACAGGTCTGCAAAAGAGGGGCTCAGCTTTTTGGTGACATCCTCTTCGAGAGAGAGCATCTAGGAGGGAGTAAGAGCATCAGTGGCGTCCAAGCTTGGGGGAGCGGAAGAAGCCCTCAGAGCCACCCCCGCATTCCTGTGCTCATCACCCCAAGTTCTTCCAGGGCCTTCCTGCTCCTCAAGGCAGCCCCAGAAGCATTTTCTAAACCACCCGGGACACCTGGGTGGCTCAGTGGGTTAAGCCTCTGCCTTCAGCTCAGGTCATGATCTCAGAGTGCTGGGATCGAGCCCCATATTGGGCTCTCTGCGCAGTGGGGAGTCTGCTTCTCTCTCTCCCACTGCCCCTATCTCTGCTGGTGCACCCTCCTTCTTGATCACTCTCTCTCTCAAATAAATAAAATCTCTAAAAAATAAGTAAATAAATAAATCATAAACCCAACCCAAGGTTTAGTGATGTAAGAAACCCCTTGTTATTTTGTCACCTTGGGATCAGGGAGAGGTGATTTCCCATTCTTCTGGGCAATGTGGTCAATTATCTTTATCACTTGAGAGTTTCTCTTCTGTGACAACAACCACCGGGGAGACTCGGGCACGCACCTGTGGACACAGATCGTCACTACGTGTGGGCGCCTCCAGAGTGCAGATGCGAAGGCCTGATTGGAGCGAGGCCATGGCTCTGAGAAACCGACCCTCCTCACTTTGGGACTGTAATTCCTCAAGCAGCTAGTGGATGAGGGTCTGGGGTCATCCTGTGCCAGCCCAGGGATCCAGAAAGGAGCTCTGTGGGTGGGTCCCTCACACTCTCAGTGCCACCTGCTAAGATTTAGGGGCAAAAAGGGAACGGCTGCTTTCCTCTGTGACCTTCATTTCACGGGGCAGGGGTCCCATTCTCTGCAAGCCACTGGCCGCCCTCGTCCCCCTGGAAACTCCTGGTACAGAATCAATGCTCCGTGTGCTCCCTGACCCTTGTGGGACAGCAGGGGGTCTCTGCATCATACAAGCACAGTTGAACAGGTCCCAAAATATCTCCCAAACCACATAAATAGATAGTATGTGGTCATTTCAAACTGGGTAAGGATGTTACAACGTGAAGATTGGGAATCTCTGGCATGAGGTCTTCTGGAAACATTCAGGCTGAGGCCCATGCTGCAGGGCCAGCGAGACTCAGCCTGGGCATCCTGCCCCACGGGGGAGCCCCGGATTTCACCCTGATGGGGAGAGAGCAGGCTCGTCCTGACCACAGGACGGCGGCGAGCCCTGGTTTAGAGACTGGGTCTACTTCGGTACTACCCACGGTAATTTGTCCTTAGAATGGTGATGAGGGGTGCTAGGATGAGATCTTTCTCTCCACAGCCCTCTGCACACCCCTTCCCTGCCCCACAATCAAAACTCAAAACTCATCTGTCCAGCTGTCTATGCCTTGGGACCCTGCCAAAGGCTCCACTAGTAAGATTAATACCTCATGGGACTGGTTTGTCTCACAATGGCTTAATGCACACATTCCCCCAGGAACTCTCATGCATTCATTCATTATTCATTCATTCATTCAACAAACAGCAAATGCCTGCTCTGTGGCTAGGTGCCTTCTCATCTGACGTGAAGCGTTGTCCTTCTCCCTAGGGGGATGCGAATTCGAAGAGTTTCTATTTGAGGGTAGCTCCCCCACATAATGGGGCCATCCTGTAATATTAGAACACCCCAAATGGCACAAAGGGCAGGAGTAGCCCTGTGCCTGAGTGACAGGTCACCGTGGCTACTGGAGGACGGCCCATGTGGCCACCGAGGTCACCGGGCAGTGGGAGTTCACCGAGCATAGTCCCGGGGGTGGAGAGAGAGCAGGGCCCCCGTGGAGGACCCGCGTACCAGTAGTAGAGCAGGAAGAGGAAGGTAGGCAGGGAGGTGGCCAGCTGGAGCCACCGCCAGTGAGGGATGACGTAGGCCAGCCCGGAGAGCAGCACGAGCCCCACCGTGAAGGCCGTCTGGTAGAGGATGGCCACCATTCGCCGGTAGCCCAGGCCCACGAATTCTGTGACTGAAACAGGACATGAGTCACCATCAGGGCTCCTGTGCTCCCCGTGGCCTCCTTCCCTCCGGGCAAGCCCCCACACCTTGCCCACCTCCCCGGCCTGACCCCAGCTCCTTCCCCTTGTCCGCTAATGCTCCTCAGCTCAAGCCTGGCAGTCAGTCCCGCTTCTCTCCAGCGCTTCCTTTTTTAATACCCCCTTTTGCCATCTATACTGTAATTCGGGTGCTTTAGAGCTCAGTCTGCCTGAACACGGGCCTGCCTCCTCCCCAGAGCTTTGCCCCAACAGGCTCCTGACCGAGCTGTGACATTTCTCATGGCCCTGGGACTGTAATTCACTTAATAAGCATCTCCCACCAGGGACCCGGCACCTCTCCAGGCGTCCGGGACGTGTCCTCAGCCCCCACAGCAGAGTCGTGCCCTTACAACCCCACATCTTCATGAGAGAGGGCAGAGGGCACAGCCAGCAAATGAGCAAGTCATGTGTCAGGCCAGAACGCACTTTGTGCCCCAGGGGAACGGAAAGTTAACTGGTGGGAGGGGATCGGGAGCTGGAGAGTGAAGGGGTCTCTGTCTCAGAGAGCAAAGCAGGGGGTGAACCTCGCGGGGGAAATTCTAGGCAGAGGCAACCGAGGATGAGGATCTCCAGGAAGAGGCCGAACCTGCAGCCATCCTGGGGGCCCTGTACAGAGGCTGGCTTGGGCCGCATGAGGAGGAGAGCCCGTGCCCAAAGCGGCAACATGTTCCCACGCCCACTGCTGAGTTGAGACAAGGGACCCACGTGGAGGTGAAGCGATGGTGTTGGCCTGGATCCTGGGGCAGGAACAGAGAAGAGATGGTGGCCCCGGGTGTGCTGTGAAAGGAAAGCCAGCGGCAGGACCCCTGAGGGGCCAGAAGCAGGAGTAGAGAAGTGGGGACCATGCTGACCGCCAGACAGCAGGCTGGGGTGGGGGTCTCAGGTGGAGCAGGTTTGGGGACGGGGAGGACAAAGTCCTGGGTCCTGCCACACTGAGGGATGGGGAGAAGAGAAGCCAATAAGGGAGACCAGTGAGTCACCAGCAGAGGCCCAGGGAGTATGTGACCTACAAGCCTTCTGGGGAAGGGAGGGAGGGAGGGAACGAGGGAGGAAGGAAAGTGGGAGAGAGGGGATGTGGGAAGGAGGGAAGGTGGGAGGGAAGGAAGGTGAGAGGGAAGGAAGGGGAGAGTGGGGGAATGTGGAAGGGAGGGAGGGAGGGAGGAAGGGAGAGAGGAGGGACAGATGGTAGGTGGGAGGAAAGGGGGAGGGAAGGAAGGTGAGAAGGAGGAAGGGTGATAGGGAAGGAAGTTGAGGCAGACGAAGGGAAGGGAAGGGGAGGGAAGGAGAGAGGAGGGAGGGAACGTGAGAGGAAGGGAAGAAGGAGAGAAGGAGGGAAGGAGGAAGGAAGGAGAAAGGGAAGGGGAGAGGGAGGGAGGGAGGCCGTCCCCACGTAGTGCCCTGCCTGGTCAGACAGGCCGTCACATACAACTAGACTTAGCACAATTTCTCTAGACCCTGCCAATGTACCCTCTCCCCCTAAATCCCACCTCCACCTTTGGCTCCCTCCCCTTCCACTTGCCTGGTGGGAAGGCATCCCAGGGGGACACTTACTCAGGATGTAGCCGGACGTCCAGCTGCCCTTGCTGACCAGCCCCTGCAGCAGGTGGAAGAGCAGCAGAGACGTGTAGTCCGGTGCCACGGCCGTGAGGACACCCAAGATGGCACCGGCGAGGGTGGTGACCAAGAGACATAATTTTCGGCCAAACCTTCAGAGGCAAGGAGACAGGGAAGGGGGGTGGGTGTTGAGTATTTGGGGTCCAATGGGCACCAAGCGACAGCGAGGGTCTTGATCGGGAACCATGTGTCACTGTGTCCTGAAGGACTGCCACCCGAGCCAAGGGCCCAAATGTGTGGTCCTCAGGAACAGTGGCCCTTTTGAGGTTCATTAACTCACTGTAAAAGCCAGGATCCCTATGCTCTCAGGCATGTGGCATCTCAGCCAGGGAGGGTTGCTCCCCGGGGCTCTGCAGGTCCCCACAGGTGTCCCCCTCATCGCCCCGCAGACTGCGTTATTATTAACATGCCAGCCTTAGCAGGGGCCTCAAAAACTTTTCTGGGAAAATATTCAGTTCTCATGGCATAACAATTGAGGATTATTTCCCTTTCCTTCCTTCATGAATGAAACGGGCAAATCACTTGCTAACTCTTCATCCCGGTAGGGAGCTTCATTGACTCCATCTTTCCAACCTGATCCCACACTCCAGCGGCTACTCGAGGAAGCAGCGGGTCAACCTTCTGTGTGGTCACACACCCGACCTGGTCCCTACCCCCACATCTTCCCACCCTGCAACCTTGGCGTTCCCCGCCCCCTGCCTCCTAGACTCCAGCCCGGGCCCAACATCCCCTACTCCTTGCCCCTCACCTCCAGCCCCATGCTCCTGCCCAGCACGGCCCCACACCAGCAAGTAAACATCCTCATCCTGCACTAATGTAGAAACCTCCCATTGGACGCTCACAACCGTCACCCCCAAACAATCAGAACTAATGTCATCTGCGTCCACCTCCATTTCTTCTCCTGTGCCTCCGACCAAAGGCTGCTCCACCTGCTCCCCTGGCACCCAGCCCTTCCACAGCCCCTTTGGTTCCTCAAGCCCTCCATGGTGCGGTCACCCCCATCCTGGACCCTTTGCCTGTCCCCTGTCCCTCCCACCCCACTTGCCTTACAGTGTTGTCCACGCACCCAAACTCTACTTCCTCCTCTCTCGCTTCTCCTCAGCCTTCCCCTGACACCATCCTTGTCCCTGGTAGTCGTGGGGTGCCTTGTCCACAGATCTGGGCCACTCCTCCCCGTCAGGCCAGTCCCGTCTTGTGTTCTATAACTCCACACTATGCTGGGAGAGTGGGTGTCTCTCTACCTCCCTGTTGTTTCCCCTACATCTCCTTTGCCAGCAACTCCTTCCCTAACAACCTCTATACGCTCCACTGCTTATCTCAACCACGGTTGACGGCTTTAAATACCAGCTCCTGCTGACAAATCCCAAATGTTTATCTCTAGCACAAACCGCTCTTCTGAGCACAACTCACGTACCCAGCTCCCTATGTGGTATCTTTTCTTTGCCTCCTGGGCTACGCTTAGCACAGGACCAAACTCAGGATGGCTCCCAACCCCTCCCCCCACAACTGAAGCCTTTTTCTAACCCCGTCTGTCCCTACCCTCACCTCACCCAACTGCTGCATGTGTATACCTTGGCTTTGTCCCCGTCTTCTCTCAGCCCACCACCCAACTATACAATATGCATGAGTTTTGGCCCCCCAAGTCCATCCTGAATCCCCACCCTTACTCCATCTTGCTACCCTACCCCACTCCAAAGCTCTAGCTACCAGGTCTCTCTCCATCAGCGTCTGCGGTAGGTTTCAACCAGCCGGACGCTCCCACCACTGTCCCCTGTGATCCATTCTCCTCATGGCATCGCCGCTGCATTCAGTCAGCTTGGCCTTTACGTACCGGTCTGCAATGTAGCCGACACCCAGAGAGCCCAGGAAGAAGCCCAGGTTCACGCAGGACTGAAAAAGGTCCACCTTCCAAGAGTCGTCACACACCAGGTTAAACTGCGGGTCACGCCATGGTCGGAGGGGCCGGAAACACAAGACGGTTTATAAGTCCAAGTGTCCCTTCCGTCCTCTCCCCAGACAAAATCAGTGTTTACCCCAAAGTGTGATAGCCCAACGGGTTTCTCATCATTTTTTTCTTACCCCATTTTCATAAGACAAATTTCAGGTTTCCGGTGAATCTCACCTGCTACACTATATCCCTAGTATCTTTGTTTTACCCTCACCGCTATCAAGAGCTTTGACCTTGGCCGTCGGTTATTGAAAGACAACATGGCCAGCAGATGGTCTTCTAAAAAGAAGTATAGCACAGCAATTTCCTAAAGACAGAAATGTAGCCAAATAAATCGAACACGTTTTTCAGAACTGGTCAAAAGCCCTCGATTAAGTACCTATTAATTATATATTTGATTATGTGAGGCCCAGCGGCGACCCTGGGGATTCTGTCATGGGGGGTGTGGCCATGAGTGGCCCCGGGAGGGGCTGAGCAAAAACACTCGGGCAAGAAGGCAGGCTGGGTGAGAGCAGTGTGGGCACTGGGGTCTTGCGCTCAGGACCCAGGGTGGCCGGAGACTCAGAGGGAGCACTGTGCCCAGAGCCAGCGAGGGGAGGGACAGGGCAGGAGGGAGCCAGGGGCAAAGGCAGGACAGACCCACCTGGGGAAGGGCTCTGTTGAGTTTTAGGGGAAGCCGCACCGCAGGGGGCACACATCTGGGCACTGAGAAGCCCCGACAACCCCAAGGAGGAGGAAGAAGAGGAGAAGGAGGAAGAGGAGGGGAAGGAAGAAGAGGAGGAGGAGAAGCATCCCACTTCCTCACTGGGGTGCAGAGAAGGTAGAAGCAAGGTGTAGAGCTCCACGGCTGGGGCCCTCACATCATCCCCATTCTTGGCACAGCCCTGGGGCACACCCTTCCTCTCTCCCTGTCTCTGTCCTACTCTAAGTACTTCGGATTCATGGCTCCCCCTACCAAATGACGCTGGGAGATGTGTGATGGTAAGAAAGTCACTTCGCCACTGCAGGCCTCAGTTTCCCAGTCTGAACCGTGTGTATTGCCCCTGTCCTGTCCCACTCACAGAGCTGGTGTGAACGCAGAAGAGGAGTCCTGTGAACAGGGTTTAGGTAAACAACAAACACTTTACCCCTTAGAATAGAGGTTTGACTATACCCCACTGCCCGCAAATATTTCAGGTGCTGGTTAAAGCCAGCCCCTTCCCCCCACCCCCAGTCCCGGGCCCTGGGGTCGACCATTAAGGGCCCCAGGTCTCTGGGCTCTGTCAGCCTGGGGGGCCCTCTGACTGGCTGCTTACTTCCTTGACATGAGCACTTTTCAATATAAAATCTGGGTAGCGCTCCGGGTTACCACTTGACTCCGAAATGAATCCCAAGCCTGTCCTGTGACCTGCTACCCCCGCTTGCACCACTGAGCGCCGTGGGCATTCCCTCTACCAAACCCAAACATTCATTCCCTTAGCTGAAAGCACAGCGTCCCCGCAGAGCTTCTGCCGTCTTCCATCTTCCCGGCCTGCAGTGGGCCCTGCCGTTAGGAAACAGAGGGACAGATCGCTCTTGGGTGTTATCTGGCTGTCCCAGGGTCTGCCTCTCCAACCACCCAACTGTCTTCTCGTAGCCTCTACCCACCTGTCCAAGACCACATCCCGCTTACACTGCACTGGGCACCAGTTTGTGTCTTTTGCTCTAATCTTTGTCATGAGCGTGTCTGTAAGGTGTCCCTGCCCCCCTTCCTCAGATGCCCAGGGTGCCATCTTGTCCCCCAGACTGTACAGAAACCAGGGCGCTCACGGAACCAGACCAAGGGGCATCTGGCCTTGCCTGTGGAGGTCTGTGCTTCGTGCCCCCCGCCAGCTCACACCCAACCACTGCCCCCAGCACATTTGTGCATACCGGGAAGACAGGCCCAGACCCCAGGAAAGCCTAGGGTGGTGTGGAGTGGGGGGCACTGGATGGGTCGCTGCTCCCACTGGGGTTCTGCCAGGGCTAGGGCCTGGGGTCTCAGGCACAGTCTGTGTTCTCCAAGCTCGTCTGATCGTGAGAATCCCCCGGAGTCCTTGTCAGAACACAGACCGCTGTGGATGCGGTCTCAGCAGATCTCAGGCCAGAAGCCAGGAGATCTCTAGGATGAGACGTGTTTGGGAACGGTGACAGAGCCCTCCTGTGACCTGGGGCTGAGCCCTTTCTCTGGCTCACACTCACAGGCAGGGGAAGACGGAGCTAACCAGCCAGGAGCGGGGCCCCAGACCACTGCGGGGCTGCAGCTGGAAGGACAGGGGACTCAGAGGTCGGGAACGTACACGTTCCTTCCCCAGATGGAGCCCCAGGCCCCACCCAGAGCTCGGAAGGGCAGCGCCTCTGGAATGTGCAAATGGCTGCTTCAGCATCCCCCCTCAAGTAGGTTCCAACGTCCAAGGCATGGCTGAGTTAAAGATTATTCCTGCAGAAAGGAATCACGAAGGCAAAGCCCCTGAGAATAAGCAGCAGCGCAGGAGGAGAAACAGAGGCCAAGGTGGATTTAAAGGCGTGGGGGTGGGGGGGTTGCCGAGGGCTCCTGCCCTCTCCCACCCTAGAGCCCCCGCGCCCCCTGCCTCCAGCACACCCCCACCGCCTGGCACAGGGCACACTCCGTCTGTGAATGAGAGTGCCAGGAGCCCCTCAGTTTTTGCCAGTGCTTAGATCTAGGGTCTCCTGGGAGCCCAGCTGGGCTGCCACAGACAGTCACTATTTCTGGAGCTCTTTCGGTCCCCTTGCGTCTGACTCTCCCCCTCCCGCTGTCCCTCCATGTCCGCTGCCCCACCCCTCCTGGCCACCACCCTGCCCGGCTCCTCCGCAGCCCCAACCCCTCCTTCTCCTGTGGTCCAGGCTCAGGCTCAGTGGCCCTGCTCACCCCCCTCCCACCAAGAACCCTCGGGCAAGTTGGGGCCCTTCTCCCCAGCCCAGGCCAGGACTATGTCTCTTCTGGGGACACACCCCGCATCTAGACAGTTCCCAATGTCCCACTAGGACTGTCTTCCTCCTCTGCAGAAACCACACCGAACTTCCTCGTCTGGCATGAAGGCAGAGTTGCCAGGCTTAGGAAAGAAAATCCAGGGTACCTGGTACAATCTGAATTTCAGATAAACAACACATTTTTTTTAGTGTAAGTGCGTCTTCGTGCAACATTTGTATTCCCGCCTCGGTTATCAGCATCAAACATTGTGTAACATCTGGGACATAATTATGTTTAAAAATTGTTTATCATTTATCTGAAATTCAAATTTAACTGGGTGTCCTGCATTTTTTCTGGCAGCCTTCCATAAGGACTCTGCACTTGGCGGAGAAGGAGGGGTCACCACCCTTCACCCCCACGCTCCTCCCCAGAGCCCTGAATTCGAATCAGCGTTAACAGCTCATTGTCCCCGAATTAGCACATGCTGTCACCAGAGCAAGCCTTGGAAACCAGGTGTTCATGCGTTTTCAGGTAAAGCAAGTCACACCTGCACCTGTTCCTCCTGAAGGGGAAACTCCCATTCTGTCCCCTTCCCAGTCCGACCCCCCCCAGCAGGGACCTGATCAGGCCAGAGGAGAGGACACAGCCTCTTCCTCCAGTAAGAGCCTTGGCTGTGTTGATGCCAAAACCACTCAGTTACCTCCGGTTTCAGGTAAGCACCCAAACCAAGCCTTGCTAACAGAGTCACTCTGCATAGCTTCTGGTCTGTGGCTTCAACAACCAACCTCGATGCCAATTTCCAAGGGCCCACACTTGGTGACACTTTCAAAAAGATCCACAAAGGAAAAAAAATCTGGTGGCCTTTGACTAAAATATTCTCGAGGCACAACACAGAAAGGACCCACTGAACTCTGCAAGCGAGGCCCTTTGACCCCATTACCCCCTCCTGCAGGCCAGGAGCGGGTCCGCCACCCACAGCTGAACCCACTGACCCTGTCGGAAGCGGATATACCTGTACCTCCATGACGCTGGGTAACATCCTCAGGGATGCCCAGCAGATCTGGGGCATGGCCGGGACTGAAACAGTCTGACTCCGGCTTCCAAACCACCCCAGCGGGCCCATAGCTGTCACACAAGTGAAGGAGGGGGACCCACCATTCTAACGGCACCCCAAGTGAATTCTACGGGCTCTTGGAGAAGCCAGCAGGGCAGAAAGAAGAGGAACCCGTCTCCCCGTAGACCCGTGTTCAACAATCCAGTCTGGCTCGCAAAGGGCTCCCTGACCTCCACCTGCCTCTCTAGCGGCCGGCGTCCGTAGGAGACCAGACGGCGGAAGGATGCAGAGTGCCCAGCACAGAGCCAGAAGTGTCCTAAGTGCTCAGTGGATAGAACTCTCCTCCCTCCAACCTGATGTGAGACCAAACCCCTAGGATTTGTTGCGTGTTTCCTCCCTGAAATCCACCTGCTCCCCCAGACCCGGGGCTTGCCCTTACCTCGGTCACGATGGACGAGCCGGGCGTGTCGTACACCCAGCCGTGCCGACAGGGCCCCAGCGGCAGGTGACTCCTATTGGCGGCCAGGCCGGCCAGCGGGTCGACGCAGCTGAGGCCGCTCTGGTTCCAGTCGACCTCGTAGCCTCGGCAGTGGCGGGGGAAGGCCTCGCCGGCGGCCCCCGGGCCGGGCACCGTGTAGTTCAGTTCCTCCGCCAGGCTCCAGCCGCATCGCTGGCTCAGCTCGGCCACCCCGGGGCTCAGGCAGCGGTGATCTGGGGTGAAAGCCAGGAAGACGATGCCCACGTAGATGGGGGCGAAGGCAGCGGAGAGCAGGCACAGGGTCAGGAAGGCTTGCTTCTGGAACCAGCCAAACTCGCCGACCTGCTCCAGAACATCATCCACGGTGAGCATGACGGGGCCAGCACCTTCATCGCCTTGGCCAGACTGCCTGGGCTGCCCGGATGGCCGGGGTCAAGGTTCCATGCGCACTTCTGGGCCGTGGGCTGCTTGGAGAGCACACCGCCGTCCGAGCACGCTCGGCCTGGAAGCCTACCAGCTGGAAGCAATCTCTCACCCCCGCGGCCTGTGTCGGGCAAGGGCGGAAGTCAGGAGCGTGACCGGCCACATGGCTTGGCTGGGAAGCAAGTCAACTAGGCAGAGGTTCGAATTCTCTGGAGTCAGAGCTCCCTCCCAGAGACGAGAGAGGGAGAGGCCCCTGGGTAACCCGCCCTCCTCCACCCTCCCCCCTACTCACCCCGGAGGCCTCTGCAGGGCTCCTCCAGAGAGATTACCTAGTCAAACACTTCTTTTTATAACCGCCCCCCTCCCCGCTCAATCAAAGACCGCAAACTGACCCCGGACAGCAGCGGAGTCTGTGTAATCAGGCAGCTCGCACTCCCACTCGCTTGCCGGCCTGAGGCCTCCACGCGGAGCCCCCCACCCCTGCTGTGCCCCTGGTCACGAGCACCCCTCTGCTGAGCACGGGTCCCATTTGCTGCTGAGGACTCTGTAGGCTGGCAACCTGTGGGAAAGGGAGCAGTGAACGAGCACAGGCCAAAGACCCAGCCGTCAGCCAGGTCAACCCTCGACAGCCGGTGACAAGGGCCATCGACCGCCAGTTCAGGGCTCCAACATGGGTTCTTGAACCCCTCGCAATGAATGGCCTTTTGCGGGAGGTGCTATCCCTCTCTCCACTGCACAGCTGGGAAAACAGAGGCTTAGGGAGCTAGCAGCAACTTCCCAAATTCACACCGTCATTGAACTTGAACCTTGCTCTGCTCTGGAGCAACATGCCTTAATTTATTAACCTGCCCTTGGTCGGCAACTCACGCGTTAGCGCTTTCGCTCCCTCGACAAACACCTGCGGGGTCCCTCTGCGTCTCAAGCAGCACCAGGCCCTGGGACACGGAGACTGGCAGCCCCTACCCCCACGTGGCTCGCAGTTTGGGGGGACATAGACTCACAAAGGGACGGCTCAGGCAGAGGGCTCTAGGGGAGCCCCCCCAAGCCGGCCCCTCAGCCTTGTGGTGCCCCTTACCTCTAGTGGGTTGACAGCATGGTGGGGCTGGACGGCGGCAGGGGGTTGGACAAGCAGAAGGTGAGAAAAGGCAGGAAGGGTGTGGAGGGCAGGGAGGGGAAGGTGGCCCCCGATGACCCTGCCTCCTGGTGCTCGCCTCCTGAGACTGGCTTGTCCCCGTGAAATCCCGCAAACGTGGCCACACTCTCGTGGGATTACATCACGTCCAGTGGAACAGCCGCCCTGCTGGGCATCTGTCCCCCCACTGCTGGCTTTGCTGGAGCGCGTGGCCCTGTGGGGTAGTCCACAGGGCCATGGGGCACCCCGGCCGACGGAGACCTTCGGGCCTACAGAGCAGAGACTATGTGGGCTCAGAAGCGGATCTTTCCCCAGACTGTGGAGGGTCCAGCTGCACTGCGGCCGCCCTCTTGCCCCCCAGAAACCGGAGACAAGAGTGTGTGGCCTTCTGCGGCTAGTATCGTGGCCATGTGGCTGCGTGGCAGTACAGGGGAGGGATACTGTGGTTCCTGGGAGCAGCGACTTCTCTGTGGGCGGCGCCACGGGCTGAACGGGGAAGCAGCCTGTGGCTTTCTGGCTGGCCGGTCCTTCAGCCTGGGCACGTGGGTGCAGGGGAGCCAGGGCCCCCAAACAAGCCCATTTCCCCATATCCTCACCCTGACACGGGACAGCCCACTTTCCAGAACCCTGTGGGACTCCACCAGCATCATCACCTGATCATTTCCCAGGCAGCTCCCAGCTGCTGGCTTGTAAGACCACCTGACATGCGGGATGCTGGGTCCAGGGGGCCATCTAGGCACAGGACGGGACCCCAGGAGCCTCGAGTGGAGCTGCTGACAGAGGACATCAACATGCCGTCAGACAGGAAATACCTTCTCCGGGCCCCCATCTCCGCCCTGGGAGGACACAGACAAGGACAGGTCGCTCCCCCTGCACCCACGAGAGGCAGGTAGTGATGCTCCCAGTGCCAGGGGTGCCCTTGTGTTTCTGGACTCTGGGCACTGGGAGCCCCTCTCCAGCCCAGGGCTATCCCGGGTGCTTCGGTACAAAGCAGGGACCACGTCAGGGGGTTGCGGCTCTGACGTCCCCCTGCCACCTGGGGCTGCTGCCAGAGGGCTGAGCCCTGGCTGGGAGAGCAGGAAGGAGGAGGGAGGGGGCAAACCTCCCCCAGAGCAGGGCCTCCCTCGCTCCCAGCTGAAAGGCAGTTCTTCCTACTGGCGTGAGATCGCAGGGAATGTGTCCAGGTCTCTGCCCGGAACTCCTGAAACTCTTGTAATTTCCTGGGTGACAGGCATGTCCTTCGTTCTAATGAGATGACTCCAGATGGCTCCTGGATGGTTCCTGGTCACGGGACTGACCACGCCATGCACAGAAGTTTGGAACTTTGAGGCCATCCCTGTTCTCTTGAGCAGGAAGAAGGGCTGAAGATAGAGCTCCCGGTCCCCGTCAACCCTCTCGAGGAACCCCAAGAGCGCAGCCGGCAGAGCGGCCGGGCTGGTGAACACACCCACACGGGAAGGAGGGCGCGCCCCGCCCCACGGCGGCAGACGCTCCTGGGCCTGGGACCCCCCAGTCCTGGCCCTGCCTAGCTCTTGCTCTGGCTCCTCCGCTGTTCCTTTGTCATATCCTTTCGTAAACGGGTAAATCTAAGTGTGTCCCTGAGTCCCGCAAGCCGGGTTGGCAAACCAGTGGGGAACAGGTCAGAGAACCCCGATTTGCATCCAAGTTGGACAGAATTATGGGTCACCTGGGGACCGACGATTTGCAATTGGCATCTGAAGTGGGGGACAGTCTCATGGGACCGAGCCCTTCTCCTGGGGGGACGGATGAAAGCAGAGTTGCTGGGTGTGAGAGGAAATCCCACACGTTTGGTGACCAGAAGTGAAATGTCCTGGCTGAGTAGCAAGGGACACACACAGGAGAGGGGAGAGCTGGGTTTTCCCTCCACAGGAAGAAAAACAAGTGGCTTTTTTTAACACAAATGCACTGGCTCCCCTCACACAGGTCTTCTGCCACAGAAGAAGCCAGGAGCAAAGGGCCTGCTTTCAACACATCCTGCAGTGGAAGCAAGGCCCTTCCCCGTCCCCACCTCCCCAGCGTCCCCTCTCAGGGGAGAAAGCAGCCTCCCTGGGTCTGGGTCTGGGCAAGGGCCTGGCATGCCCTCTCTTGCTCAGACCAGGCCCCTTCCTGTCCCATCTCCCAGTACCTGGTTCAGGTGCGTGGAGGGGAGGCCGGGGACCTCTCAGGGATCAGAATTACAACGGGGAGGAGAAGCAACAGAGGACCACAACCGACCACCGTGCCCCCCACCCCACGGGCAGGCCTCCTCCATGCTCCCCTCGGCCCCATAGCTGACCCAGGCTCCAGCCCTGGGTTTGAGGGTCCCTCTCTGTGCTGCCAGGAAGGGACCACCATGTCCTCTCCTCACAGCTTTCCACCCACAGCACCTTCTCCCAGACAGCACCTTTCTTTTAATGGCCTTAAGGGACAGTTCAAGTGCACTGAGGAGTCTGGAAACCACCAGAAATGAGGAACCAGCATGGGAGACACGGGGAGGCTCGACTGCGTCATCAAAGGCATTGGCTTCCTCAGTGACCGCAGGCTCCTCCCCGATGTCAGGGCCCCTCTGATGACTCTGCTTTCCCCACGCCAAACCCACTGATGCAGGAGGCCGTAGGCAGGATGCTGCGCCCCAGGGCTCAGCCAGACGGCCAGATGGAGGAGCCTCCTGTCTCTCAGTGTCCCCCAGTGTCCCCCTCCAGGCACTGGGACCATCCTGACCCAGTGGCGTGTGTGTGCCTGGCGTGCCCATGACCATTGTCTTGTCTCCATCTGTCCCACACACATATCAAATGGGAGCCACCTGGCATATTCCTTCTTACTCTCCTGCCTCCAGAGCCAGTGTTCACGTGTGTGACCAGCCGGCTGGGGTCCCAGAAGCACGGACTGGTCAGCACAGGTGAGTGGGGTTAGGAGCCAAGACCATCTGCTGAACTCAGTTCTCAGCTCTGTTCCCAACTGGGTGCCGGCAGCCCAGTCCCAGAAGCCTGCACCCATGTCTTCAAGGTACCTGAGTCCAAGCCTGGCCCACGAGAACCCGTTTGGCTCTCAGTGACCCACCCACCCTATCCCCACAAGGGAGCCCGCAAAACCACCCGTACATTCATTCATTCATTCTCCATCGGGCACAGAGTCCATTGCAGGTCCCGGGGAGTGGGGGTGGAGCGCAGCCTGGGCCCTGGACGCAGCCACGGGTCCTTCTGGGCCTGATGGCTGTCTGGCCCCTCTAGGAGCACGACAGGGCCTCGGATCCTGGATTATGTAATGAAGCAGTCAGGCCAGGCGGGAAGGTATTAATTATGTCCCAGTCCTGAAGGTCGAAACTCCAGAACCAAGGTAGGATTGCTTCCTTCCCAGGGCAGTGAGGGGAGGGTGTGTTCCAGGCCTCTGTCCCCGGCTTGTGGAAGGCCGTTTCCTCCCTGTGTCTTCACATCCTCTTTCTGTGTACATCTGTCTCTCTCCAAATTTTCCCTTTTTTCCCCCAGTCCTAGTGGATCAGGGTCCACTGACCTCTTTAACTTGAGGACTTCTGCAAAGACCATCTAAGGTCACATCCTGAGGTGTGAAGGCTTAGCATTCCACACATGAACTTGGGGGGACACGATTCAACCCCTAACAACATCAACTCGCTGCTCGAATGTGTGGAGAAGAGAAGGGCCTGCCAGTATCCACAGAGCCCCCATCAACGTCAGTGCCACGGTCAGCGGCTTGAGAACTGGGCCCGAATGGGGGAGAGGCGTTGCGGGGGCACAAACGGCAGGGGCTTCCTCAGGGAGAGCAGGTTCCGAGACAGGGCACAGCTCTTGGGCCCTCCGTGTCTATCAGACGGCACCCCCCAGCCCGTTCCCTGTGACCCCCCCGAAAACGACAGAACTGTGGTCCACAGTGACAGCATTTCTCGGAGGTCTGGCTCAGGCCACCAGGATCCCCCAGGGGACACTGACAAACACTCAGAAAGCCCTGCATACCATACCCTTTCTTGGAGATCCACTGGCCACATCCTTTATTGTAATTTCAGCCAGCCCTCCTTTTAAAGACTCTAGAGGTCTCGTGGCAAGAAAGGATCTCTAATTAGGACCCTCCAAACTGACTCGGACACGGTCCCTTTCCAGGTTTTGTAGAACACGGACTAAAATCATATGGAACAAGGGTTTTCCGGGGCACACTTTGGGAAACACCACTCTATGATGACAAAACTTCCTCGTTGAAGTATGATTTTGTCCCACCTGAGGTCTCTGTCCCATGCTTCCTGAACAAGAGTGCTAAGGCCACCAGGCGGGGCAGAGCACAACAGGGATCCTCCAGGGGCCGGGCGGGGAGGGGCGGCCCATGGGGACAGAGGCCTGTCAGGGTGTCAGACCCCAAGCAGGGTGAGGAAGGCAACCTCCCGTGTCAAGGCCATGGAAGTACAAAGAAGACAGAGGAACTCTCAGGGCTGGAATAAACTTGAAAAAGCAACTGAGAAGGAAAGATGTTCCTTGTCCTATTTGTTCAAACTTTCGGTATGTCCTGATTATCTCAAAATTAAAGAGAAAAAAGTCTGCAGCCAAAGGTCCCAAGGTTTGCTGGGACGTGGCCCTTGCCTCCCACCAGGGCTTTCTGGGGCACCGCACCCCCCAGTGTCCAGCTACGCACCCCACACGGCCAGCTCCCCAAACCGTTTCCTCCAGGATGGTGCTGAGAGCAGCCAGCGGGTCAGCCCCGCGGTGGGGAGCGCAGACGGGGGCCCCCGGTTTTGCCCGTCCGGGCTGACGCCGAACGGCACCATGTGCTCAGCTTGGTTTCCCTCTAACGCAGCATCAAAACTTAACACTGAAGTAATTCTTCACTGCATTTGGTTTGCAAACTGGTCGGCACACAACAGAGACTGAGAGGTGAAGAACAGGAGAAACAAGTCACAAGCTTTGCTTTGTTCTTTCACTCCATCTTCTTGATTTTTTGTATTTATTGGACACAGAGAGAGAGACGGCACAAGCAGGGGGAGCTGAGGCAGAGGGAGAGGGAGAAGCAGGCTCCCCACTGAACAGGGAGCCTGGGGGGGGGGCCTGATCCCACGACTCTGGGATCACGACCTCAGCCAAAGGCAGATGCTTAATGGACTGAGCCCCCCAGGCGCCCCGTTTCCCTCCATCTTTAAGAAAAGTCTTTATTTCGTTCCTTCCAAGCTGAGAGGCTCTCCAGGGTGTGCAGGGCCACAGGGCGGCTCACACGGCCCACCGGGTATTAGCGTACATCCCGTCCTTTCTGCTACAACCCTGCCCTTCCACACTCTCACAGGTCTTCGGCGCAGGTGCACACAGCTCACTGGGACTTTCAGGAGACACCTCGAGTCCCGGCCCCCTCCAGCCTCACCTCCCCACCTGCCTGGACCGCCGTCCCCACCAGAGCCTGGACAGGTGCACGGATAGTCCGGCCGGGCGGCCAGCCCCACGCCCACAGCACCCAATGTGTGGCTCTCTGCCAGCATCCCTCGCTCACCCCATGCTCCCCGGCCACACAGCAAGGCTAGTTGGAGGGGAAGGCTAACCCCAAGTCAATGAAGTCCACCTGGAGAAGCAAGTCGTGTGAGCGCACCTAAGTCATGGGTGTTCTTCAGAAGCTGGTAAAGGGGGTTTCTTTAAACCTCACCTCGTCCACACCACCTGCCCCCAACACGCTCAGCATTCCCTCATGACCTGAGCCCCCAAAAGAGACTTAGTTAAGTCCTCCAGGCCCATCAGTGCACTGACACGAAGGACTGCATTATTCCACAAGATGTTTTAAATGCCCGGACAGAAGTCAGCCCTTCTAAAGGGCCCTCGTGTGCACTGTGCAATTTCAGCGGTTGGCTTAGAACTAGTTTCGAATGGTTTAAGTGTTCTAGTGAGAGCAGATTTCCACCGTACCATGGATTTCCTCGACACGCACTTGCCTACACTGTGCTTACCTCCCCACAACTCTACCTCTCCACTGCTCTTGGACAGTCTCCAACAAAAGGGCATCAGAAAGTTGGCTCAAGGAAATGAAGCATGAGGGTTGTGCTCTTACCAAAAAAACCACTTCTCTGAAAACATCTGCTGTCAGGGCCCATTTTCCTAAAACTACCTGTAGCAACAGCTAGTGAGGACGGTGAGGTCTGTGGAGGCCAGGGCAGCGATGGTCGAGCTCTTAAGACAGCGAGCACCGCGCCACCAAAACCCAAACCCAGACCTCTTTGGGAACTTCACAGAACACAAGGGCAGACCTGGCAGCAGGCTCGGCAACATTTCGCCATCGAGGGGGAAAAAGCAGTAACACCCGACTAATAATTTATCTTTTATTGAAATTGTTGAATACTTTATATTACAGTAAATTTGATTGAAAAAAAATGAGGAAAGAAATCAATTTTTAAAAATACACTCATGTTGAAATCAAATTAGCCAGCCAAACCGAGTACAAACCGAGGGTAGCTTGCTTTTCAGTACATGAATACCACTGAGTCTATATACAATTCTATAATTCGAGAAAAGTCATTCATTAAACACTTCAAGAAAGGTGCCAACAGCCAGGGAAGGACAGTGCTCCTGCCCTCCCGTCCTGCAGCACTGAGAGGCCAACCCAGCACCCCCAGAGCAGGAATCCCAAGTGCAATGCTAGGGCAAGATGCTGGCCCATCGGCTTTCATGCAATTTCCATGAAGTCACGCACTGTGCAAATTAAGGCTTCTTATAGGTCGAATGGTTGATAAACACTTTTTTTTTTTTTCTTAAAAAAATAAGCACAGTAAAGGTGGTATCATGAGAACCTGAAGAGGTGAGACCTACATCCCAAATCTGGAAAAAAGTTATTTTCTCTGACATCTCAACTCCATCCTCACACACACACAAAAATAATCAATCTTTGGGTGGGTTGTTTGAATTCACCAGCTGGCGAAAGAAATACTGATACATGTGCCCTGTGCACCTAGGATTGAGGATGTCATGCAAAAAGCTGCCGCCGTTACTGACTAAAGGCAGACAACAGGAGAACCCTGCCAAGCCTAGGCACTCGGGGAGCCCCGCGCGTGGGTGTGCCCGCACGTGTGCGTTCCCCTCAGAATCAGGAAGCAAAAAGGAAGGACAGGATGGAGCATTCTAACTTAGAGGCTACATTACTGACCAGCTCAAAATCTCCTACAGAACCTTCCTAGCACACCGACAGCTCCTCCTCCGGACAGCGGATGAACCACGAAGGGACCCCAGCCGGCAGGAAAAAGACTGTTGGGCTGGGTTTTTTATCTTTTGGTTTTTTTTTTCTTTTTTTTTTTTTCTTTTTTTTTTTTCCTTTTTCGCAAACCTGAGTAATTGTCAAAGTCAATAAATAGGAGGAGAGAATTAAATGCTAAAATATAATGGTCAAAACCCTACAGGGCCTAAAGCAGCAAGGGTTTTTCTCAAATACACAGCCCTCGGTTCCAAGACGCGTGTGGCCCGGGCACATAATATGACGTGCACGGCTGCCACGCTTTTATGTGAGGGCTGGGAACAAAACCCAGGGCCCCAGCTCTGCCCCCAGTGACAGGAGCAGAGCCTTGTTCCAAGGACTGTAAACCTGACCTCCTCACTCTCTCCCCCATCACAAAAACTCTTCCCTTTTGAAACAGTTTTTGTTAAAGGCAAAAATGATAGAAGCATCATCGAGCTGAAGTCTTATTTGGTTCGAAGTGCCTGGTGACGCCGGACCCATGTCTCCTGGAGGCCCAGGAGACTAGATGTGTAAGAGGTCCTCGTCACTGTCATCATGGAAGGACGCCAGGCTGCCGGAGTTCACGGTCTTGGGCGGCGCGGGCCTGGGCTTCCCTCTGCAGGCCCGGTCCCCTCTCGCCAGCACCCCAGCACCCTCAGCGCTCTCCCGAAGCCCACTCCTCTGCGGGACTCTCCCGTGCGGCACACCCGCAGCCCCAGTCCCTCTGCCCGAGTGCACCTTCACCTCTGGGATGGTCAGAACCTCATCCTCACTGTCCTGCTCGTCCCCATGCAGGGAGGTAAGGGCTTCGGCCTTCACAGACTTCGTGGTAATGTGGCCGTTTTCCTGTCCTTCCTTCCCGGGCCTCGGGGTCGGCACCTGGATCTCCTCCATCAACCACTCCGTTTCATTCTCATCCGCCTCCTCCTCCTTGTTCACCTGCCAGAGACAAAGCAGGACCCTGGAGCCCAGCTGAGGCCCCGCTGCGTTCTGTTCCTCTGTGGCCCTCCCTACCACGACCTAACCCGGAGTCGGGGACCCCCTCCTCTGCCCACTGCAGCCCCCACATTCCCAGGCTCCCCACGAGGAGAGGAAGGGAGGGCTGGCGACCGTCAGCTCCCGCTGAGACCCCACTGAGGCAGACAGTGTCGCCAAGGGCAGGGAAGCGGCCTCTACCCAAGCCAGGTGTCGGCAGGGATCGGAGAGGGATGGACGGGCGGGGCCAAGCCGGAGGAGAAGCCACAGGAGGGACATGACCGTGTCTGAGATCAGCCTTCTAGGAAGAGGTTTGGCAGGAGTATCACGAGCCTCGAGCCTTTAGCCAAATAATGCCCGTTTTGGGGAAAGTTATCTGAAAGCATCCATCCAAATGGCAGATGGCACAAAAATTTTCACTCTTTTTTTATTTTTTTTTAAAATAACCAACAAAGCAGAAGCAACTGAAGCTGTAACCACAATGAGAAAAACTTGAAGGAAAAAACGACAAATAGGGGGTTTGGGTTAAAAACAATGGATGATGTTTTCCCTCTCGTAGGACAACCGACGATGAAGGCATTTTCCTTATCATGGACTGAGGTCAGCGCCGCCGGCCAGCTGCGCACGGGGGCGGGGAAGGCGGGACGTTACCTTCGAGTACTTGTAGGACACGCTGGCGCTCCTCCGGCAGCAGCGGGTCAGCCTGCTTGCCACCAGCTCCCTGCAGGGCAAGCACAGCCGCTGCAGGGCGGAGGCCGCAGGGCCAGAGCCCCGCTGCCCCGGCCCCGGCTCCTCGCGCGCCCAACAGAGAAGCCGGCAGCCCGGCGACGCAGCCCTCCCCGGCACAGGCCCACTTAGCCCGCAGCAGTGGGGCCATAACCCAGTTCAGTGAAAAGAACACTCTGGAATTGGACAGAAGTAGATCTGAACCCTGCTCTACCTCCTAGTGGTCTAGCAAGGGCAAGTTGCCTAATACTTGTGCTCTTCCGCTGACCCGTGTTGACCATGAAAAGGCCACATGTTCCCGCCACCCCAGGCTGCACTGAGATTATGTGTGCCAAACAACTAACCCAAGACCAGCTCACACCCAGCCCTCTGCCCTGATTCTTTGTTCCCCTGCCAGCCTCTCCGGGGTGGGATGGCTGCACTCAGGACTCCGGATGCCAGCCCTCACTCGCAGGGGATGGTCACACTACAGGGCTCTTGGGCTCTGGGCTTCACCCGTACATGACATGGCAATCTCCCGGGTGGACAGCCACACATGGGGATGAGCCCTTTTACCCAGGAAAGGTGAGCCAAGAGGATGGCATCACACATGGCACGCATCTCACAAATGCTCACTTTGGCAAGGGGAGGGGAGGAGGAGGAGGAGGAAGACAGTGCAGCGGGCTCAGCTGACAGGACACAGTGTCCTCATAAAAGGTGTTCATCTTCTGTCTATCTCTGGACACAACCAGACACCGACGTCCTAGAAACCAGTGGGCCAGGCTGCGCACCCCGAGCACCTGCTCCGTGATGGGAGCACCAGAGCCCGACTCATACGCCTGAGACGGGCTCCATGGCGTCAGGCTCCACGGCGCCAGTCACACCGAGTGCCTTGTCACGGGAACGTAGCCATTTACGAAATAAAACTTCAGAGACTGCATCCACAGTGTCAACACACACACACAGGCCCAGATCCCAGGACAGCCCCTCACCCTGCACCGCCGCCCTCTCCTCACCTCCTTTCCTTCTTGTAAAGCAGCAGCGTCAGCAGGCAGCCCGTGAGCGCCACCAGCAGCAGGCTGAGGACCGCCCCGACAGCCTGGCTTCGCTCCGACAGCCCCTTGTGCTCCGGCATGTCCTCGCCCGTACCGTCACCATCGAGGCCCACCCTGAAAGGAAGCCACATCACTTGGGGGCATGCCACCCCAGCGACAACCCTCGCAGTCCCCAAGCCAGGATGCAGACATTGGCAGTGACAGAGTCCCTGGACAGTGAGGTTAGACAGGAGTCCAGCACACGGGTGGACGGCGCTGCCTGGCGCTCGGCGCACAGCGGTGACAGAGGACCGCAGCCGGAGTCCTGGCTCATCCCACCAGACAACTGTCAGGGCACAGAGGCACCTGCGAGGTGGACGAGAGGGACGAGGGGCCCCAGTGGTCTCCCAGGACCCGCAGCCCTCCTCTCTGGGGACAAAGAGTGGCCGCCTGCTGCCCGAAGGCCTCTCCCTCCCTGCATCTCGTCTGGGGATGCAGTGTCTGCACCGCGGGGGTTGAGGGTCCCCCCCAGGACAGCGTGGGGCATGGCACCATCTATCCAGGCTGCTCGTCCCGGGAGACAGGACTAGGGACGAACACACCTGCTACTCCACCAGCTAAGACTGGTCCAGGACCCTAACCAAGGAAGTAGTAAAAATTAACTGAGAGAAAACCAGAAGCACCAGGACGGACCTCCCTTTCTGTTCAGAGAACCAAACGTCTGTGGACGGACTCGACACTCCTGGTCCCGCGGGCACTCATGGTGGCGAGAGAACCCCTGGTGGCAATTCTTGCCCCCGCCCTCCCCCTCGAGAAGGCAGAGAGGAACGTGACGGGACCCTCTGGGCTGCTCAGGAGGAAACAGGGCACCGCGACAGGCCACACATGCAGTGAACTGGTGGCTACAGATGCTATAGACTCAGAAAACCACTTGGTTCGAGCTGGGTCAGAGGGCAGCCGATGGCCCGACTGTGTACGGATAACCACGCGGATCAGGGTTCAGCCGGAGCCAAGTCAGCTGTTTCCCATCCACGAGGAGGAGGAGCCCCGCATTCCCCTTCACCATCTGCTTGGGCGGGGACAGCCCCGCGGCTGCACTGGTGCTCTGGTGGGAGAGGCGCTTGGCCTCACTCACTTCCAAGTGTGCCCTCGTTTCTACTTCTGGGCGCGCCTGGGAGCCAGGAATTATTCCAAAGTTTGCTTTAGTGTCCCAGTGTGTCTCTATTTTCAATTAATTTCTCGTTACTGGGTCTTAACGGCCCCATGTTGTTTACACGACACCGGCATTTAGAAATTGGCTAACACTGGCCTTACATCCACGTTCCTGGAAAACGCAGGACAAAGCGGACTCTTTTCAAAAGCGAAAGCTGACTGGAGGTCGGACAGCGGGGATCTGGAACTCCCCCCGCTGTCCCTAGCTCCGGCTGCAGAGAAACCCTCCTCCAGGACACAAAGCAAACAACTACAAGACAAGAACTTTTCTTCCCAATCTTAGTCTCAGCGCAGAGAACAGCAGGCTCCTGGGAGAAGCTGACACGGATGAAACTGGGAGAAAACAAATCCAAGAGGAAAGCACCGTGTAACGTGTCTATGTGAGGACCTCTAAACGTGGCCGTGGACCGGGCAGAGGAACAAAGTCCGTGGGGCCGAGAAGAGGGGGGTTCCCCGAAGCCGCACAGAAGCCCTGACCGCCCTTCCCCCACTGGGAGTCCTCAGCACCCAAACGCACACTCCCACGAGAACCCGGCATACGGCCGATTTTCAAAATCTGTGGAACAAGTTCTCATTCCTTCAAACATAGACAATACTTTGTTCAAGCTGAAGGAACACTTACCCCATGACAATCTGCACTAGAGCACACGGAAAAACGTGCCAGGAACACAGAGGAGCCACAGCGGCCGCCTCCCACAAGCCAGTGAGGAGAACTGTCGGCCGGGGCAGGCCGGAAAGAACGAGGGGGCTGCAGCCTCGTGTGTGCTTGTGGGCAGATGCCGACGCACTGGGAGGGGCAGACGGTGGCCCTGAGGGTGTGGGGGGACCAGAAAGAACAAGACCTGGAGAGCCACTGAAGCGGGGTCCTGGCTACGTGGGTCTGCCTCTCTGGTTCTCAGACGTGCCAGAATATTCCCACAGGACAGCACTGGGGGCAGAGAACTCACACCAACAGACGCTCGAGCTGCATTCTGAGTGAGCCGGCTGGGGTACAGCTAGGACATGCACGTCCCAAGGGCAAAGTGACCGAGGAGGCTCCCGCCCATGCCAGGACAGTGTACTCACCCGAGAGGACACACAGCAGAGGTGTACCAGGAGAAAAGGTACTGGCAGTCGGCGGTCTCGTGGCTGAACTCAGGGATCCCATCCTTCACCGAAGGGTCACAGTGGAAGAAGATGGTGGAAGACACAGACTTCGTCTTATCCTTTCCACACTTAGAGGACGAGGCAAACACCACATCTAGATCACCATCTGTCAAAAAGGAAGACACAGGCCATGTTACCATCAATATTTCAATAAAGGCCCGACTTCACCTTTCCATGGTCTGTAAAAAGTTTGCATGGACTTAAAATCCGAGATAAAGGTCCTTCTTCAAGAGTCCCACATGTGTGCTTTCTCACAGGCCTCCTGACACACATTACGGAGCCCCTGACTCTCGTCAGGGAGCAGGAAAGACTTGAACCTTGCTCCAGAAGAGGTCAGGCTCTGTCCTCGGCTAACAGCGGGATTCAGAACAGGGGCTGGCCACGAGGTATCAGCACTTCTGGAAATGGAGATGGACCCAGGGGGCGACCCGCCAGCCAACCCACCGAACAAGCCTCCACACGGAGCCTGGGACACTGGGGGACCGGTGAGAGGCCCTGGTTGGAGAGAGTCCATGCACACTGTCACACACCAGCGCTGGGAACAGAACCCATCCTCTCGCCACAGAGGGAGGACAATAGAAGCATCCAGCTCCCTTCCGGACGCTACCCTAGATGCCTCTTCCCGTGGCCAGTTTCCATCCTTAACCGTGACTGTAACAGGTCAAATGAGTCTTGAGTCCTGCAGACGATCAAACCTCAAGGCAGTGAGGGAAGCACTCCGAAACCCACAGCTGGTGTCGGAAGGGAGCGAGCCATGGGCGGACGCTGCCCTCTCCGAAGTCTGCTGGTGGCTCGACGTGCACAGTCCGCCACTGGTACAGGGCCAGGGCGTTTACTGTGTGAGGCAGCCACGTCCGTGAACGGAAAGGAGCCCGGAGCCCCAGGCTCTGCGGGCCGGGCTCGGGAAGGCCCCACGAGTTCGTGCTCATAACCAGCTGAGGCATGACCTGAACGGACCGCCCCATCAGGCCAGCATGTGGGCGCACATCCCCACGCTGACGGGCAGCCGATGGCAGCTCCAAATCACAGCGAGATGGGGCTCCGGGCTTCCTACTCTGGCCCTCTGGAATGATAGGAGACTCGGGAAGAGATTTAAACTGCATTTCTTCATGAAATGCAAAAGGTGGTCTTAAAACTAAACTGACTTTCTAGCGTTGGTGAACACTGAAAGTGCCAAGGTCTGAAAGGGGTTTTAGGAATGACGAATAAATAAATGCACGTGCAGACATGACCCGAGTTAATCAAACTCGGAATTACTGGAAAGGAACAGAGAACCATGGGAGTTTACTCCATGATGTGAAATCAAGACAGCGCATCAGGCTGACCTAGCGGGTCTGTCTGCTGGGACTTCAGGGCAAGGCCACGTGCAGGGACAGTGGCACTCAGCGTCTGTGCGTGGACACACGGACGTCTGGGCTCCTACCACTCGGGGAGCAGCTGCTTCTCCTCTCGGGGAATCCCTTAGGAGCTCTTTTTACAACAGAGCCAGCTGGGTTTTTAAACACATTTAACTTTGTAAAGAGTGTCTCCCCTTTCTCTTCAACCTTTTGACAAACGTAACGTGTCTCACTCTTCCGTAGTCACATCTAAAGTTGCGAAGTAAAGAAGCAACGCGACAAAGGCAAACTGAAGGCAATTCTTGGACACACACACTTTACCTTCTGCCTTCACCCCACCTCACAACCTTGGCTTGAGACCAAGTTTTTGGTTTGCAGGCGCTTATCTGTGAACTGGGGTGACTCTTCCCTACAGTGAAAAGCTCATCTTACATGTACTTTTGAATAGTTCTGATGACTGCATAGCAGGACACAGACTCAGACCAGGCTTCTGCTTTCAAACTGGGGATTTCAACCAAAGGGAGTTTCTTCATGAAATTCTTAAAGTCCCTCCTTTGAAGAAGATGAACATGGAACACTGATGGAAAGCAATTACCTTGAACGTAGTATTTGGTTTTGTCAGAAGTTCCAACTTTCCTACTGAAGTGTTGGTCGTTTGGTTTAACCTGGCATATGTTGGCACCCGAGCACGCAGGATTTCTGGAGCTTGTGATGGAGGAAAGCTGGATTTCATACACGTACTTGTCCCCATTTGTTCTCATGTCCCCAGAGGCACTGAACAGCCTGAAGACAAAAAGGATGGCAGTGACTCCAGTCCCTCTGGAAACCTACTTCTGATAGACCCAAACAGCCAGGCCCAAGTGCAGGGCTGCAGGCCACGGCCCTTCCCTAGCTCGGCCGGCCTAGGAGCCTGTGAAGACACCCGAGGGCGCCAACTTCCACGCCATCTTCTTCCTGCCTCCCAGCCTGCGCTCTGAGCAGCATCCCGCACGGTGCCCACCACAGCCCGCCCCGGGCACGACCAGCAGCTGTGGCCTGCCGCTGAGGTCAGGCGGCCAACCCCTGGGATTATCAGAAGGGGAGGAGGAGGAGCGACTTCATTTTTATTCTTGCTAGAATGCACCATCTTTGGTGTTAAAAGTTAATAGGTGAGTAATGCTTTCCCTTGGCTGAAGCAAAATACGACAGCTACCCAGAAACAGTAACCGACACACACCGCCTATCTACCCTGCAGCTCCCCCCGCCAAGGGGCAAAGATCTAAATTGCTGGTTTAATTCTGAACACACTCCAGCACGCAAAAGGAAAATGTTCCACTTACTTAAAATAAATATCTCCAAGGCTGAAGCTCTTGCCGTTTACAGGGTTGGTGATGGTGCCGTTCACCATCTGCACCTCCTGGGGCTTCACGGCGCAGGCGGCCCGAGAGTCCCAGCTGAAGTAGTAAGTGCAGCTGTCGATGTCGAACCTGTGGAGCGAGCGAGGGCGGCGGTCACGCCCAGCCACGCTTCGGGCAGCCGCCGCCACACACAGCTGCTCGCGCCTGCAAGACCGGCTTCTAGGGCTCCAAGTGGTCCTGAGCCCCGGGTCCCCATGGAAGTCCCCCACCCTCCCCATCCCCATAGTAGGCACCGGCAGCTCTGGGTTGGAATGGCTACTACCGACTTTTCTCAACAGCGTAATTGGGAAGATGATGACCCAGCACATCGGCAATGTGAAAAAGTAGGCAACCGTTTAACGGTTTTGTTTTATTAAGAAACAGCGTGGCATCGTGCCTGGGTGGCTCGGTTGGCTAAGCATCAGCCTTCGCTCAGTTGGGGTCCCGGGATCGAGCCCCCTGTCAGGCTCTCTGCTCAGCGGGGAGCCTGCTTCTCCCTGCCCCATCCCATTCTCTCTCAGATAAATAAATATTTAAAAAAAAAAAAAAAGAAAGAAAGAAACAGTGCAACATCTGAAAATTGTTAAAACTTGCTCCCAAAGTTTTGAAGTTTATTTTACAAGCTTTTCTGACTCCTACATTGATTGAAATCCTAGGACAATTCCTGGGTCTCCCCGGAAATTCCAGCCCAGCTTCTGAAAGAATCGTCGGGAAACAGCAGCTCGTATGCTCCCTCTGTTGGCCAAACTGCTCCTAGCACTAGACGCACAGTTGCCTGGAAAACTCTAGGGTGATCCAAGAGCACCCAGGTACCAGCCCCACCTGCGTGGGGGTCTCAGGCCGCTTGAACAGCCGGCCTGGGCAGCACCAACCGCTGCTCCTTTGGTTCCACAACAATACTGAAGGCAGAGGCCAGTGAAACATCACTTCACAAGTCGCTTTGGTCAAGTGACCCTGTGTCCCCACCCCTTTTCCAGAAAATCCCTCCCTGTGCGGAGTAGCCCCATACCCCACAGGACAATTAACAGCCCCAGCCCCCTCCCCAGGCCCCAAATTTCAGTGGCTGCACAAACACCCTCTCCCTGTGCACACGACTGCACACCCGCATGCCCGCACGCCCGCAAGTGAAAACCAGGGGCAGAGATGGGGTGAGCTCTCAGGCCACACTCTCCTCAGCTCCCCCTGCAGGCCCGACCCTCTCACCTCCTGAACGACGGTCTGCCCACGGTCTTCGCACAGGTCAGCTCTATGACGGCAGATGCCGTCTTATTCTCCCCACACTGATAACCTTTCGAGTAAGTTACAACGACTTTGTCATCTGAAACATACAAGGGATAGAAGTGATGTTATTTCTGGTTATAAAAAGCTTCAGTGTCAGAAATCAGCATCTGTGTTAAAGGCCAAAACAAAACAAACGTTTGGCTCTCTCACAACTTCTAGGTCTACACTCCTGGGTTCGGAGCACGGCCAAGCTGGGTGACCACTCTGGGTCTGCACCACACCCGGTAGGGCTGGAAGACCTGGGTTCACAGCCCGTCCCCTCCCACGCGCTCGCAGCCTGACTCTGGGCTGCTGAGCACATCTCCTCGCCTGCCTGAGAGGAACACGGCCCCAAGGGCCCAGCACCGTGGGCACCTAAAGAGCCTCGCTCGGTGGCAGCGGTCACAGTTGCTCCAGTTCTATAGGATTCTAGGGTCGTTGCGCATGCTGTTCCAACACACCCCCGCCCCGGGGAACCCTGAGAGTCACAGGCCAGGGACTAGACCTCCCGACGACAAAGAGAAAAACCAGAAACAGAACAGCTCTGGTGTTCTCGGGCGGCCCGGCTCCGCGTCCAACTCTCCCACTCCTGAAAACACCACAGACGAGAGAACGCAGAGCCCTGACATGCGGGGTCCACAAGGCGCATGGGCTCACACAAGACCCTGCGCGGCTGCCAGGTCAATGGTGCTGCTGCTTCCAGCTACTGTGGGGGGGGCTTCCCGGAGCCGTCCGGGGTGCCTGAGCCCAGTCTGGCTCAGGGGCACAGGGCGGGGGCCTCGGAAGCAGCGCACACCCCGCAGCCCTGACTCTCACACCTCTGAGACACGGGTGGTAGGGGAAACACAGGCCTTGGCACCGGCTTCCCACTTACTCTTCCTGGGACACAGGTGAAGACACAGGGCACTGCTCAGCCAAAGGCGCAGGCCCTTAGCCTTGCCCAAATTCAAAGCTGTACTGGATGAATTAAATATCAGGCTCCTGTGCAAAATTTTGAAAGAAGTTCTACTGCTTTAAAGAGAAATCCTTAAACTGCTGGAGCACAGGAACCAAAGCAACACAGCTCTTACCGTGGATACCCTACACTCCCCGGCCATCAGCTCGACCTTCCGAACCAGCTCATTGCCCAACCTGGGGCATGGACTCTAACCCCGAGCCCACCCCCACAGTGCTGTGAGGACTGCTAGGCAGAAAGCAGAGCTGCAGATAAGGGTGACTTCCTGGAACAAAGAGTCCCTCTCTCCAACCCACATGGCTGCAGCCCTTCCCGGGCATCTGGCCCCTGGGCTCTGGCCTTGCACAGCCATCCTGTGAGGGCCAAGGAGTAAGGCCCCTGGTGTGCTGGGGACTAGGTGATCCCTGCAGGCCAAACCTTCCTTGAGGCCTTCACTCTGCAAACCTCTTCCAGCTGGCTATGGGAAGTCGGGGAAGGGCTGATCCAGTGTCCATACACAACCAGGAGAGCAGCGGAAGGCTACCCTCGACCCTCATCCTGAGCCGTGTGGGCAACAGCAGTGAGCGGCGCGCTGGGAGGGCCACTCCGGGCAACGGGACCGACGAGCTGCTCCACCACGGGGACGGTGCCTCCCTCGGAATTCCGTCTCCCCTCCAACAGCTCGAGCAGACTCCAGTCACAACAATGCGGGACCCTATTCTCCTCCAACAAGGTAAAAGTGTTTTTCTTTACTGGTCCCCCGAACACACCCCAGATGTTCCTAAGAAAGATCTGCCTTTTAAATAATGAAAGACAGGGGTGTCTCGGTGACTCGGTCCGGTTGTCTGACTCTAAATTTCAGTTCAGGTCATGATCTCAGGGGCGTGAGATCAAGCCCTGTGTTGGGCGCTGCACTGGGCATGAAGCCTGTTAAAGATTTTCTCTCTCCTTCTCCCTCTCCCCATCCCCACCACACTCACTCTCACGTGTGTGCTCACTCACTCTCTCTCAAATAAATAATGAAAGAACCTTTCACGCAACAACCAACTGCAAAATAAGTTTTTTACTAACACGTTAAAAAGAGCTTCGGTATTTTCTAAATTGTTAAGACGCTACAAAAATATACCTCTGAATTATGTTTACCAAGTCCTTGCATAACTGTTCAGCCTTTCCGACTCAACGCTGGAGCATGTGTATGCAGACTCCGGCGCTCGAGCCCGAGTTAGAGCAAGGAGCCAGAGGAACCTTAGCCACTGTGACCCTCTCGGGGTAGTTTCCCGGACAGGTGACCCCTCCGCACACACCTGCTAGGACCTGCCATCTCTAGGAATACAGAGTGTACTTACTCTAACGTTCAGGAATTAACAAAATGCTTGAGAAACAGTCGTTGGGAATGGTATGTGGCAGTTTAAACTCGAGCCAGTGCTGACCCTCCTGGCCACAGGAGGATGCGCTCAGCTTCCCAACTCCGAAGCAACACCTATAGTCACACACCTCAAGGACCCAGGGCCTTACCTAAGACGTCCAGCTTCTGGGTGTGAACGAGCCCCAAGACCTGGACGACACCAGATGCACTCTTTTTGCAAATGCTGGCTCTGTCCGAGCAGTCGAGAGGCCCTTTATATATTTTCTGACAGAGGTTTATGTAGTACCTGTGGAACAACACAGAGATGGGGGAGGGGCTGCAAGGTCAGTCCGCCCTACGCACGGGGGTGCGGCTCTGGCCATCACTTTCACAAACAGGAACTGCTCTGATAACCAAGCATTCCACGCCCCCTCCAAACGCAGCAGCACCCAAACAGACTTTCCAAGGAAGGTCCCGGAGTAGTTGGTTACTGAAGAAGGCAGCGTGTCACCCAGGCGGGTGGGGTGAACCCGGAGGCGGTGTGGTTTAGAAAGGCTTGAGCTGGGACCCGCAGTGCTCCAGTCCGAGCGAGCTGCTGACCTTAGGACCAAAGTCCTCCAAGTCCACGCCCCCGCCCCACTCTGAGGACTCCTGATCGGAGCGCCCCTGGCGGAGTCACGGAGTGGCTGCCACAGCCCCACGAGCCTCAGACCCGCACAGCCTATGTGGTCCATGCCCGAGAACTGAAAAAGTCAACGTCCCCCCCACAACACCCAGCAGCAGACAGGAGCCCCTCATGAGCACAACGCTCCTCAAGATGCACTCTGTCACACATGGACCACCAGCTTCTGGTTCCAAAGGCCCCTCTCCGTCCACCTCCGCCTTCACACCCAGCTCTGGGCACCAGGCCCGGCCGGCACTGGACCGGGGCTCTCAAGCCACCGCGAGCACCAGGTTTACGTGGCACCCCAGCTCTGCAGGGACGTGGAAGCGGGCCACCAAGAGCCCGCCACGGTCAGGCTGTGGTGGCAGGTACTCACGAGACTCCTTCGTGGACAAAGAACCAAGAGCCGGTGAGCGAGGACAGCAGCCGCAAGTCGTAGGTTTTGTGCTTCTGCATGAATTTGCACTCCATCTTCTTTGGAGGACAGACAACTTTTGTTTTCCACTCAAATGTCACCTCACAGCCACGAACTTCACTGAAGACCTGTGGCCTGCCGACATCCGCGTCCTCGTCGCACTTGAAGATGATCGCGGACATCCGGTGGCTGTTTGCTGGGGAGCAGCGCAGGGAAAAGTCAGGTCGCAGCCCGGTCCCCCGCCAGCAAACCCACCCGAGCTCGGCCGTCTCATTCACAACCCCTGACCCAAAACAGACCAAGGCCCCTCAGGGCCCTGTGTCTGTCTCCTCCTGGGTTTCTGAATGGCCCCACGGCAATGGCTCAGTCCCTCGTGGACGGGTATTCACCATCGGGTCACACGTGAACGAGGACGGGAACCAGAGCCACAGTAAGGTCCCTGTAGTTACCTAAAACGCCGAGCGCCGTCCAACAGACCCAAAGCACTGCCATCAGCAGCCTCAAAGCAGAACTACAATAGCCCCGGGACGTTTAACACTTAGAATTTCTTTAACTCCTCTTGCTCCCTGATTGTTCACAAGAATTAAATAGTTTTTTGTGTATTTCCTCATCACGTTCCTTGAGCACAAACATCCATTTGTGCCACACGTGAGCAGGACTGGCTCACAGCCCTGGTCTCCAAGTGTCTCCGAGCGGCACGCAGCCCGGCTCAGCCCGAAACCCTGGCCCGTGCCCACCACACAGGAGGGAGCCGGCCAACGAGCCTGCCACCAGTCCTGCCGATGCCCGTGCCGCCCCGCAGCCCAACGACTGGGACTCGGTGGCGCCGCGCCGTGAGGACATACACCGCCTGAGTTACAGGACGGGCCCTGGTGGCCCCCTGGCCTCGGCCTCTCAGCCCTGCCCTACTTCAGTCTATGTACGCGGTCATGTTAACACATCCCATCAAGCCAACCGAGATGTCCTTTCTCTACGGAAAACAAGCCTGACATGGAAAAACTACATGCGGCAGAATTAACCCAGACATCCATGGAGGTCTGAGCGCGAAGCCAGCGTGCGGAGGACGCCGGCCAAGCGGCAGCCTAAGCCCATACGCGTGCCCCTCTACGTACAGTGTCTGCAGAAGCCCCACTCGTGGTCTCTGTCGTAGTTAGCAGTGGTGGAGCACCAAAGCCTCGCCCTGCCCTCCAAAACACACTCCTCGTAGCTCTTTCCATTGAATATGAAGGGGAACACACAGGGGTCACCTTCCTCAGTTTCTGGAAGAAAGAAGAACATCTATGTAACCCTGATTACCAGTACAACCCCAGCCGTGCTTTCCCTGCTGGGCACGTCACCTAGGAAGGCTCAAAAGGATCCCATCCGGAAGCCACCACCCTAAGCCAACATCAAGACACCGGCCCGTGTCACAATGTGACTAGCAGCTCACAGGCCAGGACGTGTCGAGGCCCGAACCCACACTCAGGGCTGCGTGGACGGAACGCTGTGGGGTCCAAGCCCGGCGTCCGCATTCACGGCACCCACATCTCCATGCCTCTGTTTCCTCCTGTGGCTGGGTCTAACACCACACTCACTGGGAACATAAAACGCATCTTGTTCCCAAGATTTACCTGGAGGACAATTATCTCCATTGGCATAACTTAAGATGACAGCTTCATCCTGGTGCCTGTAATCCAGCCTCATGGATGCCAGCCGTCCAAAAGATGCCCCCTTGCTTCCGGAAAGCAGGCAGACACCTCCATCCTTACAGCCTCCTTCATCCAGGCCTGCCGCCGCAGTGCACACCCCGATGCTGTAGGTGCGTGAGTCTCGAGTCACCTGGACAGACAACAGCACACGCAGGTGTCAGTGGGTCTCGCCATGGAGGAGAGCCATCACTGCAGGGAGGTGCGTCCCTGCAGAAAAGCAGGGGCCGCCTCGGGGCTGCGCACGGGTGTCTCGGGACGCCCTTCCTGCTCTCCAATCCTGACCTTCCTCCAGAGGGCATTGCCTTACCCACCGTCGGGGCATTTCCCTCTGGCCACTGGAAGGATCTGCACCTCCGTCCGCCCACAAGCCCAGCCTTCTTCGTCCTCCCAGCCCCTAGCAGCCGCAGCACACACTGCTGGCTGGGCTTGACAGCTAGGCCTCAGCCCAGGCTCCCCACCTGTTAACACGGGGGTGCTGAGGACCAAGCTGATGACCAGAGAGCAGACACAGCATAAGTGAGCACGCAGCGTGCCTTCCGCGCTGGCCCCACCCTCTGCTCACACCTGTACACCTGTCACACCTGCATGAGCTCTCCATCACAGGAGCCAGGGCACGAGCATCGGGGCTCACTACTCACTAGCTACCATACCCCGGGAGGTACTGGCGTCTGGTGGGCATGGTCCAAAGTGCATAACCCAGTAACATCTCGATCACAGGCCCCAAGGCGAAGAAGCCTCCAACACCAGTAACTCAAAATGCCCAGGGCCTCACCAATACCACAAACAGTCCATGACACACAAGCCAGATAGATAAGCCCCCCCCCCCAGCTGCATCTCAGGTGAGGGGAAGTCCAAGCTCCCTCCATCCACTGTTCCCTCCGAGCTCAACAAAGAGCTGCGTCTGCATCTTCCAGCCAAGTTGGCAGGAGACAGAGGGTGTGACTCGTGACTCACAGCCTCTGCTGGGTGTATCAGACCTGGCCCTGCCCCCATGAGGTACACGGTCACATGCACGTCCCCAAGCAGCCTCCTGACCTCCACTGCATCATTTAACCCTTACAAAGCCCTAAGGAGCGAACCTCTGAGCCGTGGGACACGACTCCAGCGCTAGTTGGGCCTTATCTGCTGCACAGTGTAGAATCTGTAGATTCTAGATCACAAGCTGATCACAAGCTGATCCTGGGTGTCCGGGACGAGGCGAAGCCCACTGCCCCTCCATGTACTGTGCTTCAGTGGTCACAGGCGCCCACCCCCTACAACACAAAGAATCGGGCCGCCGTGTCCCGAGACCAGCAAGCTCTAGCTGAGCAGGGTTACCTTGAACGTGCTTTTGGAGAGGCTGGACAGGTTAAAGCTGTAACGTAGCTGCTCGTCCGTCAGGGAGCAGCCGTCCACCTTCACTTCGTCGGGACAGACCAGCGGGGTCTCCCACCCAAACACAAAGTCACAGTCACTGGTCCTCAGCAGCATGGGAGCTCCCTGTTTGAAAGAAAACCCACGTGGGTCAAGTCCAGCGTCCTCACACAGCTCTCCTCCCCCAGCTGGCACCAGAAAGAGACCCCTGCCTCCGGGGCTGTGGCTGTGGCCAGGAGACAGCCAGGTGCTCTGGGTGACCCGCAGCGGCCCCCCTCCAGGAGGGGCCGTGGTCACCACCCGCTGCAAGGAACCAGGCCGGCCCTCCCGGCATAGCCAGGTGTCCTGCCCACACAGCTGGAGTCCCCCCACGACCTCCAGGGGCCCTCCACTTAGAGACAGAGTTTCCGTGTCCTCCACACGGCCGGCTCCTTAACCGTCCTGATCCAGCAGGATGTGACAGCGAGACCCGGCCACCGCAGAGTGGGGGGCAACCGCTCTGCCCTGCTCGCTGGCAGTGTCTCCCCCACTGCTACAAACCAAGGACCTCCACAGAGGGCACACCACGCGGCCAGACTGCACCCAGGCCATGGAGTCTGCGTCACTGTGTTTGTGTTTGTGCCCTCCCTCGCCCAGCAATAGCCACAAAAACAGACGGGGCGGCTGGTCAGGAATTTCATTTTTAGCTGCTGTTGAGAATCGGTTTTTCTATAAACTTCAGTGGAAAAATACTCCCGCTCAAAATAAAACCGAAAGGGGAACAAATCTCTTTAAGATCTTTCCAAACTTGAGCACAAATTTCATGTAAGATGCCTTGTATCTGACAGCCCGTGAACACGGCTCATTCTGAGAACCAGCGCCCGCCCCGTGCCCCACCAACCACGCGCGTTAGGAGGATTCAAGCTCAGTCGTTAGGCATTCTCCATGTGGGAGGGCGAGACAGCCAGCGCCCCTCGGGACAGGGGATCCTCGGAAGAATCCTGTGTGAAGAATGAAGTCCTGCGAGCGGGGCAGCCCTTCTACAGAGGAAGCCCCTGGCTTATGGTGTGTGCTCACAGCTGCCTGGAACACACGCAGACACACGGACAGAGATAAAAGGGGTTCACTGATCACAGCTCTGCACCCCGATAACTCAGGATTATCCTGACAGCCAGCGGACAGTCTGTGAACAGGGACACGTCCGAGGGCCCTGATGTGGGGTGAGCCACCAGATGAGGAGGCCCCAGGCAGTGATGGTCTGCTTCCTCCCCCTCCCTTCCCACCACGGTCACAGCCAGAGCTCCCTTTGCCTGACAAACCTGCTACAGGCCAAGAAACCAGAAAGTCTGCTTAGGGAATTCACAGGACACATTCCAGAACCAAATCTGCTACCAGAGCTTCTAGGGCCAGATAAGCCTTACAGCTCATCGTCTTCAGGATTTCAAGAGGCAATTGGAGCTACATATTCCTATCCCTCCTCTCTCTCTCTAACACACCCTCACACAAACACACAGTCCTATAATCATGCACATTCACATTTCTGCAGCAGAATGCGGGAATATTCTTAACAGGTGGGACGCACACCCTAAGCCGCCTCCATGCATTCATGTCAGAGGACTAAGTTCTCCGCGTGTTCTGAATTTCAGAAGCAGCGACTCCGCGCTGGGAAGCTGGGCTGCCCGGGGCAAAGAGCTCACCACCAGAGGAGGTGGGGTCCCAGCGGCCACTGCGGGGCCGTGTGAGTCAGCGGCGACACCCAGAGGCTGAGTCCCTGTGACATGGGGACCACAACCTACCATTTATCTCCTGTTCACAGAGAGAAAGCAAGAGAAAACGTATGCAGAAACTCTGTGTAACAGAACGGTACTCATGATGGAAACTGTGTTATTTTTAAATGAATGTAAAACAGAAGTCGATAACCTCCTTAGAAGGAACACATGCAGGTTTTTTTAGAGCTAATTTGATTCCCGAGAGGCCTTCTTTTGTTGGCTAAATTCTAAATCTTGGGTCATATCCTGATCGACGAGATCTGCCAAAAGTCTGAGTTCCCAGTAAGAGTATATCACTAATGCTATAGTTTTTAAAAAGGAAAAAGAAAGCTGACACTTCTGTACGTTGGCAGACCCTGAGTACCACTCCTATGCTCAAGTGTTTCACGTTTTCAAATCCCAGGGAGCCTCGCTATGCAAAGTCTGCCCCATTAATTCAGTGTGGGCTCACTCATTGTTAAATTAATGGTTCTGGGGCACCCGGGTGACTGGGTAGGTTAAGTGTCTGCCTTTGTTTCAAGTCATGATCCCAGGGTCCAGAGATCAAACCCCTCATGGGCTCCCCGCTCAGCGGGGTGCCTGCTTCTCCTCCTCCCCACTTGTCCTGCCCCAACTTGTGTGCACGCTGACTCTCTCTCATAATCTCTCTCACATAAAATCTTTTTTAAAAAATTAATGGTTTTAAATTACTCAGCACCCCACTGACATACCACACGACTGCATCCGTGTTCAATACGGGCATCCTTAATTCCAAAGCTTTCTGGGCCTGCAGCTGTGGCTCGCTAACCCAGGCCTCAGCCCCCAGACTGTGAGCAGCGCACACTTACCATGCTCACGCCTCTCCTACAGTGGAATGCGATCAGTGAGGTGTAGTTGAAATGCTTGTCCGCCAAGCAAGGAGTACTACTTTCAAAATTCAAGTAAACTTCATTAGCTATGGGGTTGAGTATTGGGGGTCCCGTGACTCGGCCAATATCCTAAACAAAGAAAAAGCAAACAGAATTTCAGGAAATTGCTCCTTGGCACGGCGAACACAGGCTAACACAGAACTGCAAACAAAGTACCTCATGTGTTTTGAAAATGAGCAGCATCTAAAGAAACTAGGTTAACAGCAACTGACTTGACAAGTCTTGACAATAAAAGCCACTACTCAGAAAGTTCAGTTCGTCAGCAGTCATCAGTTTCAATCCCACAGTTTCTAGCAATAGGATTCTATTTTCAACCATGGTCAATTTTCGAAGACACCAGGCAGTAGGATCTTCTCTCTCCAGGTGTCTCAAGAATGCTGCGTGGTCTCTTATTACCCGATGGTGCGCCACAGGGGCCCAAGGATCTGCCCCCACGCCGGCTCGCCTCCTCATGCCCAGCACTGCCCCGGGATTCCTCAGTTTCCTTGGCACTGCCCCTCGGAACCTCCGTGGGAGGGGCAAAGGCTTGCTTCCAATGATCTTTTACTGTTCAGCACAGCATCTTCTGGCTGCTCAGTAAATATTTCTGAGCAAATAAACCCAAGAATGAAGGAAAGAGGAATGGCCAGGGGTGGTGTGTGTGTGGGTGATGAGTGGGAAAGCGAGCCGTGGGGCTCTCGTCCATCACCGTGGGGCATGTTCAGGCCACGATGACACGATGCCTGCTCCAAGTAGGGAACTGGCTATCGTTTCTAAGATCTGAAAAAGGACAGGCAGGCAGGAAAATACAGCAGATCCAACCTCTCAGAAAAGACTCACATCCAGGTCCCAACCTGGGTGGTCAGAGAGGACAGCACTGAAATGCTTCCTACAAAGATGTGGGTACACACAGGCCCTCGGTTCCTCATGGAGGTAGGACTCTGTGAGACTCCTATCACCATCAATTTCCCCACCCACTCCCAGCACCTCTCCCCACTGACACTGCAGATAATGCCCATTTTTAAAAGGACATCTCCAGGGGCGCCTGGGTGGCTCAGTCAATTAAGTGTCTGCCTTCGGCTCAGGTCAAGATCCCGGGGTCCTGGGATTGGGCCCCAAGTCGGACTCTCTGCTCAGCGGGGAGCCTGCTTCTCCCTCTCCCACTGTCCCTCCCCCAACTCACGTACACACACACACACGCACACGCACACACATTCTAATAAAATCTTTAAAGAAAAAAAAAAGGGCATTTCCAGATCTTATGACAGGACTGTGTAAAGCCTACAGATAGATCCTTTGGGACACCTGGGTGGCTCAGGGTCCTGGGATCGAGCCCTGCATTGGGCTCTCTGCTCAGCAGGGAGCCTGCTTCCCCCCTCCTCTCTGCCTACTTGTGATCTCTGTCTGTCAAATAAATAAAAAAATAAAATCTTAAAAAGAAAAAAACAGACCCTTTTGAGATGCAGCTCAAATAATAAAGCACAGCAGGGATGTGATAAAACATGAAGACAAGTTTCAAAGAGCCAAAGCTGTACTGCAAAGTGCTAGGAGGCAGAGCCTCCAGCACTCAGTAGATCTGCTCATGCCCCAGGAGGACCCATTTGCCAATGTGCTCGGGAGGGGCAACCTTTCTGTATCCAAGACATACATTTCAAAGAAAGAAATCAAGTTATCGGTGTTCTTTCTTGCCACTTTACAGAAAAGTTTCCTGATCAGGGTCAACCTTGAGAATCCTAACATGACACCAGAAGTCTAGCTACTCACATGTGTTCGCGGTTCCTTCCACTACGAGGAGACCCTCAGGCTGCCATCATCAGCCGATGGCTCGCGGCACAAATCCCTACGTTCATCTTCCCCAACTGGACCCAGGACACAGTCCCAGACCCTTGCACCCTCCTTTCTGCTTAAGTAACCCTCCACTGAAAACAAGAAACACAACATGACAATTGTTGAAAATCCTGCAAAACTCGTTTCCGCCTCGCACTTCGCATACTTACTATGGGGGGACCGTCGACGGGAACCTTGCACACAGCCGCGCCGGCGGGACAAGGCACCCCGTGCATCGGGTTCAGCGGCTGGCAGACGTTGATGTAGAAGTCAGGGCCGGTGTCGGAGGTGTCATCCTCACTCTCGTCATATGCCTCGTAGCCCCCCGTGCGGTGGATGAGCGGGGACAGGTCGATAATGGAGCTTCCGTTCCTCACAGAGCACTCCGTCTGTCAGACAGGGAGGACCTCACTGGAGTTCACAAGAACACTCCTCACCACCTCAAAATCACCCCAGGAAATTTAACAGTAGCACAAAGCAGCACAAAAAACATCAATATTCCCCCACGCATGGGCAGGCCCACCTTCTCATTGTTGGGACCACCGCGGGCGGCTGAGCGGTGCGGGCTGCCCTCCGGAGGGGAGTGGCGGGGGACAGTGAACTGAGGAAAGCCGGTGGGGGGAGCAGGGCCCACCTGAGCTATGGGTACCCAGGCGTCAGGAAAGCCCTTCTCAGAGGTCACACGGGCCCCAGACTCACCACCTGCTCGCAGGCCAGAGGTGTGTGCCAGGAAAAGAAGAGCGTGCACGTCTGCTTGTCGAGAGAGATGAGCATGGGCCTGTTGGTGGGCCCCACCTCGGGCCTGCACACAAAGCTGATCACACTCTTGTAGGTCAGACCGGACTTGGAGGGACAGGGGGACCCGCCCTCATACACCAGCTGTAAGACCTGATCCACGTAGGTCAGCCTCTTGTTCGCCTTGCCCACACTGATCCTGGTCTGCCCGAAGCAGGCCCCTGCGCGAACATGGAGGGAGAGGGAAACACAGTCATGGACTCCGATGACCAGCTGTCTCCAAACCCAGAGCTAACGCTCATCACTCTGAGTGCCCAGCGTGGTTCCGGCAGGCGTCCTGCGTCTACTACTCCATCACGTGTCCCGTGCCTCCCCCACGTGTGCAGAGTATTAGAGCAAGGAAGGTGATGGGTCTTCAGATCCACTCCTCTCTTTTGCCACAGGAACGTGGGGGCTGGGGACAGCCCTGGGGACGGGAGAGCCAGGCGACAGGCAGGAAGCCAAAGCACTTACCCACACCGGGGGAGCAGTTTTCATTGTCGTCACAGACGCTGATGAACACGAGCCCCTTCTCACTGTAAGCGGCCGTGTGTCCCGCTCTGCCACTTAAAGAGCTCAGGTCAAACAGATGTCCTGAAAGGGGGGCAGGGGGACGCACGGTGATGCCAGCACACTCACACGTGGACCACGCTGGTTCTCCGGACTTGTGACTCCTGCTGGGAGTCCCCCACTTGCCTCGTTCACTGACCGGGCCTTAAAAAGGCTCCTGGCCCACTAGTCTGTACCATGAGGCTGTGGTCTCCAAGTTTATAGGATAGCTCATCTCTCCTCAGGCAACAGCGCCTCTGAGTGTCCTTGGGGCTGGGCCACAGCAGCCACTAGGATTGTGGGATTCGGGAGGGCCTGACGGCATCCCTCCCGTGGCCAAGGGCTGCCAGCTGCAGCCTGCTGGGTCCCCAGCACAGCCATGCAGTCGCAGTCTCCCAGCTGCCCCCACACGACTACTGGAAGGTTAACACAAGGACACTGACTCCAGGCAACTCTGCAAGCCTCAGCTGCTGGGACCGGCACCCTCGGAAGCAGGAGTTTGGGACAGCAAGGCTCGCGGGGAGGCGGATCAGTGTCTTCCCCACCAAAGAAATCCAGGTAAACACAACTGGGTAGAGCCAAACAAGCGGCCAACGTGCACACACGTGCAGAGAATGCTGCTGCCCAAGGGTATCCTGCTCCCCAGCTTCACGTTAGGTCCCTCACTATGGGCACTGATGACTCGCTATCAGGCACTGGTGTCCGGCAATGTCCCTCACTATTGGGGTGGGTGACTGGCAGTGTTGCTCACGGTGTGTGTGGTGGGGGGAGGGTGGTGATTAATAGTGTCCCTCACTGGGGGGGGGGTTTGGTGACTGGTGGCATCTGTCAGTGTGGCGGGGTTGGTGACTGGCAGTGCCCCTCACCTGTGGCGGGGTTGGTGACTTGGCAGTTGTCGTGCACGTTGCTCCTCACAGGACAGGCAGCCGGTGTGGGCCAGGAAAAGGTATACTCGCAGTCTTCCACCGCACTGATGAACATGGGCCTGGAGTTCTACAAGCAAAGGACAGAGCACTGCCAACACGGCACAATTTCTACGACACGTCAGCTTACATCAAGTTAAGAGCTTCTCTGCAGCACCACGCTGAATTTTGGTCAGGTCTTTATGGACCGAGGGCAGACCGAGAAAAGCAAAGGGTCAAGATCTTCCTGGGATTGCACTGGGGCCTTCACACACGCAAGGTGAGACAGACTCAGAGCCAGAAATCCACTTGGAGGAACACGGAAATTCTCCTACAGCTACAGCTAGGGAAGGCAGGCAGGGGACAGGGTGAGGAAGCAGGCTCGAAGGCTCTGGTGAGTCAGGAAGGAGCACATAGCTGGTAACACTCTGAAACACAAAGGAACTAAATCCGTTACTACAGACTAAACCAAGAGCCCCAGCCAGAGAACTTATCATTTCCTCTACTCATCCTCCACTTGCACTGGCGAAGGCCCCTCTGTATTTCCCCAAGCCTCCTGTCCACAACAGAGCTGCTAAGACCAATGCAGAGGGTACACTCCTTTCCAGATAAACCTGTAGCAGCTTAGCCATGAGGCCACAGCCCACCCTGCAGCCCAGCCTCCTGGGCCACCCACCAGCAGAGCCCCTCACACACCACCCTCATGTCTCTTCCCACATGTCCATCAACTCCTTCTTCCTCTGCCACGAGCCTCAGCCAGTTACGGAGCTGAAAAGGTCCATCGGGGCCCAGGAGTCCAGTCCCCAGTGGCTCCCGTCTAGGCTAAGCCTCTGTACAGCTCCCCGAGGAGGAAGCCCCAGCTGCTGCTCCTGTCAGAGGGCAGACCCCAGAGCTCCTCCTGCCACTGCTGGCCAAACACAGCTGGAGCCAGTGGGCCCTCCATCCTAGAACACTGAGTGGGCTGGTCCGGCTTGACCTTATTCCAAAAATTAGCTACAACCCTAATTTTGAATAGCACGTGGGGCTTCACCTTCATCTCACATGTGGAGACGTTCCTGTGGGAAATAACAGTCTAGAGAAACCATTCAGTCCCACACCTGCTCAACTTCACACACAGCAACCCCTCAGAGAGAGGCATGGACCACGGAAACGAGCCCGGCCCCCATTTACCGCACCCCAGCCGTGCACCAGCAGTGATGCCCAGCCCCTCCGTCTTCTCTCTAAACTCAGGACGATTTGGCGAGATGGGAACAGCTCGTGTTACTCACGTGGAACAGTCCAGCATAGCTAAGTAAGCAAGCTAGGAAGCACAGAGCAGCCCTGAACCCAGTCTGTCTCACCTCCGGCTTCTCCCAAGCTGCATCCGTAAAGGCAAAGGGCACTGTCAAATAGCAGTTTGCTCTACAGCCATAGGGGGCCTTCCGGGGACCAAACTTCAAGGAGAATCCACTAATTCTGAGACTAGAACTCCAAGTCCGACACCCCAGGAGTCAGCAAAGAGAGGTAGGTGCCCACGAGCCACAGGGCTGAGGCAACACGGCCACCACCCGCTGTCCAGCAGGGTGTCCCAAGCACTGCACCCTCCACTCACACCCCAGGGGAAGTCAGGCCATCTCACGGGCCCTGGGATCCGTACGGGCCCAGAGCTGCCGCACTGGGGGCTCAGGAAACTGTGTCACTTACCACTTGACTCTCGCTACAGGTGAAGCGGATGGTGGTTGACTTCTTCCGAATCTGGTCTGGACACAGGTCGCCATCGACATATTTCAGGACGGTGGCACCATCTCTCCACTGTGGCCCCTCGCTCACCCTGCCAAGGTTCACAGGCTTGGAGCCACTCAGGAGACACGCGGCCGCTTCCGGAGGGCACGGCTCTGTGAAAGGAGACACAGTCGTTACCTTTGCTGATTTTCCAGTCTGCAATTTATCTGTAAGTAACGTCAGACGTGCGATACACTTGGTATCTGCTGCTTCTTCCACGTGAGATGACAAAGATGCCACAGGACTTCTCAGTTAAATGCTGTTTTACTTCAGACGGAAGGGGGTAGGCACGGGGTGTGGGGAGAATCCAAGATTTCACAGCCTGAATTATTTCTGAATCCCCAGTGTGTTGAAGCTAAAATACCTAGATAAGCCAACTGGACATTTCAAATGGCCCACATTCAAGGACCATCTTTATGAGTTACTGAGAACTCTGCTGATTTCCCAGTCCCTAAAACGTCTGTGCTATCTGCCCTGCATAAAAACCAGTCCCACCTCATGGATTAGGAACCACGCTGTCACTGATCTGCCTGACACAGAAAGTGAGGGGAAGCGGGCCACTACCTCAAGTGAAAAGGCTCACCCACCCACATCACTCTCAGTAAACACAGGCACACGCTCAAACTCTTTCACTCCCTGTGTCTCCTCCTACCCTGCTAAGAGTCACTTGCCACCATGATTCCCACCACCTGCCTCCAACTCATGCTCAAACAACATTACTATGTTCCCAGCAGAGCCTTCAACAAGGACTTCTTTTTTTTTTTTTTTTCCCCAACAAGGACTTCTGCTAGACCATCCCAGGGATCAGTTCTGAAACCCTTAAATAATTACATCCTCCTGCCACCTCGTGGCCAAAGCACCTTCACAGAACCCTGTTCTTGCTTGATCTGCCCCCAGTCTGACCACAAGCCATCTGCCCACCAGGAGTCATCTCTCACCGGAGCCAGCCTGGGGAGACAGAGACTTGCAAACGTTGATGAGGTAGTGCTCGGTGGCTCCTGTCCTTGTGACGGCTTCCCAGTTGTCACTGTACCTTGCCAGGGACGAGAGGTCGAAGGTGTTACCAGCCCCGTCTCTGGAGGGAAGAGAACACTGCGGTTAGGCTCACCGGGTACTGCGGGTGGACACCGAGCACTGGGAAGGCTCGATATTTGAGGTGCAGGCTGGGCCTGACATCCTGGGCCTCAGGTCCCACCCAGGCACAGAACTTCAGACTGAACCTCGCCGGCCACCTTGCGTCAGAATCAGAACCTGAGCTCAGGAAACTTCACGACTTGGCTCAGCAAAGTCTGTATTAATCCAAAGAAGGGCAGAGACGAAGCCTGCAAAGGAAGCACTCCCTGAGCTCAGGGCAAACAGCGTACGCCACAGAGCACTCCCAGCGGCAGCCACCTGCCGTCCAGCCCCAAGGCAACCGCGGTCACAGGAGTGCAGGTGCACTGGTGCGGACGGTCTGCTCGGGCTGAAGTTCACTACTGTACACACCCCACACACAACCGTTCCTCAGAGCCAACCCCACAGCAGGCGCGGTGTTAATGGGGAGCAAGACAAGCGTCTGTCCCCGGGGGCGCCAGGTCCAACTGGAGCAGAGGCGCAATCACAGACGCCACCCCATGAGGTCCCAGCAGGAAGAGGAGACCGGAAAGCACCCACTGGTTCAAAACATATGTGCTAAGCTGAGGGTGTTATATTGACCCAAAAAGATACAAATCACCCATCTTATGCAATTCACAGAAATTACCAGGAGAAACAGGATACAAGTTTTTTTAAGTATAGAGTATGTCAGAGGGCAATTAACGCCAAAGAGGAAAAAAGTCTGGGGCTGGGTGGTTGGGGGGAGGTTGAGATTTTAGATGGCGTGGTCAGAGAAAAACTTACCGAGCAGGTGACCTCACTGTATACATTTCTGTACTTCCGTGAATTTATTACAATGTGCATGTGTAAGCTTCCGTTCTAACTGATTATTCCATTTTTGACTTAATTCTTTTAAAAATGGAGCATAAAAAACATGATAGGAAAAGCTCTATGTACAAAAATATAAAAAAAGACTCTTTGTACACAAATCTCAGAAAACGGAAGACAGCCTCAAAGGGCAGTAAGAATGGCTAAGCCAATCAGGGCTATCCACTCAGAGGTCGTCCACACCCGCTAGAAATGAGAAATGAATTGGTTTCACAAGGAAACGCTCACGAGGCCATTTTGTTGGAAAAAGAAACATCTCAAAACAAATGACGATTCAATGTCACTAAATACAGATTCCCGAATGTGCGCTTTACCATACGTTACTGAAACTCAAAGAGTAATTACTTTACCCAAACGAAAGGAGAGAGCGCAACCAAACAGAAGAGGAAGGAAGGAAAACACGGAAGTGACTCTACTCTCCCCCAGGAGAATGAATGTGACACCCCCTGCGATCCCTTTCAGGTCATCACACAGCAGAAGAGGCAGCATGTCCCTTACCCGCTCAGAACCACAGACAAAACCTCCAGGGATGGGATACAACGTGCCTATTTTGTGACAGTTCCAAAGACAACTCTTGTTGGGAGTCATACACCGTAAAGCCCTCTCTCTTACCTCAAGAACACCCAAAACCACCCAATTCCAGGAACCACAGGTGACCTGAGACCAAAAGAGCCACCGACCGCCCCCGAAAACCTACGTCTGGGGGCCGCATCTCCCACACCACCCAGCCCCTCATCCTCTCCACACCTTCTTCGCTGTTGTGCCCCCAGACACAAGCAGCGTGCGAGGGTGGAGTGGAGGCCAGGTGATGTCCTGGTCACTCCGCTGCACTTACACCTGGGAATCACGCGAGGTTTTCTGTCCCAACTGCAATCGCCTCCCGGTGTGGTTCTTAACCCAAAATAATCCCTGACCCGAAGCTGTGAAGGATTTGGAAGTTCACCTAGTCCCAGTGCTCATCTGACTAGGAAGGGACGAAGGCTTAGAGAAACCACCTAAGCTAACCTCCCGTCCCCCAAACACCAAAGCTGGCCCAAGTTCCTCCGACGTGAGGAAGAGTCAACAGACGCGTCCACTCACTTGAAGGAGCACTCGGTCAGGTCGAAAGGCGCACAGGCGTACTGCGTCCGCCACTCGAACAGGTAGGAGCAGTCTGAAGTCTCCCTGAGAAACACCGGCTGGAAGGGGAGAGACGCGTCAGAGGGGGCGCTCCAGCTCGCTCCTCACACTTCGGATCTCGGGAGCGAACACGGGAAAGGGTGGTCACGAAGGGCCACACAAGCTGACCAGGGTTCCCGACGCACCTTCTGTAACTGAGGCATCTAAACTCAACCAGCCGGGGGAGTCTGAAACTCCAGAGCGGACGGAGGGCCGGGAGCGTGGGGAAGCCGTACCTGGCCAGGCGGCCGCCCCGCAGCTGGGAGTCCACTCACCCTCTGGGTGCTCCGGTCACAGTAGAAGAAGATGGTTGTGGAGCGCTGGTACACCTTATGGCAAGTGTCCCCCCCCGTGTAGTTCATCTTCAACAAGCCATTCTCATACGTCAGCTTCTGAGTGAGGAGACCTGCTCAGAGAGAACGGGATCAAAACCAGGACTGGCGCCACCATGCCTGCCCTAGCAGACCCATCACATCCCCTGAGCAAAGGGCTAGAAGAACGGGCACGCCTGGCCCCGGGTGCTGGAACCTACTCTCGGCCGCGCTGTACCGCAGGCCTCCTCTCGCCCCAGGTTACCACGTTACAGACTCATGGTGGGAACAACGAGCGGCAGCCACTCCCCAGCCTCGTCACCTGAGAGGTGGCCCCTACGAGTTCCCCCACACACTTGTCACACCAGCTACTTCTTTTTCAAAGTTCTTAAACTTAGGGGCACCCAGGTGGCTCAGTTAAGCGTCCGACTCCTGGTTTCGGCTCAGGTCGTGATCTCAGGGCCGCGGGATCGAACCCGTGTTCAAGGAGGAGTCTGCCTGAGCTCCTCTCCCTTTGCCTCTGCCCCTCCCCCCACCTTGTGCCCACGAGCTCTCTCACGCTTTCTACAATACAATCTTTAAACGTTCTTAAACACAGCTTCGCCCAGCTGCTGAGGCAGCACGGTGAACAACAGCCTGCGCTGTAAGTTCCGAGCCAAACCCCGTCCTAGATGCCTCCCCTCTGACTCAACTCTAGAAAGTACTACCTCAGAACACCCACCACTGGCTACTTCAGCCTGCCCCGAGTTAAAATAAAGCATCAGCAGCTGAATTGCTAAGAACAAATAGATAAGATGCTCTAACATCATCTGCCAGTACACGTTCTGCTTAAGAAAATCAAATGACATCAGAAGCACCATTAATATTTCACCAGAACGTAGCTTTCTTCCGACTCTAGAAAGAGGCCCCCCTGCAGCATAACACCTTAATACGTAATTCCTCTCTTGCACAAGAGCAGAAAAAAACGCACGGTACCTGCCACTTTCTGAAATCCCTCGGGTCCCCGCTTCTCCTGACACGATGAGATCACCTTGGACTTGTCGCTAGTGGAGCAGACCTTTGAGGACAGCGTGCCACAGACGCGGAAGTAATAGGTGTACTCGCCCGCGCTCACAATGGTGTCGTTGACAGCCAGCGGCTTCAGGTCGTACAAGTTGCCGTGCCTCGGGTCCTTCACCTCACAGTTGTCTCCTTCAAGAACACACAGAAATGAAGGGCAACCGTGATCCCACTGACACTCACAATGTCGGGCAAAAAACGTCTTCCAATGTTTAATCAGGTGATTACTGTCTTAAAATAAGCATTAAATGCCATTTCCACGTTTTCTCACTGTGCTTGTACACACAGTACAAACTGCCTATCAGACAGCCTTCCAGAAACGCCAAGGTCACAGGGTAAAGATCCACTCAACCAATCAAAGCCCCAAGTTAAGATTCCTAAACGCAGGAAGGCAATAACCCACCATCACTCCAGGCAGGTGAGGAGGAGGTCACTGGCAAAGTCAGCCAAGCACCAGAGTCAAAACCCACGGGTAGGAAACGATCCCTCCGCTACGTAGCATCTCAGGACCATGCACATGGCCAACGCGACGGGGTTTTGCGCCTAGGATGCTGTCTGGAGTCTCTGCTACTTCAGCCGTTTACAACTATTGGGGGGCTGGGCCCCAGGTCTTACCTTCCACTCTGATGACGGGACAGGCTTCCACCGTTCTCCAGACAAACACATACTCACAATCATCCAGAAGCTGAAATGTTGGGGATCCCTATAATAGAAACCAACAACTTACGTTTTTATGTTTTAAAGTCAGTCAGAAAGATAGCCACAATTAACATCCAACTTTCAATCTCCACGAGGAAAAACACAGAGCACTCATTAAACACGCAGGACATGGAGAAGAATCTAGCCAAATGCTACTGAAGGCCTAAAACCCAGGAAAGCAGGGGCAGCTCTGAACTCAGAGAGAAGACGGAGAGAAGGGAGGCGCCAACAGGCAGGCGCTGGCATTCATCCGCTCACGCACCGAGGTCTGAGCGCACTCGAGCGTGATCCTGGTGGAGAAGCGCTGGTTCCCGCACTTGTCACCATTGACGTAGACGATACTCAGGGACCCATTCGCCGCAGCCTGAGGGCTGATCTGCACCACGCCCAGGTTCCAGCTGTTGTCTTCTGACACCAGGCAGGACCCCACCGCGCTGCCTGCAAGAGCCGGGAGCTCGTCTGGGGCAGGGGACGGGAGGAGGGCAGATGGAACTCAAGTCAGATGCTCTCAACTCACCGTGGCATCCAGGAATATAAGGGAGAGGGTTGCAAACACTCAAATAGAAAGTTCTCTTTCTTCCATCAGCCGAGGTGTCCACAGCAGTCCAGGGCTTCCTGACTCTGCTTAAGCCACTCAGGTCATACTCATTCCCAGCATCGTCTGAAATACACAGAAACACAGGCTAGCCCTGCTTTCTCGTTGACCAAAGACTCCTGACTGCAGACCCCTCATGCACGAAATTGACACCGGTTGCTAAGGACTCAGGAGAGCCACAGGAAGCCCAGAGTCTTCCTACAGACACATACACTCACTCTGCGCCTCTAAGCTGCCCTTCGCAAGGGGAACCACTGACAGGAGGTACAGAGCCCGAGGCCTCCTGGGGACCCTGTTGGGCATCCGGGGTGCACCTTACACAGCTTCACAGCCTTTCTTTTAGGTCCTCCAATAAGATCTGATAATATTTCTTTCCCCTGAGTTTTCTTCTGTTCTTAAGCAGCTTCTGATCCCAAAATATAGATTAAAACCCTTAGTCCAGATTCTCTTCAAGAGAAACATCTCAAGCGTAAGGATCAAAGAGGCACAGAACACAAACACGCCACACACGACCACACGCTTACACGTGCGTGTAGACAGACTCACACACACACGCATGCCCTCGACCAGCCTCCTAAGCCGGGTCCTCTCAGTCTTACCTGTGACCTGGCAATCCACAGGAGAAGGGACGCAGGCCAGTGCAGTCTCAAACTCAAAGAAAGTGTTTCGGATCCCCCGGCCAGAGTCAATGTCCTGATGCAGGAATGTGGAGTTCCCTGGGTAAACATCATCGTTGCAAACGAAGCGGATGATAAAGGTATCAGCGGTCCCTGGGGAACGAAGAGGCCAGACTTTAAGAAACAGAGCAGCCATCACGATTCATCCCAGAGCAGCAGCAGCCACTGGGAACAAACCTCACAGCCCCCCTTTAAAATGACGACACCACCATGCTGGTCTGACATGAACTGCTGAGTAGCCACTCTCACTGCAACAGTGATCCACACAACCACGGGCTCATGGGGTGAACAAAACGTCCTCTGTCCTGATATTCCAGAAAACAGGGAACCGCAGCAATGAGCGGATGTCATCGATTCCCAGACGATAATGAGTTCCTAGTACACAGGAGTGAACGAAAGACATGTTTCCGAACACGGAATACTGGGGAGGTTGTGGGGGGGGGCACTGAAGGGCTCCTGCGGCCAGGGTGGCAGCAGGCCACGGAAGGAGCCGCAGCAGTCCACGGGGACGGCAGGTGATGCCATCACCCCCACTCGGTCCGGGAGGGAACTGGAGCAAAGAGGTTTAGTAGAAGCCAGAGATCGCAAAGCTTTACGTCCAAGAACCACCTGAGGGACTGGCTGTGGGGAGGCTGGGGATGGGGCAGGAGGAAGGAGAGCCAACAGCACAACCCCGCTCGTGAAAGGGCCGCTCGTCGGGGCCTGGCACAGCACACAGGTCGATTTGGGAGTGTGGGGCCACGGCCCAGAGGCAGGAGGTGGGGGGCAGGACAGCAGGTGGCTCTCGGTACATGCCCAGAAGGTTCCCAGTCACGAAGACCCCGGGACACCCAAGAGGTGCACCACAAATGGTCCAGAGCTCACCTGTGGCGGGGGAAAGTGGCCCTTTGTAGGTCAGGGTTATAAAGCCCTCCGTGGACAGCTGCAGGCTTTTCTCCAGTCCAACCGGCCTTTCTGGCTTCAGATTCTTGAGACCCTCTGTCTCAGTCTCCGCCTCACAGCCAGAGGCTGGTTTTCCATCGAAGGTCCCGCACACGGGCATCGTACCACACACGTTAAACTGGGGGCCAGACAGCGAGAACCACACACGTTAACTCGGGCCACGTAATTCACCACCAAGAGCCCCTGCAACTCAAACGCCATCCCGTGACCCAGACGGTGCTCAAGTCGCCAACCACACGCTCGGGCCGCTAAGCCCTGAAGCTTGCACGAAAGGCAACATCTGAAATCCAGTGACAGTGCCCGTGAGCTGCTTCAGAGGAACGCACAGCGCGTTTACGGACATGGCGCCACGTCCATGATGGCAAGAGGCTCGTCGCAGGGGACAGAATGTGGACAGCGCGTTGTCCAGACAGCGAGGCAGGACACGTTCTGTGGCAGGAAGACACAGGGCGGCTCCTCTGCTTCCACTAAGCGCTCACGGACAGCATGTCCACCATCGAGGTCACACGCTGAAAGCACTTTTCTTAAAAACTGAAGCCCCCTACTCCGGAAATGGCCAGTTAGGGGCTCAGCCACCGGGTGGGCTCGGGGACAAAATGCTGGGGTGGGTTCCCTTTCCTTCTTTCAAGGTCTTGTCTGTGAATGAGCAACAGGGCTGAGAGAAGCCCGGGCCTGCCCTGCTGAGCCGTGGGCACTGGCTTCTGGCTGCCTTCACCTGCAGCCCCTCCGACTGAGGGTGCAGGCCCCGGGCAGATGTCTCCCTCAGCAGCTTCAGCAGCGAGGGAGGGCCCCAGGGGGACCTGGGGGCGGCGGAGCCCAGCAGGCCCAGGGGACGAGGGCACAAAGCCGGGGAGCCGGCTGGAAGGCCGTGTTGACCTAAGTAGATGGCAGCAGGCTGTGCTGTCGCCCAGGAACCTCAACACACCTGCCACCTCCTGACGCCCCTGCCAGCAGCCACAGGCAGAGCCTGGCTGGCCTGCTTCTAGCACATTCTTTATGAGGCAGAGTACCTTCCAGCACGTCCTCTACATGGGTCAACAACGTTCTTGTCTGCCTGCCTGCCTCTCACTCTCACATGTGGGCACGTGCGCCCTCACCTGCTGTAAACCGAACTACCTGAAGGATTTGGGAGTTGGGGGTAGGTGGAGGACCTGCCAAAGAACTGCTGAGGGCAACGCTGTGCAGCGCTCTGCGGGGCAGCCAAACAAGCTGTAAGCTCTCCTGCGTGAGGTGTACCCACACCTCGGTATCACATCTACAAAAAACGTTCTTATCCCAACTTCGTGTTTTCGAAGATTATTCTCTCATTCCACCAGGCCTATCAATGAAAGAAGTGCTGTCAGAAGATTCTAGAACATAGCACCTGGGTCATCTCTCTTTTCTAGGATCAGGTAACTACCATTCCTCTTGACTGGTGGTTCTCAGACTCCAGGGGGCATCGGAATCACCTGGGGGATGGTTAAAACAAACGGATGGGGGCACCTGGGTGGCTCAGTGGGTTAAGCCTCTGCCTTCAGCTCAGGTCATGATCTCAGGGTCCTGGGATCGAGTCCCGCATCGGGCTCTCTGCTCAGCGGGGAGCCTACTTCCCTCTCTCTCTCTCTCTCTCTCTCTCTCTGCCTGCCTCTCTGTCTACTTGTGATCTCTCTCTGTCAAATCAATAAATAAAATCTTTAAAAAAAAAAATTAAAAAAAAAAAACGGATGGACCCACCGCACAAAAATCTGTATTTCTAACAAATTCCAGGTGACTCTGACACTGCTGGCCCAAAACCACGGCTCCAGACACACAGCAACAGATCAGGAATAATTTATTTTTGGAAAAATGGCACCTTCACATCAGCACTACAGCAGGATGGGACTGAGTTTTTCCTCCCTTTCCCCTTGAATTTGGATTTTTCGCCTCCTCCTGGGTGAGAGCTGCCATCGCTGTGCCATTCCTAAAGACACCGGCCACCAGCCACACCAGCTGCGGGTGACTTCAGTGCATACTGCCTTGTTTCAAAGCAAACTGGAAATTCATCACATAACTCTTACCACAAAAGTCTTCCCGATTCCCGGGACCACGTATCCTTGGGAAGTGTTCAGCGGGTTAAGATCGAACACAAAGCCACTGTTCGGGTCCCTTATGGAACAGGCCTGCAGGAGCAAGGGGGGAAAGAGACACAGGAACTCAGACAACACAGCGTACCTACAAAGCCTGCGCGCACGGACCTCACAGAACACAGGCTTCTCACTGACCTCAAACCCCCAGCAGACAGCGAGCATGATTGATTAAGAACAAAAACAAGCAAAAAATCTTAAAGTTGGTTTAAGTGTTCTGTTTTCCACCTCACTTATTCACTTAAAGGCAATGGTGATGGGAGGCACGACAAGGTACCTCACATCCCTTCTCTTCTAAGAGACGTCGTAAGCCTTCCCCTCCCCCTTGTCTGTTTCCTGCGCAGTCAACCAGATGCGGGGAAAGGAGCGGCAGCCCCAGCCGCGGTACGTATGGCCGAGGACAGAGTGCGGCACCCTGCCCTCCCCGCCCTCCGCAGACTCCACCAGCCCACGACCCTGGCTGGGAACAGCCGTTCAGGTGAGCCTGGGTTCTGCTGCTAAAGCAGAGATTTTGAAGGTGGAGGGAGAGAAAGAAGTCCCACCACGGAGAAAACAGCCAGGGCTGTGGGAACCACAAGTCTCCCTTCGGAGTCACAGAGCACATCCCAGCGCAGCCGGCTGCCAGGCCCCGCAGGAGGGCACGAGCACAGGCCACGCCCAAGAGCAGGATACGCCAGGATGGCAACAAACACACAGAAGAAATGGCAGTAACGGGGCTGGGGTTGGAGTTTTAGAACGTCGAGCATCACACCAAAACAGATGGGCCAGGTCCTGTAGATGACGGGGCACTGGTACGTGTGAGATCTTAAAGCGATGTGCTCACCACTCACTCCTCGGCGGCAGCGGCGAACCCCTCAGAGCCCGCAGGGGATGCCACCGCAACACAAACGGGACAAGGGAATGGACCAGAGGGCAGGAGTCTGCAGTCAGCAGGGAGTAAGGCTGAGGGTCTGGTTCCTAGCCCAGCATCTGCGAGCCAGGGTGGGGGAGAGCCACGCAACAGGACTCCCAGAGGTCTGCTGTCAACACGCAGGAAACGGGGGCACCACTAACAGATCTGGAAGCACGAGGAAAGGGGCAAGTGCAGAGCCGGGACACCCAGTTGGGAAGGTTCAGAGCCGGCTCACCGAGACACTCCACGACTGCACCCGTACCTGGTCTGTGTCCGTCGTTATTTGGATAGGACAGGCGGCCTCTGTGTTCCACAGGAAACTGACCACACACTCCCAACTGAGGGAAAATATGGGGTGAGGATTCTGAAAGAGTAAACCCAGGGGACAGTCAGCACAACAGAACAGCCCAATCTCCCCAAGACAGCAGCAGCCTCATATATGAAACCAGCCAGACCCTACTGAACGTTTAACTGTGTGTCCGTGATCGGCCAGCCGCCTGTGTGCACTAGCTAGTTACGATGGAATGTCCTCATTATTCCTGCTAAAAAGATGGTACCCCTCAGGCTTGGATGTCACGAAATTCACCTGAGGTCACGGGGCAGTAAACGGCACAACCGAGGTCCAAGTCTTGCGTTTAAGCCCATGCTTCTGAGAAACGCTCTACGCTAAGAAAACGCAACGCGAGAAGCCAGGCACAGAGAGTTCACCTACATAAGCCGAAAACTGAGGAGAAGTGACCTGGGGGGGTCAGAGGCCAGCGCAGGGGCAGAGAAGTGACTGGAAGGGGCGCCCATGCTCCATGCAGCTGCTCCCAGCTCAGTGTGAGCGTGCTCCCAGCTGTCCGTGTCACGTACACTCTGTGCACTTTTCTGGGGTTGTTGGATAGAGAAGTTCCCCTAACATGCGCGGGACCACGTTCTGCAGCAACAGCAGCTCACGCCGAGACAGTTTATCACGCCACTGGGAGTTCTGTTAGCATTTCTCAACAGAGCCTCCCCATGACCCTGGGAACTCGGTTCTGTCATCACCCACCATGTGTACACAAACGAGAACACAGGGGCCCAGGGAGTCAGGACACCCGCCCAGGCTCGCAGGAGAAGGACATGGCGGCCGCCTGATGGGGAGCCCACACCTTGCCCACTGAGCACCCTCGGACCTGGAAGTCCCCCACCTTCTTGGCCTCGACACCCGTCCCAGTAAAACAGAAGCACATCAGTCCCTACTGCCCCACAGTGTGTTTGTGAAAAGGAACTGCTTTAGCGTGAACGTTCTCAAAGTCCCGTGGCTTGCGGAACCCTGCAGACGTGACCCCTGCTCATGGTCTCTGGCTGCATGGGGCATGGCCAGCCCCACACAGGCCCTCAGAGATACAGTGACTATGCGCGGCCACTCTGAAAACACAAAACAGTCCACATAAGGTGTCACAGGAAAGCTGGACAACTGAGGACCCCGGAAAACCACCTGGAACAGTCCAGTATGTCCACGGCAACGAGAAACCACAGTGGGAAGGGGGAGGCAGGCGAGGCTCTAAGGAGGGGTCACAGACATGCCCAGAGGATGGCAAGGGCTGGGCAGGGCAGCTGGGAACCCTTCCTGAGGCTGAGGAAGAAAGCAGCAAACCCAACCCCAGGCTAATCACGGAATGCGTTTACTGCTCGGTCATGGAGCACCTCTCTTGCACAACACCGGCCCACACTCACCCAGCTAATAACTTCATCCCCTTATCAGAGACCCCTTCTTGACCTCTAAAGAAATCATCTCCTGGAAAAAATCGTGTGTTTGCAAATGACACAGAGACCTCAGGATCTGCAAGGCAGCCGGAATGTGGGGGACAAAGTCCACGGGACCGCCGGCACTGGATACACTGTGCTCTTCCTTCGATGAAGCCAGAGGACTCAGCACACGTACCTGACCCTTTTAAATAACTTATTTGATAATTAATGTGAATTCCACTATCTACACTCTGCATTCATCTAAGAGTCTGGCAATTATTCAAAAAACACATGACCCAGATATAAATGTGAAACTCCAGGTTAAAAAGCGACTGGGTTTGTGACAGCCAAGTTCTGAGCATGAGAGCCAGGGATGGGGCATAACACCATGAACGTATTTCATGCCATTGTATTGAACGCCTAAAAAAGGCTTAAATGGTACATTTTATGTTATATATACATTTACTGACTTTTTTTTTTTTTTTTTTAAGGAAAACGATTGGGACCATACAATGACCCCCAGAGCAGTTTTATTTGTGGAATTTTTTCTTCTGTTCTTCCCTGGCTGAGGAAATCAGGGACAGAAGCAATCTCTGTAACTTTCTCTATTTCCTGGCCTTCATTTTTTATCCTTGATTTGCCCACAAATTACACACATAACCCTCACTGTTCATCTGTGGCCCTGAGCGGCACTGACCCCAGCTTCCTTGCCTATGAATGTCCCTAAGACCTGTTCTGCCGTCAGGATTCCCCCATCACCAGCTGAAAAGAACTAAGGGACAGGATAGCGTCCACACAAAACCCTGAGAGGAACCACCATCCCAGACCCCTTCATCTCCAGAAGACACACATCGACTGGCACTCCGCCACAGAAGACCCTGAAGGAAGCAAGGTCACAGGCCACGCGCGCCTTACCAGGCTGCCCCTGGAACAGACGAGATGGATCCTGGTGGTGTAGGTGGTCAGCCTCCCATCGCTGGTGGTGCACGCCGAGCCGTTCACGTACTCTATGAGGAGGCTGCCGCTGTCCTCCACCATAGGGCCTGCCTTTGCGACCCCCAAGTTACTAATGGATGCTACCTCAGAAAAGGAGCCCTGCAAACAAACAGTTCTATTAGGTTTTCCCTCTGCAGAGAAAACAAGGCTTCTTCCTGACTGCTACATCTGATTCTTGTTATTCACTGCACTTGTGATCTGTGAAGTGGCCACAAACATCGCCCCGTCACTCCCAGGGAAACACGTACCTATACAGACACCATCCCACAGAGATGATGATCTTAAATCCTGAGAACTCCTGCTGGCACATTCTATTTTATTTTATGAAAATAAACTTGGTGAGTGATGGGTCTGAGGCCGTGCCAACAGGCATCCAAGGTGGGCCTCAGGCCCTGCCCCCAGACCCCACACAGCCCCTCATGTCCCCTTCCACGGTCGTCGATCGGACAGGCCTCGAGAAGGAAGAGCTTCGCCTGGCCCCGCCTCCGCTGGGAATGAACTCTGGGGCCACTCCACACACATCCACAAAGGACTGGGGCACTGCAGATTTTGATCTGGGGCCACAGGCCTGTGCTGGCAAGGCAGTGATTCACAAACACAGAACCCATGGACAACGAGGACGGACTGTACTCTGAGGCCATCGCTCCAACAGAGAGCGCACACACGGGTGTGCCCACACACACACGGGTGTGCCCACACACACACAGCGGGGAACGTCACTCCTGCCCACCAGGGTGCGCTCCAAGCTGCCACATGACAGGCACCAGGAAAAGTACGTTCCCGACGTACGACGCCCTATTTTCAAAGCAGCACACATACATCTTTATTTTAAGATTCCCTGAGCATGAAGAACACAGGCAAAGGGCCCAGAGCTGTGGCGGTCACTGTGCTGGATCGGGGAGGAGGCGCCCCAAGCAAGGGAGCACGCACAGCCCCGCCACAGCCACAGCAACGGTCCCGAGCATGCTCCCCTGCATGAGCGGAAGCAAGAGCCTCTGGAGCCAAAAAATGAAGCCATTCTTCACAGAAGGCTACGGACTGAAGGACACTCGTGAGCTCCATCAAGACCAGGCATCGGAACATCCTCCACCCCATGCCGTGATCGGAGGCCGCCAGCTCCAAGGCATTTCGTGATGTTCTAAATCTGAACGACGACTCGAGCGCGATCGCGTGTGGGGGGCGCTCCTCCAGCTCAGGGGGCTTTGTCCAGGGGCTGGGTCCACTCTAAAATACCCGCCTCCACCCGCCGAGTCACGTGCTCTGCAGGGAGGGCGAGACCCACCTGCTCATTCTTGTACCTCATCTGGCACACCGACGCGTACCGATCGCAGCCCGGCACCGGGTTCAGAGGGCGACACACGTTTATGTAGTATTTCCTCCACGAGCTGTGCTCGCCCGCGTTGTCCATGGCGTACCAGTTTCCTCCACGACCGCCCTCGGATTTCGCGAGACTAAAATGTGAAGGCAAAATGCATGCTTCTGATGCTAACAGATCCCAGTCCGACTAGTCGTTTCTAAGAGGTTACGGACAGACAGGACGAAACTGCCCTACCCGTGAAACCACGGAATGCAGCTCACTGTGACTCACAACACCCATGACTAGCTCGACCTTCACTGAACTCGCACGCAGCGGACCCTGCACCGGCCCCCTCCCCCCACACCTCTGTACTGACAGTCTGTGTTGTAAATGATGCCGCTGGAGACAGACTTTGCTATGACAAAGAGCAGTGAACGTCACAAAGGCGACCAGACCGTTGTTAGAATTCCTTCTGCTTAAAACTCCCCATCTTGGCCCTGCACCCCCAGAACTTACTTGACTCCCCATTATCCACCCAGTTATGAGCTCACCAGCCAAGCCTAAGCCAACCTGGACCCAGGCCGGGGCCCAGGCCAAGGGCGGGATGGCCCTGGCCTCACCTGGAGAGATCATACTGCTCCATCGTGGAGGGGTCAGTCACCACGCACTCCAGGGGCTCCACTGGGCAGGCGTAACTGGTGTACCACCGGAAGTTGTAGGTGGAGTTATCTTCCTCCTGATCACGTGACAAGGAGAGAAACGGGACATATGGCAAAGAAAAAGCAAAACATTAACACAAAGTCAGCATTTAAGAAATGGCGGGCACTTTCCGTAAGTAAGAACCACAGGAAAGAAAGTCTACTTTGCCCATCTACACCTGTCTTATTACAAATGACAATGTCCCAGTAATAAATTAGGACTCAGCTGAGTAGCATCAGCATGATTTCTGATGCAAGTTTCGTACACAAAATCAACAGGGTTGTGGGTAACCACCGAGGTGTACAGCCCAAAGAATAACCAGCTTGGATGAATGGTGCCTACGTACCCTGGCAAATCTAAAAAGATTAATTAAAATCATAGGAGATGTTGATTGGCCAAGAAACCAGACAAATAACAGCTCTGCTTCGAAATAAAGGGCCCATGACAGGGTCCTGTGTCTCAGGGAGCCAGACACATTGATGGATTCTCCCCAGGAAAGACCACAGCTCACGCCTCACCTGTGGTTAGAACCTCATTTCATTCCAGAGAAGTCACCAGCCCTGTTCCACCCACTGTTGTCTTGCCCCGTGCCTTTACGAGACCAGGGTTCTCTCCCTCCTGGCTCTCCTCGGTGATGGAAGCCCACGCGTGCTCACGCCGCACAGCTCCTACCTGATACTCAGGTACACCGACTCCGGCCTCTCGGTCACAGAGGAAGGTGATCAGTGTGGCTCTTGGTGTGTGCTTTTCATTATTATAGGGCGTGCCATCTTTGTAGTTCAACTTGATCATGCCATCGTAGTAGGACAGTTTAGCATTGCTCAGTCCCAAGTTCCAAGCCTTATTACCACTAAAACAAGCAAACAAGCATCTCTTAGGAAGGACAGCAGGGCCAGAGGGGCTGTCATGCTGTGACCTGGAGCAAGGCCACTGCAGTGCAGGGGTGGGGGGCACAGGGGTAATGTCCGTGACCCTGGGCTACAGATCACCGGGGTCTGGGGTGGGGCCAAAGGGCAGCCTCACCCCACACCAGGACCCAAGGCCACACTCAGCATATCTGGTTTAAGGTACAACCACCCCCACTGAGCTATTACCACACCGAACAGAGAAACATGTGCGTATCTAACAACCGAGACACGCAAGCTTTGCTGAAGTAAGGTATTATAAACTCCGAGTGTGCGTGTGGCCTGCTCCCTTTCCAGGAAATGGAGCTCCTGGCATCCTCTGCTTTTGAGGCCAGGGCTTCTTAGAGTTGAGCGCTCCCAGAAAAGCAATGATGTCTGTGGAGAACACACCTACTCCTGAATAAAACATCTGTCAGTATGAGATATCTAAGGAAAGCCCATAACTAAAAAGGAAGTTACTTGCATTTTTGCTACTTGACAGGCTCCGGAGCCTGGCGGACAGGAACTCAGAGACACCGCACCGCAAACATTTATGTAGAACTCATACTTGTCTGTGTCAACTTTATATGCACCATTTTTCTTTGTGAGAGGTGACAGATCGAAAGAAAACCCTAAGGAAGAGTGAAAACGATGCCATATGTAAGGTCATATGTAAGACCATAGTCAAGAAGGGTGGCCCCAGGCTCACGGCTTCAAAGACAGTCTTCCCAGGAACCGGCCATTGGCAGGGAGCCGCGAAATGGCCAAAGAGATGCTTTCCCCTCAGGCCACAGGAACTGCACTGGCGGACATCTCCCCTGGAGATGGATTTGCCCCCACCATGCCGGCTTTACTGCGTTAACCTAAAACCAGACTGAAGGCCCAAAACTGCCGATGAACAGCCAACAGTCCGTGTGAAGCTAGATGACCACAAAGCAGTGACCTTCTTGAAAAGTCAAAGGCGGGTTTCTAGGCCATTAATTCATGCAAAGAGGCTGTCCAAACACCATTCATTTCCTTGTGGTCCTCACATTCTGTATTCAATGCACACCGCCCTCTACCGTGCATCTAAGAGGTAGTAGCTTCCTCATTATCTCCACAGACACCAGAACTCTGGTGAAACAGTGTTAGTCTAATTCTCAAGTGGGGTAGCTCTTAAACTCTCACAGGAAATACTTAAGAAAAGAAAAAAAAACCTAAGCCGTTGGAGAGGGCACCCCACCAAGGTGGTGTGCGTGCACACACCTGCCTGGGAGTCAAAGACCGTGCAGTTCTCGCCCTCCGTCTTGGACAGCACGCAGGCAGCGGCTGTATGCCACTCGAACTCATAGAAGCAGCCATCGTCCTCGGAGGTTCTCAAGACTGGAGCACTTTCCAGATCACCTGTCAGTGAGGAAGACAAATGGATCACTAATCGGTCCTCAACTAAAAATAGTCCCACAAATACTGGGATTCCGCTGACATGAGGTTCTTATAGAGTAGTCAAACCTGTGGAGGCAAGAAAGAAGGGCAGTTGCCAGGGACGGGGGTGGGGAGCTCGTGTTCAGTGAGGACAGAGTGGGAAGATGAGAAAGTTCTGGAGGCAGACGGTGGCGATGGCGGCACGACGCCGGGAATGTGCTTCATGCCACTAACCCGGACACCCTAGGAAGGCCAAATGTTAAATTTCATGTTATGCGCATTTTACTACAGTTTCTTAAAAACAATAAATTTTGTGTTACATATATATTACCCACAATTCAAAAAACACTCAAAAACAAAAAAACAGTCCTAGCCCTTGACTGTCTCCCACAGCTGGGCACTTATCCAAAGAAAACATTTCAACAGGAGGCGGACAGGGGACCTGCAACAGCACAGTCGCCAGCCCTGGAAACACGCTATTAATCCAACAATAGGGAAAATGGTTAAAAATAGTAAGACCAAACCATTATCAACAAGGAAGTCCCTAAAAATTGTAACTATAACTGCAAAACACAGAAGAGTATTCACAAAATGCCATGTTTTGAGGAACATTGAAAAAAAAATTCCGAACATACACAGATTTTGACCCTGTAAAACAATGTAAACCTATAAATATAGATAAGTGAAGAAGAGCATTGTCTCTAAAGGGTGAGATCACAGACAACATTTTTCAAGCGCTTACGATTTTCCCCCTTTGGAGGAAGTAAAGCAGCCGCACAGCCGCGCGGTATCAATCCCAAGGAAGAGGAAGCCGCACTGAGACCCATAACTCATTTGGAAAATTGCAACATGACGCTCTCGACACCATATGGTTTCTCCATTTCTGGACTGGTCTTGGGTGGGGGCTGGGGGCTCAAATCCACAGACCGCCTCTGTAGGTTCTAGAACTGGAAATGTGTGGTACGAACCCTTTCTACCTCCCCCTCTCGGCAGCGGCCCATGAGAAACAGAAACGAAGGGCGCAGTCTCACCTGGGACAGAAGCCACCAGCACATGTCGCCTCTCCCCTTTCTCAAAAGGGCTCACCTGGTTTACAGATTAGTGTTATGTTAGTTGTTATCTTCTTGTGGCCACAGTCGCTACCGTCAGAATAGGAGAGCTGAAGGTTCCCGTTCTCTTTCATGGGAGAAGAAACGAACTTGCCTAGACTTTTAAATCCATCCTTATCTGGAAGAAAGGGAAAACGGAAGACATACTTATAAATGACGATGTAAAAAAAGAGGTAGAAACGCGTCAGCCAGGACCCAGCGGGGTGCTGTGACCTCTCCCCAGCCCACCCAGTCTGGCCCCGTGGTCGGTGGGTTTTTCTCAAGGCACAGGTTTGGCCAGGTCGTGGCAGCCACACTGAGGACACCAAGGCCACCTCTAGGCCCCCTGGGACAGAGCAGTAATGATAAACAACATCTTGCTCCGTGGGCACGAGAGACAGACAGCAAGCACGCATGTCACACCATCCCAGAAAGTAACACCGTTCCCCAACCTCCAGGGCCTTGCTCCCCTGAAAACACAGGTCTTTTGAAAGCACAGCCAAGAGGCTAGAGTTTGTCCGGGGACCAAAGCAGAAACTAACTGAACCTGTCCAGCAAGCCAGGCAGGTGACTACTTCATTCTTGAGTCAGTTGACTTTTATAAATGAAGCCCTGAAACTCTGTCCCCAGTCCTGCTTACACAGAGGCATGGGCGTGCCTGGACCAACCTCGGGAGACACATCAGCAATTCGGAATACCAGGGTAGTTCCCCAAACCCAACCTGGGTTCACAGATCTTTATCTAATGTTTGTAACAGATTCTGATTACCCCCGCCCCCCGGGGCCTCTCATTTTCCCGGTGAGTCTTAAGTGGCAGACAACTCTCGTGCAAAACATCTGTATCAAACCAGACAGCCTCTGCAGGAAAACCACGGGACCGACAGAATTACAGCAGAAGGAACCCAAGGGGCACAAGTACTCTTCTATGGAGAGTATGATGAGATGCCACTTGTCCAAAGCCATAACTTAACAGTCACGGGCAGTAAAGCTGTTAAAAACTCAAAATCAGTTTCATACAAGTACTGGCAATGTTATTCTCCAAGTTACAAAGGCAAAAGATGACCAAGTAATTCCCAACCTGGCTCCTTCTGTCCCCAGTTACAGGGGCAGCTCACCTCGGATGGCTCTGGCCACTCCCTGGCAGCGGAGCACATAGTTTTTAGAGCACACTGAGCAGTTACCTACATGGGAGTCACTTTCCTCCCCATCCTGGATACGCGGAACCCAGACAGAGGAGACTGGCAGAAACTACAGGAGGATTCTCTAACTCGCTCCAAACCGGATGCAGCCGAGTTCTACGTGCCTTTGGGAAAACCACTACCGTGAGCCCCACTCTGAGCACAACTCACCGACAGAGCACACGGCTGCGTCTTCAGGGCAGCCTTTGGCCTGGCCTTCCTGCAGCACTCTGTGGCAGATATTAACGAAGAAGTGCTTCTTTTCTGTTTCCCCCTCGCTGCCATCCACAGCTTCCCAATTCTGTTCCACTTCTGTAATTTTAAAAGAAACAAAAATTCTTTTAGCCAAAGGCAATGATTATTTCTCTGTGAGTCACACCATAAATGGTGATTAAGCCAAAGGAAAAGGCCCAAAGCTCACCAAGCATGTAGTCCCTAAACCCCAGTACTCACGTTTCTGGATGCAGCAGACCAAAGGCACAGAAATTCACTGAGCTCCTCAGGCTTCTCTTCATGGAACAGAAACAAAGCACGCCCCAATACCTCCTCAGAAGAGTAGCCTTACCACGAGGGAGGGACAGAGAATCAATCAGCGAAACTCTCCCAAGCACCGAAGTGTGAAATCAGAAATGGGAAAGAACATCCAGATGGCAACCTGTGCCTTGCACCAGGCCGAGCACCACGCCTTCGGTCCCACGCCCTCCTCCGACCACCAGGAAGGTCAAAGACACCTGCCCTCACTTCCCCACCAGCGGACCGAGTGCAGGCCATGCTTTGTTTCAGGAAAATAACAAAACAGACTGGTCCCTGAGCTCAAACATCTTGTGATCCAGTCATATACGAACAGAATCAGAACCTCACAGAAGGTTGAGGGCGTGTGCGCGAGTGGAAAGAGCAGGACCCCGAATCAGAGATGTCCCACGAGCAGTGGCCAAAGGGATGAATTAGAAATGTGTGTGAAGGGCATACGGAGACTGAGGCTCTCCTTTTACAGACAGGATGCTGGGGTTCAGAAGGGAAAGGCCGCCACTCGTCAGGGTAACAGTTACTCTGAAGAGCCATGTGCCAATATCAACAACCTAGAAGAGCCCATAGGAGGCCACGCAAAGACAAACAGGGACAAGGCCAGGGGGAGTGGGTGAGCTGACAAGCTATAAGGCAGGAGGACTGTTTAAAGCTAGCAAGGAAGGAGTTCTGAGGCAACCTCAGCAGTCTGTGTGGATCCTAAGGAAACGTCCAGGTCCCTGGAGAGCCAAAGGGGGGCACACATCGGCTGCGTGAGCGCATGTGTCTCTGTATCGCTCACCGGCCCCTGTGCGTGTCTGTATGCGGTGGCGTTTAAACAACAGTGCCAGACAAAGGGCTCTCAAGGTACCACCCAGCTTAGTGAGACAAAGCTGAGGCCCGCAGGAGGCAGACAACTCACTGAGGACCAAGCACAACACCGTGTTCTCTTTCCACCGCACAAAGCCGAGCTCTTCACGAACACGTGTGACCAGCACTGAACCACAGCATCACTCCCAGCTGACCAGGTGCTGAGTGACTAACGCACAAAGTACGTTTGCTGCCAAGGTAGTTCACCAAACCTGAACATTTAGACCTCGTGTCTAGAACATTTAGGTCTCGTGTCAAAAAGCAGCTCTCTGACACTCCTTACAAGAGAGGAATCCCTCCTTCTACTATCCTACTGTCCAAACCAGATGAGGACTCAGAGCGCATGAGTCATCACTCCCACGGCATGGGTAACTCCGTGACTCTAGGCAAGCATTCTACCTCAGATATTATCTCCACAGATGCAATTTGCTTCTACTTACACCTAATCCCAGGGCTGCCGAAAGGGCAAAACTAAAAATGTCCCAACTAGATTCAGCTTCCCTGCTGGGAACCCCGATTCTTAGCACTCGGTCTCTCGACACATGCCTCCCCCCTGCCCCCCATGAAGTTCAAAGGCCTGGGGCAGGGGTCGCGCTCGCCAGGACCCGGTCTGGTGCCTGCCACATAGCCTATGCCCCCACGACACCTGCAGAGCAGACTACCTCCAGCTCGGCTGGTCTCTACCGTGAAGCTGGGTCTCAGGGACAGACCTCGTCACTCAGATGCAGCGAGGAACATGGCATCCAAGGGCTCTCAGCCCATTCTCCTTTCAGCCCCACAAGCATCAGAGGTTGCACAGGAAATGCAGACCCCACTTTAGAGACGGGAAAAGAGACAGTAAGACAAAGGGGGAAAGCATGGGGGTCAAAATAGAGAGTGACCCCAGCCACACTGGCCTTCACACCGACTGTCCGACCCTTGAAGCCCGACAGGCCAGGGGCGAGGGGGAAACACGGCCCACTTGAAGCAGGCTGCTGTAGGACTCTAAACTTCCACTGTTGATGGTTTGTTTGTTTAAATTTTTTTTATGTTATTTATTTATTTATTTATTTGACAGAGAGAGAGAGAGAGAGAGAGAGAGATCACAAGTAGGCAGACAGGCAGGCAGAGAGAGAGGAGGAAGCAGGCTCCCTGCTGAGCAGAGAACTCGATGCAGGGCTTGATCCCAGGACCCTGGGATCAGGGCCCGAGCCGAAGGCAGAAACCCAACCCACTGAGCCACCCAGGCGCCCCCCCCCCCGCCCCCCGGCTGTTGACTGTTTTTAACTGAGATGTAAGTGACATGGAACATGGTAGTCGTTTCAGGTGGACGACGTTGTGTCTCGATCTGTGTGCCCCCATGTTTAGTTACCATCCACACCACACACAGATACAAATGTGTGCATGTGTGTGTGTGAGGAGAACTTTCACGATCTCCTCTCTTAACAACAAGAATGTGTATCTAAAATAAAAAAGTTTCTAATCACAAAGTTCAAGGCCTGGGACTTGGCACTTCTTACTAAACTAGGATAAGATTAGCCAGGGCATCCCAATTAGAAGAGTCATGCCAACCTCAAACTCTGGTATATTACCTCCTAATTCAGCGTCATTCCTAATAATTTGTACAACTGCTGCATGAAAAGGGAGGGGGGGGACAGGAAACAATTAGCTGACAGTTCAAGAAAAGTAAGAGCATTTCCAAAGGTTTTCACAGGGAAAGAGGCAAGAGAAGATTCCCGTGACCAGGCGCAGGTCCTACCTGAGTGCCGGGCCAGTGCCGACAGGTCATATCGCTTCTTCCCGTCAGTCACACTGCAGAGGAGATCCTCCTTCTCCTTCACACAGGCGTACTTGGTGTCCCACGTGAAGAAGTAGGTGCAGTCTACCTCCCCGGTGAATACAGGCACTCCTTTCCCATCATTAACTATGCAATTGGAGAAGGGAAAAAACAAGCACTCCATTATGTGGCCAAAACCTGGTCAGCCCACTGACCACCCATGCCAGCAGGGCAGTGCCAAGCCCCAGACATCAGAGGTGTAAGAGATTGGACGCCTTCTCTGGAGTCTCAGACAATCCTCAACCCCTCAGTGGCAGTCCTCTGTCCCTCCCACCTTGGTAGGAGGGTCTCAGTAAGCCATCAGGCCGTTCACAACACGATCGCCGTGGGCATGAAATGGGGGCCTGACGAGGAACATGTAAGCCCTCAGGCAGGGCTTGCCACGCACGGGCTGTGGTCAGCCCCGAACAGGCTCATGAGTGGCCCCCGCGACAGACAACGAGGGATTCACCCACAGGCGGACGGAGACCAGAGCTTGAGCTCTAGGAGCGCCTCTGGCTTTATGATGCAATGACGAGCAGGGCGAGTTCCCTGAGATTCACCTCTAACCTGAAACGGAAGGTCATTGGGGACAGCCACCCCATCGAGGGGCCGAGGCCCACGTGCCCTCCCAAGGCCCGGGGCACGCCTCCAGACATCCCAGCATCCTCGACCCTCAGGCCTTCATCGGGGTCCCATGCTCCGCTCGCCACATGTCCAGGGGGCCCTGGCGCCACACGTCCGGGGGCCCTGATGGCTCAGCTCCAGCCTGAGAGCCAGCGCTTCCTGGGCCACAGCCCTGATCCACACAGCCTGGGATTCGGCAAACTTTGGTCATTTTTCCCTTACTAGAAATATCCCCTCGTCTTTCCAAGCTGGTGGACCGCTGGCACAGAGCTCTGTTTTCCACCCCTTGATGGTTTAACAACTCTCCTCTGGACCTCCTGCATGATTTGCCTTTCTTGAGGTCTGGTGCCCTGAAGTGCACAATGTTCTAAAGGAAAGGGAAATAATATTTTGTACCAAGGGCAAATGATGTTTTGATTGCAACTTCTCTTAAATCTTTAATATTATAAACACTATAATTATAATACCAGCACAGCCTGAACCAGGCACCGAGCATCGAAGGGCTACAGGGGGGCGGTCTGCATAAAGCAGGCTCAGGGTTGAGGACTTGACAGATCTTGGCATATTTAATCCTATGGCACAGGTACAGTTCTAGCCCCATTTTTATAGATTAAGGGGGGGGGTAAACAATTTGCGTATGGTTTCCTAGCTAGAAAGCAGAGGAGCCAGGATTCAAACCCAGACAGTCTGGCTCATAACCATAACCACAAGGCAATACTTCCCTACACTACTGTGGAGCTTTTTTTCTTTCCTTTTTTTTTTTTTTCTCTTAAATGATGGACTTTAAGTCATTCTTAAGATGCAGCACTCCCAGCTTCCCTTTCGACAACAAAGAGCCCATCCCCTCCGGCTGGGACCGTCGGCCCCTCCCTCCACCCACAGCGGAACTCTTTTGCAGGTCACTCCGCCCACGTGACTGAGGACCGCTTACTACTGCTGGGTCTGTCTGGGTTTGCATCTCACTATCTGGAAAAGATCTGTGTTTCCCACAAACCTGGAGCATTTGCCGCATTTCTCTTTCAGCAGGTGAAGTTTACAAACCATTCAATGATACCAGGCCTGGTCTGAGGATCCAGCCCCACTTTGGAGCTGATTCTGTATCTGAAGTTTACTGAGGAGGGAGCACCCATTTCATCACTGGTGTGCATCTCCACTCACATTCCTTTCTCACCGCCCAGTGAACTGTAGAAGAGTGATAACGCCGGAACTACCCAGCTCAGGGGGAAAGGAGCTCCTCCAAGGAACCCAGTCACTCTCCACCTACAGCATCGTCCCACCTCACGCTTCAGCAAAGACAAAGCTACCCACTCACCCAGCTGGTTTAATTCTCCCTCTAGCCACACAGCTGGACCACGTTTCCCAGCCTCCCAGCCTCCCAGGTTGGGCTATGCCACTTAGTTCTAGCCCATTTTTTCAAAAATGCTGTTCCCATTCTGCAGAATCCTCGGAGGCCAAGTCTACAGACAGCAACACCACGGGATGGGAAGCATGAGACAGGCCCACGGACCGGAGCCCTGCTGCCAGCACCTCCGATGACCTGCCCTGAACTGAAGAAAATAAACCTTTAACGCAGTGAGCCAGTTAAATTTGTGGGCAGCTTCGTACCAGCCTATTCCAATATATCACTCATCCAAAAAAACAAACAAACAAACAAAAAAACCCGATTTCATATCCTTCCCTGACAAGATCCCCAATAGTAAGTATCACATTACAGCGAACTAGATGTTGGCTGCCGAACAAAGGGCTATGTGTATGTGCACACACAACGGGCTTGAAGAATGAATGCATGCACCTCTGGGCCTTAAAAACACTTAAGCCCTAGAATCGTGAACATATATAATTCTAGAACATCCAAGTTAAAACTAAAAACCACATCATATTACGTAACCAATTAACACCCATTCACATAAAAAAAATTACATTATTACATTTATCCAAATAAACAAAATCCACAAAGGAATTTTTCTCTAAGAACTCTAAATTTAAGTTTGGATGAAATAATAATGCAGTAACTTTTACAGGACATAGTTTGCTCCAAAGTCTGAAGTTGAATCACAGAGCTGGAAGGAGTCGTAAATATTTTATGATCCAACTCCAGCGTGAGAGCAGGCTCAAAACCTCTCACAAAACCTCTAACATCTCCCTGTCCGGTCTTCTTGCCACCATCCTAACTCAAACAGCCTAGGAAGACACTAAGATTCCGCATGAGGACATCTCTGTGAACCCTGTCGGGCTGGCGAGAGGCCGAGGTCACGAGAAGGAGTGGACATGGGGTGGGACGTTCTGATCCATCGGTGCTGACGTGAAGTTTATATGAAGCCAATGTTCCAAAATACTAGCAACTAGCAACTGTTGAATAAAGAGTGGTGAGCATATAGACTTTCACTGTAACGTTCTACACACATGTTTGAAAACCGTTAGCGGTAAAGATAAAGGAGGTAAAGATGGCCATCAGCGCTTTCTTCAGCCTCAGCATGTTCCACACAAGTTCTGAGCGCTGGCGCCTCATCCCAGCCGTCCCAGACTATGTACCCTTCTCAATATCCTCCTCACCTGCTAGGACCTATTTAGATCATTATTCTATCTACCCAGCATGCTCAAATGAGATCAGTGCGCGCGCAAAGATCTCAGCCAAGTCATTTATAAAAAGCCCAGAAAAGAACGGGGCCAAAAGGGGTAAAGACAAGGTCGGAGGGAGACTTGAACCACAGGAGTCGGCCAACAGCGAAGCAGCTCGGCCAGCAGGGGAGGGCGGGCGCCCAGGGGCCTGGTGGCCTGGGGACACAGCAAGAGGAGCAGGGCACACTTCCCAGGCCTGGGGACACAGTGGAAGCGAGGGACTTCAGAGGCAGTCCCCTAAAAGCCTGAAGAGGTGAGGAGGACAGAAGAAGGATGGGGAGTCTGGGGAGGGCAGCGGGGCATTCAAACCACACGCGAGAAGCACCCAAACCAGTCATTACCCTCCACCTCAAGCCCTGGGGACTCCACAATGATTTCTACAGAAAACCCAACTCCTCTGCAGAACTTACATGCTTCTCACCCTCCATTCGAGGGTCATCTTTAGCCACGTTCAGAATCCGAAGCTCTGACCTAGTCACATCTGCCCACATTCAGGCCTCTGCATGAGCCGCTCCCTCTGCCACAGAGACCAGTCCCCACGGCCACCCGACCTCCACACCTGGCTTACTGTGACCCGGCCCACGGAGTTCACCAAGCAGCTCCTCCTCTTTCCCTGACAGCCCCGACCAGCTTCGCTGCCCACACCCCAAACCGCTGACTTGCTGCCTCCCTCCCGACAGGGTCCTGGCTGCCGTACTCGCCCGCAGCCCTGGTCCGGCCGGCACGACCCGCACTCCAGGCTCCGTGCCGTCTCTCCCTCTACGCTTTGGGTCTGAGCACACAGAATGTGTGCAGCCTTAACGGTATCCTGGGGCCTCACAGGGTCTAAGCAGACGGATAAGGACAAAACGTATATTGAACAAATCCACTTGAACGTGGATGTTACCAAAGCAGATTCCTGGGTGACACGGGAGTGCGCGCTCCGGGAACACAAGCAGAGGTGGGGCGGGAGGCGCAGGAGTGAAGGGCACTTTGATTTAAAGCCTCCCCATCTGCTCTACTCCAAGCTCCCTCCTTGCCTGTCACCAAGGCAATGTACTAGAGCCTGGTGCGGATCACAACCTCCCTGTCCCCCTTCACCGTCACCGACACGAGCCTCCAGCAGTTTACGTCGTGTGCAGCTGCCCCTCCCCGAGCTCCTGCTGAATCGCACAGGAACCAGCCTCATCACAATTGGCCCTCGGCGGGGTTATGGGGTCTCTGGAGCCTCTGTGGCGGTGCAGCCCACCGCAAGCAGGCCGGCTCCAGTACAAGCTCCGAGCAGAGGCCCAGCCTGCCTGTGTGTGCCTGGGGTCCCAGCCTGGAGGACGACCAGTGTGACAGTCCTCTGATAACTATGGGACCCCGTCACCTCCCTGCAGATGTAGCCTGTGCCCGAGAGCATCATGATACGGACTGTAGCGCAGCTTTCTGAAATGCTAGCACCACTGTGACCTCAAGAAAGCCCATCCTCATTGCTCAGAAAAACCAAACGCTCCACTCAAACTTGCCCTGTGACCTCTTGTGATCCCCCACACCCCGCCTCTACCACAGGGTCGCTCATTTGCAGAAAGGGTCGTCTTGAGACTTCCTTCAGAAAAGAAGAGCTCTTTAGTGACCGCCCCTCGAGGGTGGGGAGCAAACCCACCCTGCTGACCGGCACACGCTCTGGTACGAGCCAGAATTCGAGAAAGAAATGCTTTCCCAGCAAGCCCAAGGCTGGGCCCCTTCCCAAAACAAACAGAGAGCAGAGGAAAATGGAAACAGGATGTGTGTGTCATGGGTGGGATGGGGTAGAAGGGGCACTCCTACCCACTCCAACAGAGCAACCTAGTCTGGGGACCAGAGGGGGCCACGTCCAAAGCAGAACGTCTGCCTGGTCCATCCACACGTGGCTCCCGAGGACACACATGCTCCCATCACGGCAACAGGCGAGGACGTGTCGCCAGCGCTCACCTGCCGTCTTGTTGCACTCGAAGTTTATGACACTCATCCGCTGGAAGCCGGAGCTGCACTTGTCTCCTCCAGAATAGATCAAGGTGAGGTCCCCATCGGAGTACCTGGATGTTTGCGACACAGACACAGGGGTTGGGGGAACCAAGAAAGAAGCTCGAATCGTTACACGTCTCCACATGAAGCCTTCTGCATACCATCCGCCGTCAGCACTGACATAAGACAGCAAGCTCTCTGGCCAGCTGGGGGAAAGCGTCTAAAGGAAATGAGTTCCAAATGTACAGGCTTGTCGTCCTCTGGCTTCAAAGCAATAGCCAGCAGGAAGAAAGCACTGAAGGTTTTGCTGTGAGCATGAAAACTCTTCCACTCGTTTTGGATTCTGTACAAGATAAATAAGGCCGGAGAAACACACAGTGTGTCTAGTAACCGCCATAAACGCGCTCTCTCCTGAGCGACCCTGGACAGCACTCATCTGCACAGAGCTACATTCTCATAACACTTTTGTGAAGATGACTACCAAATTACGGGTCACAGGGATTGTACTGAATGCGTTTTCTTAGTTGTTTCAAACTTTGATGTAATGCTAATGGCATTTCAGATTCTCAAACTGCCAGAGAAAAATCAGAACTCCTCAGAAAAATGTATTTTAAAATACAAAGGCCGAATCAACTCTTGACCTAATGAAATACCTTTCCTACAGTGTGATTCCTCACACAAAACAGAGGATCAAGCGAACCGTTTTCACAGAAACGGCCTTATTGGAAAGCCAGGATCGGTGACAAATGGCAACTCGCCTACGTCAGACAGGAAGGAATGCCGGATTAACGGACCTGCCGGTTACTTTATGGAAAATGGAAGGAGGAAGGAGACAAGGGGAGTCAGTTACGTCTCACAAAAACAGACACAACGCACTTGAAATTACTGTTTACACACCGGAGGGTTTGATTCTGGTATTTTCCGGCTACTTTGATTTGAGAGGGTTCAGCCTTCTTCACTTGGCAAACGGCGGCTTCTTTCTTACTACAGAACGGTACTTCGACTTCTCCACAGACATTCAAATAAAACATATATTCCTTCCCATCTGAAGTGTAGTAAGAGGAGGACGGACCTAAAGAAAGGGGAACCGACGAGGAGAGGCTCTGTTGCGTCCCCAGGTGCTAGAGGGTCAGGGCATAACCTCGGGCACACCCGAACCCCTCTTGGAAACACCCACCCAGGGACAGAGGCGAAGTGGGCCCCTTCGCACATGTTCCCCTTCCCGCTTCCTTTCGAAGCACCCCTCACCTCTGTCCTGTCGCAGTGGCTGGAGGTCAACTGTGATGTCATGCTGCTCGCTGCTCAGAGAGCAGGTTTTACTCTCCAGATAATCTCTGTGGCACGCGTACTCAGTGATCCACTCGATTTCGTAGCGGCAGTTAGATTTTGCTGTGAGCTTGGGAATGGTGCCCTATCGGGAACGGTGTGAAAGGAGCAAAATTAATGTTTTTAAATGCAGATTTTCCATGCTTCTGAAAAGCTCAAAGGTACGCTGTTGGGTTTTTATCTTCTTCCGCTCCTGTTTCAGACTGGGAACCGCCTCAACACAGTTCCATCACGGGCGTAGAGACACCGTTTACTTGCACCCGTTCCTGTCTCTTTCAAAGGAGTCACACCCGAGGTCCACCCAGGGAGCCCAGCCTGGACTCGACGTCCCCTGACAGCCACAACCTCCGCACGCAGCCATGACTCATGAAGGCACACGGCCTGTTCCCTCCTTTCTACTGGAGCAGAAGGGAACGGGCCAGACGAACCCACAAGTTGAGCAGAAGTCACCGTGCGTGTGTCTGGGGAGATGGTCCGTAACCCCTTTGCTCCGGTTGTCAAAGGGGCCTCGGGCACACCTCACTGGTCCTTGAATCTGCTCCTGCGCTGGGGGAAGCCAGGGCATGACCCGCCACAAACCCCAATTCTGCCGGAGACCAGCTTTTACAAACATGAGCCCAGATGCTCGCGTTTGGTGTGAGCAGGGAAGGACGTGTTCCCTGCTGACCAGAGTGCAGTGTACCCCTTTGAACCATCCTCAGGAGAACGGTCTCACTGGTCTTAGTACCAGGAATAGCCTCGCCACCGCCGGAAACACCCCAGGGCCAATGCTGCCCGCGCCGGCCACGTGCCAGGCGCAAGACGAGGCATCAGGGCTACACGCACGGGCTACAACTTAGTAAGACACAGAGCTTCAAGTCCAGTTCTGTCCGACTCAAAATCAAGGCTTTAACTACTTGGCTTGGGGACACCGGACATCTGGGGATGGGGTGCTAAGCGCCGACTGGTGAAGCCAGGCACTCAAGGCCCCCAGTGCGAGATGTGCTCACCAGGGAGGAAAAGGCAACTCCGTGGAGACAGAAAGTCAACTAGCAGCTGTCAGAGCAAGGGTGCAGAGGGAGGGACAGCGGAGGGAGGGACGGCGCCCAAGCAGAGGGTTTCTTCTGGGCGATGGAAACGCTCTCACGTTAGGATCATGCCACTGGTTGCACAATTCGGTTATATGCTAATGACCACTTTGTTGTACTTTGAAACAGGAGAATGTTACAGTATGTAAATTCAATAAAGCTTTTTTAAGATCTATACGACAAGGTGAACATTTACTAAAATTCCAGCTCCTAAGGGCATCCCATGAGCCTGGTAAACACTTAAAGAAACCCTCAAGTGTTCAGGTGTCGTATGTCACCCAGATCTGTCCGGCGAACGGTTAAGCTGGAAATGGAACCTCTCGCTCCATGAATAACAAAGCAGCCTCCTTTCCTAACACCACCAACTGCCCTGTATCCCACGGAGAAGAAAGGGGAGAGACTCCCGATCCCCCCCACTGTGGTGGAATGAACCGCTTCTCCTCGTATGAGCAGGAAGGGGCCGCACAAAGACCCCGGGCAGCTGAGAACATCTGTCTCGTCGGGCACAAAGAACTTCACCACATCCGCAGGCGCAGACGGACCGTGTCCGCAAACGTCCCTAACATTCACCTTCAGAACTCATGTCGTCTGCGGGCCAGTCAGGTCTTTACTGAGCGGACGCCACGTGGCCCTCCAAGTCTGCGGACACGAAGTGGAAAGCTGGCCTGGCCTACACTTTTGTCTCCACATCCCCCACACACAAAACGGGCCAGCACGGGCCAGCTGCCAGCACGAAACCAGACCAAATTCCATGTTTGTTTGTGGGGAGGGGGAGCTCGCTTCCCTCGCCAAAGAATTCAACTCCTCCTCCTTCGTTCTATTAAGAGGAGACAGAAATAAATGAGAGGAAAGCCCTGCCCTTCCTCCCGGGGGCTATCTCCCTTCCATCAGCACCCCACACCTGCTAGAACACTCGAACAGCAACGGACACGTGCAACGCAGCCGGGCACGGGCCCAAGGACAGCCAGACCCTGGCCCTACCCTCAAGGAGTTTACAAGTGTGCGAAAGAGGACAGGGTCAGGGACCCGCCTGCGAGTATGGGAGGAGGGGATGAAACGCTTCACGGCAAGACCCTCAAACAACCACCTTCCTTCCGGCCAGGACTCTCCCACCTGAGAAGCCCCCGAACTCCGGCCACTGGCCTGCAGAAGCGCGGCCAGGCCTGCACACCACGTGCCCCGCTCACTTCTTACTACGTTTCTATAAACCAATGAGCTATTTTCACCTTGATCGTTCTAACAAATACTAGCTAGGAAATCACAGGTTTAAGATTATACATGTGGTTTTTCAAATGTTCGTTCATTCAGATCAGCATTACTATATAAATTTTCAAAATCTTTCCATGAATCCCTTAAAATCATCTCACACAAACCAGAACAAAAGGCCATCCTCGGGGCACCTGGGTGGCTCAGTGGGTTAAGCCTCTGCCTTCAGCTCAGGTCATGATCCCAGGGTCCTGGGGTCGAGCCCCACATCAGGCTCTCTGCTCAGTGGGGAGCCTGCTTCCCCCGCTCTCTCTGTCTGCCACTCTGCCTACTTGTGATCTCTGTCTGTCAAATAAATTTTTTTAAAAAGGCCATCCTCCATAGACACGCAATACCACAGGCATCAACACACACGGGGCCCCTCCGGATTGGGAAGGAGAAACAAGCACCAGTCTGCTGTCCCCCTGGGACCCTCACACAGGCAGGAGTGCCCCGCCCCCCCAGAAGCATGTCCTCCTGGAATTCCACCGCTGTGGCTGTCTCTGGCTCCCCCTCTCTGGCCCCAGACCCAGCGCCGCACACCAGCCCCAGATGCACTCACCTAGACAGCCCACACGAGCACGCTGCCAGGAAGACCTCCGCGGACGAGCCACTCACCTCTCTGCGCTCCGAAGGGCAGACAAACGTGATGGTCACCGCCGGGCTGTGACCGTCGCAGAAGTCCAGCTCCCCGGCCCCTTCTTTCACGTAACTCAGGACAAGCCTGGATGATACACGTTGAGAAAAGAGTGTTAGGGAAGTATGAATTCCACTCTCATCGGTGTGTTGCCCTGAGCGCTCATCCCGCTCACTCGTTTGGGGGCCAAGGGTAGCAGAAGGAACACTAAACTATAAAGGAAGCCACAGTACGAAATACCTTCAATTTCCATTTTTAAAAAGCTGATTTCAAGTAAACTTCAACGAGTGCTATTTTCTTTTTAAAAATAAATAAAGTGACCAATGTGTACATTTAAATGCTAAGAAAAGCTCCTCGAGTAAGACAAACGAGAAAACACTGTAAACAATCGAAGAAAACAAAATAAACACAGCGGAGCAGGCCGAGCGCATTTCTGTCCACGAGGCTGCACGACCGCTTCTTCTCTAAACAATAACTTTGTAAGTGGGAGCCAAGATCTTTCTCTCTCTAACCTAAAGCCAGCCAAGCGCCCCGGCCGCCGTGACCTCCCACAGCCAGGAAGAGCCCAAGCTGGCCCAGTGCGCGGGGGGTCTCCCGGCGGGACGCGCCTGCTGCTCCTGGTGCGCCGGCCACAGACCCACCGAAAATAGATGGCCTTCCTCTTCTCTGAAGACTAGCTCGAGCTCTCAGTGCCCACGCTTTGCAAAGTCCCCTCTCCCCTGTGAGGAGTCACCCACTTGTCACTCAGGACAGCGTAATGGGCTGAATCGTGTCCCCCTACAATTCATACTCTGCAGCCCTAATCTCCAGGACCTCAGCGTGTGACTGGCTTCGAAGACAAGGCTTATACAGAGGAGAGGAAGTAAAAATGTGGCCATGGGAGCGTGCGGGGTGGGGACGTGGCGCTAACCAGATAGGACTGGCGGCCTTATCAGGAGAGAGCAAGACACAGACACACAGGACAACAGACCCCATGAGGACAGAGGGAGAAGGCAGCCATCTACAAGGCAAGGAGAGAGGCCTCCGAAGAAACCAGCCCTCCCATCACCTTGGACTCCTAGCCTCCAGAACGGAGAGGAAATAAGTTTCTTCTGCGGAAGTCAGCCTACGGCCCCTCGTTACGGCAGCCCTGGCAAACTAACACAGACACACATATAGAAACCTCCCAAACATTTTTAAATTTAGGTTATGCTCCAGAGTCTTCTGTGGACCAAAGCACTGGCCTGATACACCACCAGTTCTATGCTAGAACAAGCCACAGCAAGGAGTCCACCAAGGCCCCAGGATCTATGGCACGATCCAAGACGCGGTAGCATCAGACAGGCCAGACGAGCATCTGCAGGAACTCACGCACCAGTGCTGACCCACCTGTCCTTGTTCACCAGCTTCAGTCCCTCCTTGGGCTGGCCAACGTCGAAGGCCTGGTCCCCTCTCACCAGGCAGGCAGCCGTGCCGGCGGGACAGCCACGCAGCTGTGGACTGGGGTCCCGCAGAGAGTCTGTAAGACATCCCATGTGACGCTGTCAGACTGTACCTCAGTCTAAAAGTTCTGAAAGTCCTCAAAGTAACACAAGTTAGTAGAAGTTTGGAAACCAGAAACAAGTCAGGCTTGAGAGAGATTCTGGGCGCACCGGGGACCTCTCCAGACGCAGGAAGTGCATGCGTCCTGCCCTGCAGGGCCACTGGGAAGCAGAGACAAGAGACTCAGTCTGCTCCTGTCAGGAAGAGGTGATGAGAAACAGGGACCGTCACATACTTTGTACTCAAGGAACATACACATTGCCGCCACCTTCCTAAAGACACACTAACTTGAGCATTATCCCCTTGTCCAAGCTACAAGCAAACTAGAAAACGCAGGCACTCCGTGAACTGGTGGGAAGATGAGAAGGCTCATGGAAGGAACCTACATACAGCTCTGGGACCAGGCCTTAAAAACATCCCTTGCCGTCCCTGTGACTTTGCTCTAATGGCACAACTATCCAATGCCAGGTGCATTCCCGAAGGTCTGGGGGAGGATTAAAGAACATCTAGATGTGCCCAGAACAACAGCCAGATGTCAGACAATCCGTGACTCTGCTTGTACACAGTCACAGGCTTACTTGCATCCCTGGCCTGTGACCGGTACTCTACCTGACCGCAGCTCCACCCAGGGCTGGGACTCAGGGCCTCGCACATGATATGGCCTCAAAAAATAGGTCCCTCACAAAGGAGTAACTATGGCCCAGCCTTCTCAGTCGGGGCACGGGGGCGGGGTGGGGGGGGGTGCCCTATCTTCTCCAGTCTGGCAGGAAGCCATACCAGCTGATGAAAAGGAAAGGGCGTCAAGGCCGTACAGCACTACTCCACCAGGGGCTGGTCTCAGTCCACATCGAGTACCAGTTGTGCCTCTTCTCCCCGTGGCATTAGCAGATCCCTTGGTTTACTGAAGGCCAAAGAGGAGGCAAGATCCCCAAGTGTGCAGAGAGGACACACAGAGCCAGCCCACAACTGCTCGTGAGAGTCTCAGGGTCACTATCAACATGGTTTGTGGCCCCAGGCAACTTCCTGGGGAGGGAGAAGGTCTGGACAGAAAATGGTAAATCCACTTTTCTTAACTTTTAAATTATAAATTTACAAAATTACTGTGAGTCAAAGTCACTGAAGTTCAACCCAAACTGCCAATAATCAGGAAGAAAAAAAAACTTTTATAAGAAAAATTGCCACCGAATTCAGAAAATCCTCGAAATGGTAAAAGACCAGAAATCTAAATGTTTTCTAAACTAAAATGAATTCAATAATCTGCAAGACTCTTCAGCTTTATAATCAAATTTGAGCTACAGACCCATTTTTAAGACACAGGCTTTGTTCGTCTGCCTTTTTCCAAAAGAACATTAAAAGCTGTCCTTGGAGAACAAAAGAATGATGTAAAAACCCTGACACACAAAAAACCTAAAATTATCACTGGTCACTTTTAGTGAAACACGTATGTGGTATACTCACATTTAAAACAACGGTTTGTTTTTTTTTTCCTAAACATAGAAATAATCAAAATGGTACATAATGTATTTGTACAACTCACCGTAAACTCAAATACCTACCACTCAGCCACACCGTCCCCTACTGAGTTTATTCTTAATATTTTTTTCCCAAACTTTTCTAAGGCCAAAGTCCCACGTACAGTGTGAGAAACAAGAACATGAAGATAACACTAGAACTGATCTTTTCATTTGCTAATTTACTCGTGACAGATCTGCTGCTGGCATAGCAGAAAGACAAGTCTTGGTCTAGGGGACTAACAACTCCCTGAAAAACACACAAAGCTAGGTTCTAGAAAGTGCGGACAAAACAAAGCCTTAGTCAAACTTAACGTCCTATTTAGAGAAAGACCATGTACAGCCTTCAGTTAATTTAGCAAAGACACCCAAGCTTCCCACACCACTTCTGGCACCTAAGAAGAAAGCCAAGCCAAAGCTGGCTTAGGACAAAATATGCATCACAACCCAGTTCCCAAGGTCACTTGACCATCCCTCTCTCCCTGTCGCCCAGCCTGCAACTCCAAGCCCACAGACGTAGGTACGCCCAGCTGGCCAGAGGCTGTCCTCCCCAGGCCCCCCACAGGAAGGCTGACTCACCCTGCTGCAGCTGGTCTGGGGCCTCCAGCACACCCACCCCGTTCATTCTCCCACCATCTCGCTGGAAGTCAGTTACCCGAGAATCCTGGACTCAAAATGTCTGGCAGAGAGAATCCACTGAGATGAACCAACAGTCTGGATAAAACCTGTATTGGAACCAAAACTGACTGGGGGCGCAGGGGGGCTTGTGCACAGAGAACATCTTCCTGCCTCCTTAGAGGGCTGACTCCGTGACACGGATATCCAACTAGGAATAATGGTGCAAGGGCAAAGACAGAGAAGTCTTCTAAGACATCCCTCACCACCACCACCCCCAAACCTACCTATGTCTCTACAAACGTTGATGAACAGCGAAGTGTCTGGGTCAGAGTCATCCACCAAGTAACCCCCGCTAATCTTGATCAGAGGATTTAAGTCATGCTTCTTGAGCTCTCCATCAAATGCATAGCACGGCACCTAGAAGAGAGGAAGAGAAAAGGTGAATCCTGGACACCGCCTTCTTGGGGTACCAGCTCAGCAGAGCATCTGACCAATGTCACGGGACACTGGTCCCTACCACTTACAGTCTATCACACCGTGGGGTCCCCCGGAGACAAAAGAAACAAAGCAAAGATCAGCAAGTGCTTCAGATGCTCTGCATTTAGCACCATGTTTTTCCCTCCTGACTCCCCCATCTCCATCAGCATGCTATGGTATCTGCCAGCTTACAGATGACCTCTCTGCCCCTACCCTGCCCTCAGCCCTCATCCTGGAGCTCTGCAATTCACAATGAAATTACCTGACTGGTCCATCCTCATCCACTCCCCTTCCTCCCCTTCCATGCGGCCTGAACATGGGATGGGAGGTTGCTATCATCACCCTGCCAAAACCACTCCCACCCAGTCACCATCGACCGCCTGCTGTAGACATGATGTACTTTCTCAGCCTTGAGTGTCACTGGCCCTTCCCTACTGCCTGACTGCCATTCTTCCCTTTGCTCCCTAGCCCCCCAGAGGCTCCTGGTTTCCCTCCACCTGCTGGATGCTCCTTCTCAGCCTCCTGGGAACATTCTTCATCTTCCTTCTATCTCTTAATGCAGAGGTACTCCACACCTGACTTCTCTGGTCACTTCCCTGTCTACACTCTTTCCCCTGGTCACCTCCTGCCCAACTCCAGACTTCCTAGCAACACACAGCAGATCTTGTTCATCAGCAGACTCTGGAGACAGAATGCTTAAGTCCAAGCTCTGGTTGCTGACACTTAGGACAACCGTGAGCCAGTCTAACCTCTGTGCCTCCGTTTCCCCATGCATCAACTGGAAATAACGACAGTCATTAGCTCGGAGGGCTGCTGTAAGGACAGAATGAGTTAATGTATGTAAAGTTCTTGGTACAGTTCCTGTCAAGCCCATATTAGGTGTTACTTGTTACTGTTACCTCCCATTATCACTTAGATACCCAAAAGCATCTCAAATTTAACATTTAAAAATGAGCACTAGGTGTTAATATGCCACTGATGAATCATTAATTCTACCCCTGAAACTAATAATACATTTTACGTTAACTAAGTTAAATAAAAAAACAAGAAATTCTACCCCTGAAACTAATAATACCTTATGTTAACTGAATTGAATAAAAAAGAAAAAAATTCTATCCCTTAAACTAAGAATATACTATATTTTAACTAAGTTGAATAAAAAATAAAAAATTTTAAAAATAAAAAATAAAGTTAAAAAAAAAAAGGGAAGAAATTATTCTATTTCTCCCCCAAACCTGCTCTTACTCCAGCATTCTCTATCTCAGCATTCAGCCAGCGGCTCAAGCTGAAACCTTAATCATCCCAGACCCCGACATTCTACATCCAAAACAATCAGCAAGTCCTGTCAGTTCTGCCTTCAAACTGAATCCCTGATCAACATGTGGTCCCTGACCTCAGATTTACAATGGTGCAAAGGTGATAGGCATTCAGTCTCTTAGACGGAGCCCCCCCACCCACACCCCAGTCTCAAGCAGGTAGATCTGTGTAACAAAAGTTAACCGCTTACTGTTCAGCTAACAAGTTTTCTTGGAAAGATGATCAAACTTGCAGGACTGCTCTGACCCACTAACCATTTTCCCCAGTGCAGTTCTCAGAGATTTCAGGGCTCGTATGGAATGAGTCAAGGGCAGCTCCTCAGAGCCTCAGGGAACACATGAACTCCTTTCAACAGGACCCCTAAAGCAAACTCTCCCCGTGTCCACGGGGGATCAGTGGTCCCGCCGACGACTGAGGGGGCTAGAGGGGTGGGGTAGGAGGGGTGTGCCGGCACACGAAGCCAGCAAGGTCAGAAGGCCAGACGCCAAGCCTCACACTGGACCCTGCAGAGAAGCAACCAAAACCAAAGGTATTCCTGTGGACTGTGACAAGGCTCCAGTGAGAGGGACCAGGGCATCCAGCATCCTGCAAATGGAAAGCCTGTCATCCTCCAGCAAGGCAACGCGGAGACAGTAACTCCAGCAGGGAGCTACCCGGCCTGTGGCGAGGGAGGGAACCTGCAGACAAGGAGCGACTCCCTAGCTACAAGCTGAAGGCGTCTGAGAGCAGGGAGCAAGCCGGCAGCCGGCGCGGAGGAAACCCGGGGCCACGTCTGAAAGAGCTTGTAGTTCTCCACCAGCTCAGCTTCACCCAAAGACTTGAGAGATTCCGGTAAGCGAGGTCTGCAGACGCCTGGCTCAGGGCAGTTTCAGCAACTTCTGGCCGGCTCTCTCCTCCAGGAAGGACTAGAAGACACGCCTAACACAGCACCCCACAGAATTGGAGCGTGCATCGGAAAAACAGTCAAGGCTCCTGGGGAAAGTCCTCCCCACTTCCTGCTCCACGGAGCAAAGCAATGGAGACATTCATAAGAGCAGGAATGTAGCCGCGGGGGAAGGAGGTCGTTGGCCAGCCTCTCACACCACACAGTGAATCAACCTTGTTAGCGCCAGACGTACATGAACTGCACTCGTGGAGCTCTGCTAAGAACACAATCACCCCAGGCCCGAGTTCTCTGCGCTCCTCAGAGTGCGATGGGAAGGGGATGTACATCCAAACTATTTTAAGAAACTACTATCTTAAAAAAGCCCTACCAGAATCCATTCAACAAGCATTAGACCGTCTGCAACTACCATGAGCTTTGCCCCCCCAACTGTTTTAACTCCGACAAAGCCACTGACAACCAAAACGAGATACAGAAATCAAGACTCCAGTGACATGAACCACATCTGGATTGGTTTTGGGTTTTTTGCGTTGTTTTTGGTTTTTTTTAAAGATTTCATTTATTTATTTGACAGAGAGAGATCACAAGTAGACGGAGAGGCAGGCAGAGAGAGAGAGAGAGAGAGAGAGAGAAGCAGGCTCCCCGCTAAGCAGAGAACCCGATGCGGGACTCAATCCCAGGACTCTGAGATCACGACCTGAGCCAAAGGCAGCAGCCCAACCCACTGAGCCACCCAGGCGCCCCTTGCGTTGTATTATTTATTTGTTTTTTGTTTTGCATAAAATATTTACTACAGTTTTTGAAGCAATACCATCTCCTGTAAGGTATAAAGCTGTAATCAAACCTCACTGAAGACAGAGAAGAGGAAACTTGCTCCACCAGGATTTGCTACAGCGAGGCCCGGCCTCTCAGCAGCCACCATGTGCCTCTGCCCATTCCGCCTCCATTGACCTGTACCTGAGGCACAGCAAATCCAGGCCATGAGCAAGGACCTGCCCTCCATACCCTTCCTCTATGGGCTCTCTAAGAGCAAGAAGCCTTTCAAAATTTAGTGAAATTCCTGCTTCTTGGCCCACGACAGGCCCTCCACAAATGAAAACTGAATGAATAAGGCCCGGGCTGCCAACCAGACCTAAGATCACTGAGGACACACTGCACACTTCTCGTCCATCTGTAGATCGGCTTCTAAGAGAAATTAAATGTCACTGTTTGGAGAAAAAACACGGACTATACTCCTCCCCTCATACATCAAAAACTGATTTAGAGCAAGCCCTCCCCACCCCACCCCCATTACTTTCCTATAAAGGGCAACAAAGTAAATAGTTTAGGCTCTGAGTCACACAGGTCTCTCTGGTTCTTCTTTGCTTTTTTCACAATCCTGTACAAATGTAAAAACTGTTCTTCGTTCTGGCGCTGTGCAAACACGGGCCAGGGCCAGGCTTTGGCCCAGGGGCTGTAGTCTATGACTTCTGACCTCCAATGCAAAGAAAATAGAAAACAAGTAGCATTTATGTATTTATTTTGCAAAGTAATTTTTCACCAGGTATAACAGTTCAAAAAAGCCAGGCAAGACAACAGTCAAAACAGGAAAAAAACGGGTCTCGCTGCTGAGCTGGAGAGCCAGAGCCCAGGAGGACATCCGTGGGACTTGGAGAGGTCTGAGGCCCCACAGGAGAGCAGGAGGCAGCGTCTCTCTGTGGCTCTCACATGCTTTTCCTGCCACTAACTGTACATTGGCACACAGGGTAACCAAAGCATTAAAATTCAAGGTTTAAACCTGACACTGTCACATCAAGGTCAGTGTCGTTGTATTAGGCCTTCAGTCTTTCCACACTTGAGACTTCTTTCTCACTCGGTGTCCCTCATGCTCTCTTCCAGGAGGTAACATTCTGCCTCTTGCAGTTCCGTATCTGATCATTTATTATTTACAGCTTCATGTGGCTTTATTTCTTTAAAAACAAACTCCTCGCTTTCTGCCCTTCTTGAATGACGCTGTATTGGGCCATCAGTGAAAATAACTGATTGCTCCCATCTTCCGATCCTAGATCCTAAGAGAGTCTTTGAACTCAATCCTTCAGAACATAAAACTTAATGGGGAGACATGAGAATAATCAACCTGTGAAGCCTGTCGCCTCAGGAAGCACAGAAAACCACCTCCAGACCTGCAGGGGGAGGAGGGGAGACGTGGCAGGGGGAAGGGCCACACAGCAAGCCGACTTCAGGCTCTGGACTCGGGGAGGGGACATTGCAGGAATCACCAAGGACAACTTGACCGAACACCAGAGAAAGAGTGGAAGGAACGACAGCAGCCATCCAGTCTCTGACGGACACCAGCAAAGAACCGACTGGCTAGGGCCACCTGGCCTGAACTCACAGCATCCAGGAGGCATCCCAAGGCTGAGGAGATGGGCGTGGGGAAAGAGAGTGTCTAATCTAAACACAAGCTCATCCCTGGCAGTCACTGAGCTGCACGGCACCAGAAACCAAGAACTAACTAACTAACTGACTAAACTGAGATGGTAGACGGTGAGCCAGTCTACTTCTAATCATATCCTAGGATATTTTAAATGCCCTGTCCTAAAAATAAAAACCACCCAGCATCATTTTAACAATTAAATCACGTGGTACCTCTACTCAAATGGAATTTGAAAACTAAAAAAGATTTTTACCCCAAAAGGTTTGTGCCAGTGTTTCAAATCTTAAAGGTCCCAGAATGTCCTCAGTAGTAAGCACCTGACCTTGAGTCCCCTTGTTACCTCTTTATTAGCTTTAAATGTCTCTTTCTTGCAGGCAGCAGTAGTCCTCCACTCGAAGTAATGCACACAATCTGTTGCAGTTACAAATTCAGGAGTTCCCTATTTTTAAAAAAAAGTAAAAATAAGTTAACATACTGCATATTGTAAGGGGGTTTTTTCCTCCCCCCTTAAAGTTAGAAACAGTAAAGGCTAATGAAAATTTTTAAAGCAGCAAGGAGGGGGAGGAGGGAGGACACAACTGTTTTAGTTAATCAAGGTCATCAAGAAGTTCCCAAACCCAGAAATTATGAGACAAAAGCTTCGTGAAATCATGCTGGAATTTTGGTATAACTGGTCCAAAACTGTTCTACTGCCCCAACTATGCAAGCACAGTAACTCCTGGGATGTAGTCCTCAGAGCCCTTCCACTCTCAGACTCCAAATGTTCTCTTAACCAAATGCCAACAAAATCAAAGCCAGAAAATGTGACCTCATACTTCCTGTAAGCTGAGGACGGAGGCCCATCTGGACCCGACCGAGTTCACACACCAGCCTCGCTTTAGACACCCCCACACTCAAGGGCAGCCCCTCCACACAGACTGCAACCAGGGTCGACTCCAAAATGGTCAACCACAGCACTGCTGGGTGATACGTGACACCAAATTCACCTCTACACTGCCATGTGCAAATCTAGGGAGTTCTTCGCAATTCTGGTTCTCGTGTGATGAACACAGGACTCCTGAAGGAAATCAGTTAAAATTAAAGCAGCAGCTAGCCTATTCTGTAACACAGACCTCCATATTTCATATCACTGCAAAGAGATCTTTTTTCTAAGGTTCCAATATAGACAAGAGTGCATCTGACAGGCTGGTCCCAAATTAACAATGTTAAGTTCTATTTTTAAAGTTCTTCAGAGGAGACATTATGGGCCTAAAGATGCAACAATCACAGCACCAAATTCTAAAACAATACTTTAAGGTAATCTGGCAGCCCACATGAGCTTCCTCAACCTTATTTTTCTAAACACTTGGGTTCTTACTCTGATTAAAGAACAGTTGTAGGATCTCTATATAAATTGCTTCTCCTAAAAGCTAGCAATTATTTACTGGAAGGTCCTTTCTATATACCAGAGATTAAAACCAACAACTCATATACAATATGCAAGAGTAAGAACAAACATCACGCTTTAAATAATGATGTCCCCTTGCAATGCCAGTAACACTCAAAAAAGGTGTGATTGATGGCCATTACCTACTGGCCAAGACTTCTCCTAGACAGATGCTGGTCTTCCCAATTTAACATAAATAAGGAAACAAAAACAGTTTAAAAAAAAATAATAAAGGCACTGCCCTAAAACTACCAAGATAAAATGCTAGGTAAAGAAGTCTTAGAAAGAAAAAAATGTATGCCTTACAGTATAAACACTCAACAGTGTTTTGAGTTTAAACACACTAATCACCTTGAATTGTAGTTTTATACAGGATGTAGATCAAGTTTCACTTAAAAGTTGTAACTTACGGGCTACGGTTTGTTTACATATTGGTTCTTAATGGTGATGGTGTTTTGGTTGGTGGTTTGATGGCTCTGTTTGTGTTTTTAATTTTGCTCACTTATTCTTCCCAGAAAAACACTATAGCAAGAATGCCTAACGGGCAAACATTTTTAACAAACGGAACATTATAAAGTGACTCTGGGTGGACTCACCAAGGTTTTCCCACATAAAAAGGTTATGCTACTCTGGATTCTGTGATTTGGGCTTTGCTTGCAGCTCTCTGTTGTGTTGAATTCCAGAAGAGATCTGGTTACAGTTTTTGAAGAAGAATCACCTATTTGGAAAGGAAAGGACATGAACAAACTATAAAACATTTATAACCATAAAGTTATTTCCAAGCAAAAGCAAATTAAAAGTGGTACTATAATTCATCTGAAGGCTCAGAAACTTACAAACTGTCCCTTCCCCAGAATTTTCCATCTGAAGAATGGCATTTCCATCCACCAAGCTACTGGTCAAGCCCCAAACACGCTAGAGTCTTATCTTTCTCTTCTGGTCAAGCCCCAAACACGCTAGAGTCTTATCTTTCTCTTATCTACCACATTCAATAAATCAGAAAGTTCTAATGGTTTTGCCTCCATCTCAAATCCACCCACATCTCACCACCTCTACTACTGCTGCTACTAAAACCACTACCATCTCTCACCTATACTCTGGCAATAGTGTAAGACTAGTCCCCTTGCCTCCACTCTTGTCCCTCACCATTCCCCCTTTCCCCATCTACCTCGACCAGTGGGATCTTAGAAAACATAAATCAGAATATATAACTCAACTGCTCAAGTTCTTCAATAATTTCCCATCATACCTGTTATAAAATAAAAATTCTTTAGAATGGCCCACAAGTAGGGTGATTACATCTCAGTTTGCCAGGTCTGTCACTGCAATAATCTGGAATAAAACATCTATACCATACCAATATGGTAATAAATTGGTATAGGAACAGATAAACTCACAAGTAGATTAGAACAGAGAGCGCAGAGAGATATGTACAAATCAAACCTTGATGTAAGACAGAACAACAGATCAATGGGCAAAGAAGAGACTATTCAATAAAGGGAACTAAACAAAATGAGAATCCACATGTGAAAGAAGATAAAAACTGGATCCCTGCCTACCACTGTATACAAAAATCGACTCTAAAATAAAGACATAAACATCAAACTTCAGAACTTTTAGTACAAAATATAGTTATCTTTTAGATCCTTATGCAGAAAAGTATTTAAGACTCAAAGCATTAACTCTGAAATATTAATATATTTGACTTCTTAAGTTTAAAAGTTTACTTCCATCAAAATATAGCTTAATGAAAATAAACTACTTATAAACTGGAAGATAGACAAAGCTGGCAAAGAAGTGGCATCAAGAATATATATTCTCACACATGGGAAAAGAATAAAAAACTTTTCTTTTATAATCCTAGAAAGTGAAACAAAATAACCTCTAACTGAAAGAACACACAAAAAGAAGAGATGGGGGAAAACCCACACCTAGTCAGTCTTGGTAAATTTTAATATTAAAGGCAAAGAGAAAATTTTAAGGCTTCTAGAGAAAGAACACGTCACATGCACTAGATAACCCAATATAAAATGGATGGGATCAATCAAAAGGAAGAAAAATATGTCAGTAAGTATATGAAGAGAAATGTTCAACACCACTGGTAACCAAGGAATTACATACTGAAACCACATGGCATACCAATCACAACCATTCACAAAAGTTAAATACCAAGTGTTGGAGGAGAGTGGTCTAGCTCCCCTTTGTTGCTTCAGCATGGCATTAGGTCCTAAAATTGAACATTCATGTACCCCATGAGCTACGTATTGAACTCTTAGGTATCTATACAAAAGAAAACAATGCACATGAAACATGTGAAACATGAACAAAAACCTGGACACAACCGAAATGCCCATCAGTAGAACAGTGGATAACAGTGGATAACTTTGGGAGAGCCACACAATATTTATGTAAAAGTTGGCTGGAACAAACTACAGTGAAAGATAACGAGTTGGTTGATCTTTAGCAACATAATATTGTTGTTACCACTTTAAGTCCCGGAAAATCACACATAGTATGATATACACTTTCTAGAAAGATAAAAATATATATCTCTCTCTCACACACACACAGAGACTCCTGAGAAAGAGATAAGACACAGCAAGAGAAAGAAACAAAGAAAGGGAAGAAAATTTTAAATACAGGTTAATTATTACTCCCACTGAAGGGAGACAGGAAGATGGAGAAAACACGTAGATAGTGATTATTCTCGGGTTACTAGATTTTGTTAGTAATCACATTATTAATTAGTAGTCACATTATCCAAAACAACTAATCACATTATTAGTTAGTAGTCACATTTTCCAAAACAGCTAATTAAAGAACAAGAAAAGGGTGCCTGGGTGGCTCAGTTGATTAAGCAACTGCCTTCGGCTCGGGTCATGATCTTTGAGTCACAGGATCCAGTCCTGCATCAGGCTCCCTGCTCAGCAGGGAGTCTGCTTCTCCCTCTGACCCTCCCGCCCTCTCCTCCTCATCTTCGTGTTCTTTCTCTCTCTCAAATAAATAAATAATCTTAATTTAAAAAAACAAAAAATAGAAGGTTAGTCCACAGATCAGTTATGACTGTATCATGAACTCGGGATTATAACTGGTCCAATCCGATACAAATACCTGAGATCTTCTTTTAAAAAAGAAATAAAGTAGGAAGAAAAGGGGAAGGATCAAAATTAAGATGCCAGTGGAGAGGGGGTAATGGGCTCCAGAGCTGCCCCCACAGCACCAGTCTCACAGTCCATTGGTTCTTTCTCCCGACTGCCCGCCTGCCTTTTGTGCAAAGGTCTGCCTGAATCGCTCTCTCCCCTAAAACTCCCGAGATCTTCCCAAAAATCCTTCTTCTCTGCCGAGAGCACAGAATCCCTGCAGTCTCCGGGACCAAGGACAGCGCCCCGCAGACAGCACCCGTAGCCCCGCCCATGGTAGGCGTGTCTAGAACCGCGAGACGGGGCGGGGCTTCGACGCGCCCCTGCAGTGCTGCGCTCCAGGAGACACGGAGGGCGGGCGCGGACTGCAGCAAGCTGCACAAGCCGCGGCCAGAAGGGGGCGCTCACAGGCCACGGTCCCCCCCACCTTAAAGACCCTCCCCCACGCCTCCTGTCCCCCCACACAGCAGCCCCTTCCGGCCCTGTGCCCAGAGCTCCTGGGGGCTCCTCGTAACAGCTGGGCCCGCCCTGAAAAGGAAACGCAGAGGGTCCTGGCCTCGGGCTGGGAGGGATCCAGCCAACCTTTGCCGACGCGGCACGGGGCACCGGCATCCCTAAGCGCCAGGCCCCCATCAGCATCGCACCCGCCTGTCCATCTCGCCTTCTTCCTCTGCCCACTCCGCCCGGTGGCCGGGACCGGCTGCCAACCGGGGCACTCGGGGAGAGGCCGCAGCGAACCGCGGCAGACAACCGCGGCAACCGGCCAGCCTGGCCGTCCTCCCCGGACAAGAGCCGGGTGAGGACTGCGGGGCCGCGGCCAGCACGCCAGGCCCACGGCCAGCTCCCGAGGACGGCGCCAAATGGGCTGGGCCGCGCTCGCCGGGCCCGCCAGACCGCGCCGGGTCCTCCAGACCGCGCGCCGGGCCCGCCAGACCACGCTCTCCAGGCCGGGTCCACCAGACCAGACCGCACTGGCGGGGCCCCACCAGACCAGACCGCGCAGGGTCCTCCAGGCCGCGCTCTCCAGGCCGGGTCCTCCAGACCAGGCTGCGCGCGCCAGGCCCGCCAGACCGCGGTCTCCAGGCCGGGCCCGCCAGACCAGGCCGCGCTCGCCCAGGCCCGCCAGGCCGCGCCGGGTCCTCCAGACCGCGCTCTCCAGGCCGGGTCCACCAGACCGCGCTGGGTCCGCCAGACCGCGCGCTGGGCCCACCAGACCGCGCGCTGGGTCCTCCAGACCGTGCGCTGGGCCCGCCGGACCGCGCCAGGCCCGCCAGACCGCGCGCGCCAGGTCCTCCAGACCGCGCTCTCCAAGCCGGGTCCGCCAGACCAGGCCGCGCTCGCTGGGCCCGCCAGACCAGGCCGCGCTCGCCGGGCCCGCCAGATCGCGCCGGGTCCTCCGGACCGCGCCGGGCCGCGCGCGCCAGGTCCTCCAGACCACGGTCTCCAGGCCGGGTCCTCCAAACCAGGCCACGCGCGCCAGGCCCACCAGACGGCGCTCTCCAAGCCGGGTCCGCCAGACCAGGCCGCGCTCTCCAGGCCAGGCCGCGCCGGGTCCTACAGACCCTGCGTACCAGGCCCACCAGGCCACGCTCACCAGGGCCCGCCAGACCGCGCCGGGTCCTCCAGACCGCGCTCTCCAGGCCAGGTCCGCCAGACCAGGCCGAGCTCGCCAGGGCCCACCAGACCAGACAGCGCTGGCGAGGCCCCACCAGACTAGACCGCGCCGGGTCCTCCAGGCCGCGCTCTCCTGGCCGGGTCCTCCAGACCTGGCTGCGCGCGCCAGGCCCGCCAGGCCCTCCAGGCCCGCCAGACCGCGGTCTCCAGGCCGGGCCCGCCAGACCAGGCCGCGCTCGCCTGGGCCCGCCAGACGAAACCGCGCTTGCCTGGCCCGCCATGTCGTGGCGGGTCTGCCAGACCTCGGTCTCCAGGCCAGGTCCGCCAGACCGCGCCGGGACCGCCAGACTACGCGCTGGGTCCGCCAGACAGCGCTCTCCAGGCCGGGCCCTCCAGGCCGCGCTCGCCCGGGCCCGCCAGACCAGGCCGCACTCACCCGGACCCGCCAGATCAGGCCACGCTCTACAGGCCAGGCCACGCCCGGTCCTCCCGACCCTGCGCGCCAGGGGGCCCGCCAGGCCGCGCTCGCCCGTACCCGCCAGACCAGGCCACGCTCCACAGGCCAGGCCGCGCCGGGTCCTGCAGACCCTGCGCGCCAGGCCCGCCAGGCCGCGCTCGCCCGTACCCGCCAGACCAGGCCACGCTCTACAAGCCAGGCCGCGCCGGGTCCTGCAGACCCTACGCGTGAGGCCGCGCTCACCCGAGCCCGCCAGACCAGGCCGCGCTCCAGGCCTACCAGGCCTCGCCTGCAACCCTCGCCGTCCCCGGCCGAGCCCAGCCGAGCTCGCAACTCGGCCTCGCTGAGGCCGCAAGCCCTGGCGATCCCGACTTCGCAGGCGGCCGCAGGGCCCACCGCGCGGCCACCCGGCCTCCCCAACACACCACTTAGAGCCTGTCAGGCAGGCAGACAGCCCTCCCCGTGCTAGTCACCAATGTGCTCCAGCAAGGTTTCCCCAGTTACCCACTTTCCTTTCCCTTCTTTAGTGTGTCGTGTCCTTCAACGTGTACTATTCACATGTTCTTTCACCAAATGAAGAAAGAATCCTCTCTACCCAATTTCCCGCCCCCCCAGCTGCTGCCTCGTTTTTCTGCTCCTCTTTATATCAAAACTCTTTAAGAGATTTCTATTCTTGCTACCACCAATTACCCTCCCCGTTCAGATACTCCCCCTTGTCCCCTGCACTGGCTGTTCCCCGAACCACCTGACTCACTCCTTCAGCTCTAAGTCTTTGCTTAAATGTCACTTTCTCAGCGATACTTACCCCCATTTAATATTCTTGAACACACACTCCTGAGACCTCCAGCACCTCTGACTCTCCTTCCTTTTTTTTTACAGCACTCATCACGTTCTAGCGCACCACCTAGCCACTGCTTGTTTGTCTAGCCCCCACTCCATTGGTATGTAAGCTCCCCAAGAAAAGGGATTTTTGTCTGTTCTAGTGACTGATTCATTCAAGTATTTGTTATAAATAAATAAATGGATATTCAGTGTTGGCTGTTTCAAAATATAATTTATACATATCTCTTTTAAGATATGACTTAATCAAGTAAATCAGAATAAAATATGTTACAATTTACCAAACCAGCCCCATACAGCTAGGTTGTGCCAGCATATCTGCCACAGTTACCAATGCTACAAAAAAAAAAAAATTATTGTACCAAAATCTACGTACAGTGCTAATTTCTCTACTGGTAGAATTTACAAAAGTAGGTAATGGGACTATAGGCTTTAAAATTTAACAGCTATTGTCGGACTATCAGGAGAGGCCATAAATAAGATAAAAACATGAGTTATATCTAAAACTGAACCAGATTATCATCTTAAATAGCCAAAAGGATTATACAGTTTTAAGAAAATGAAAGAATACAGGGCTTAAGAGGAAAAGAGATTTTTACATCTTAAGAGTCAGAGATGCAGAATTCAATCCAGCAATCAACCTGGATGGCTGTTCCAGAGTTCTCTGAGTGCACACAAAATATGAACAATACAAATGTCATCTGAAGTAAGGGGCCAGCCTCCTTAGAGTAAATGAAGGCACCTGATGCAGCAACCACAACAGGATTCCCTGTGTCCTGCCCAGGTCATCAACAAGAAGCTGGTCAGAATCCCAGGCTTTGGCGGTAAGTAACCACAATTAACATTCTTTCCTGGTGGGTATGTTACACCTCAGTTCTGTGGGCTGGTAACAGGCTTCCTGAAGTAGATGTATAGCTTCTAACCCTCAGAAAGATTAATTAAATTAAGACCAAAGAATTAACATTTGGGATGGCACGAGAAATGTGACTGTATTCCGTATTTTTTCATACTGGCAAAGTTCAGTGTCATGACTCCAATCGATCCACAGCTTATAACTGACCAACTGAGACTTGTGACACAGTATTAGACCATCTAAGAGAATTTCAAACTAATTGTATTTACAAATTTAAACTACTGAATTTATAATTATTAGTACTAAAGTTCTAATTATCAGATCAGACACATTAAGTACTTTAAAAGGAAATCAAATAGGTAAAATGTAAAAACGTAGAAATTTTAAATTGGGGCAAAGACAATTCAACAAAGTTGCAAATGCTATTCATGGGTCCCATAAAAATGACTGCTAAACTCTGCCAGATTTATATATGGAACAATATCATTTGCCTAAGGAAGAACTAATATATGATTTTTTAATCAAAAATAATGTAATATTGTTTAAACCAAAGTTGAGGTCTTAATATTCATTTCTGTGTACAAAAGCAGCCTTTGTGGGTATCATAAAACACACATCAACAATTATCTTCCCAAAAGAGTTACAACCATCTTCCCCGTAGCAATACAGGCATGTGCCTGTTTCTAGGCTCCCTGCCAATGCTCTACGATTCAACCATTTAAACTTCTGCCAATTTGATACAAGAAAAAGGAGATTTCATTATTGCTTTGATTTACATTTATACCTGGCTACTAATGAAGTTGTACTGACTATCTGGGATTCTTCTTTTGTGAACTGCCTGTCTTCAGACTTTGTCATTTTTCCTTGGGTTGTCTGTCGGTCTTATCATGTATTAAGAGAAGCTCCTACCTCCCCCCTAGATTATATTTCTATTTTGCTAGGTTTCTTCCCAATGTTCTATTGTCATTTTAATTTTAACTGATCTGAAAATTCTGTTATAGGATATAAGGAAAGGTCTAAAGCGGTTTCCTAATAGCTTTCCAAATAGCTAAACTACACCCCAACTTGTGGTTATACTGACGTTCTCGTTTATTTTCAATCTACTGCTACTAGCTTTTCTGTTCCTCTGATCTACTGGGAGCTCCAGTTTTTGTGGCTGTTTTCAAAATTCACTTTCTTTCCTTTCTAGCAAGTTCATAAGAAGTTAGTTTCTCAGTTGTCCTCTCACAGCCAGGAGTTTGGATTTCCCATCACGGTTCCCATTTTAGCTCTGCAACTGTCCAGTGTGACCCCATGACTCACAAAGCAACACGGCCCACAATAAGTTCGCAGGCTCTGGAGTCCACCTGTCAACATTTGAATCCATAATCCTACAACCTCTGACAAGCTCCTGTATCCATTTTGGGCTTGCATTTCTCCATTTATAAAAAGGGAAAACGAAGTCACCTACTTCAGAAAGTTCTGAATGAACTAAACAAGATATTTTACTTTAAAAACATAAGGCCTGGCACATAAATGCACAACAAATTTAGTTATGATTTAGTTATGAAACCAAATTCATAATAACAAATTCCGTTATTTCTATTACACAACACAAACTGGCAAAATCAGATCTGATTCCAGATTATCTGTGTACTAATTTAAGGGCATTCGCATTCAATCAAACTAGACTGCTTTCTTGAGGAGAAGAACAGGGACAGTGCAGAAAGGGTCCACCATCCAGCAGGCCATTCTCTCCCTTCAGGAGTGAAAGTATCTGCGTCACGCATGTCTGGGAGTCAAAGGAAATGGGAAAGTGCTCGTTCACCTCACAGTCAACCTGTACCTTAACTTTTAACTCAGCTAGTTACTTCTGGCCTCTCGCCTCTAGCCAACCTCCTACTCCATTGGGACCAGCTTCCTAAAAACACATTTTAGCAGATCACCTCCCCCATTCCTGGCACAAAGAATCTATAATAGACCCACACTATTCACATCTCAGAAAAAATCAACTCTCCTGCGGGGCTTTCAAAGCCAACCCACCATGGGTCATTCTAAAATTCTGTCCAGCCTCTCCAACTTCACAGATCATCCTGCCAGTGACACTTGCTTATCTGCATCCAGTATCCATCCCTTACACTGCACTTCTCATCAGCCAGAAATACTATAGTCAAATATTATAATAAAGTCATGACGAAGATTCCCTTTCCTCTTTCTGAAAACCTCAGTCACAGTGACCAACAGGCCCACCTGTGGCCTCCCTGCACGAATCCTTAAAATAGAACAGCAGGAAGTTGGCCACTTCATTGCACGATTTTAAGTAGGTCACAAAATAAAATTTGTCCAGCCCAAGAGTTCAGAACCTGGGGCTCTCTCAGATCTCTGCCCCGAGCCTCGCTTCCCTCTTACCAGTGTTTCTAGTCCAGACAGTGCCCTTGCTGGCAGAGAGAGGAACCAACAGAAGCTGCCGCCACCAGCAGACCACACGACCTTACTCTTGTCCATCCAAACACTGCTTTCTAAAAAGCCTTTTTAGCCGTGTTCAGGAATTTTCATTCAAAACAACAGAGCTACCACAGCAAGCTGACCCTCCCAAACTCCAAAAACCTGGCAAGTAGTCTCTCCCCACGACCACATTGGCCCCAGTCACACATGGTCTTCACCTCACGACTGTCCTTCACCATCACATCTCACTGTTCAAACTGCCCTGGTCCAAGGTCACCGCAGACATTCATGCCACCAAACCCAGGGAAACACCTGTAGGTCAGCCCTCCGCCTCTTCTGTTAGTCATCTCCCCCTCTCCTGCTCCATGTGACTCGGTAGGGCTGCGACTGTCCGCCAACCTGAACCCATCCTCCTCACCAGGACACAGGGATCCTAACCCAAAAGGAGGGCATTTGGGGAAATGAAATGAGCCCTAAAAAAGGAAAGTTTGCACTTTTGTCTCCTGGACTGGCAGTCCTTAGGACTGGTAAATTTTTACTATAAGCCTAAAACCAATGACCACCTTTGATGGCACATAAACAGTAACAGCCTGAGACTCAAAGAAGCACAGAGGAAAGCAGACACAGAAGGGGTGAAGGGGCTGGGCACTAGAAGAAATGAGCCTGAAGGAGGGAGAAAAGTAAAGACCGGGTTTGAGAAAAACAAGAGAAGGCAGAGCCATCTAGGAAACAGCCTTCTGTATCAATAAATACAAATGTGCATGACTCTTCATGATTGTTACTGTGCTAGATGGAAATAACCTAATCTGATCTCACTCTGGACACATGTAAATTCTTACTTTTAACACATGATAAAACAGAAAACGTATATTACATAATATAAGCATATATAAGCTTATGGGTCAATAGCTATAGTCATTTTTGCAAAATTGGGATCCTATACATCCAGTAACTTAAGGGTAGTTCTACTTACCCACAGAATGATAGGTGCTTGTCTTCAAGTCGTACATACAAATGGCACTTGATGGCCCACAGTGGGCAACATCCACGTTTCCACAGATGCTGATCTTATAAATCATGTTATTTTTGGTATCAACAGCTTCCCATGTATAACTAGAAAGGAAGAAAAACAATTTGTCACTGTCACTGATCTGCCAATAATTAAACTTCTCCCTAGTTTCACATTAAAGCCACTTTTACTCAAGACTACCACAATCTAGAAGACATACTTTCATCAGCCAAAAATACTAAAGTCAAACTATGTTAAGCTGAATAGAAGCCAGGGCACAAACCACTAAATACCACCTCGTTCTGGTTCAATCCGCCCTGAAGCTGCCACAAGACTGACCATCATCAAAATACTTAAATATTCTACAATTTAAGAATATCAACTCTCATAAGTAACTGCTCAAGAATTATGTTGAATATATGATAGTAACCCTTCCAATCACACCAGAATGCTGAAAAGCCAAAGGACTGTTTTTAACTTTATGTTATATAAAAACTAGTTATGGCATGAAAGACAATTCTCTTCTGGTTTCACCTTTTGTGGCTACAGTTCAGATCCAAACTAACAAGAAGAAGTTGTGCAATAAATCAACTACCTGACTCAAAATCAGACAAAATTTACTTTAGCTTGATCCACTCCATCAAGCATTTAACATGCATTAAAACTCACTCTCCATTCAAGCCTCTGGCAAAGTAAATACTAAGTTAATTGTTCAGGAGTCAATCTGCATACTTGGGACAAAATAATGGTTTGTCAGTTCTGTCAAAACAATTATTCTCAATTCTCCACTCTTCCTGGAGAGAATGTTTTGTCCGTTTGTAAAATAGGGGTCATTTCCTCAGCAAGGCTAAAGACAGGAAATGAGGAAAGTAACTAAAAAGCTCCTTGCAAAATGCAAAGATACTGTATTAATTCAACTGCATTGCTGAAGAGAAGTTAAACAGGAGTTGCTCTGGTTCAGCCTACTCGGGAGCTGGCTCGGGGAGAGGTGGCTAAGCCCTGAGACCACTCAGGTGTGGGAGTGCATCTCCCCAGAGCAGTACAGCCTTGATGGTAGAAAGCACCAGCTCACAGAAGCAGCCGTGCTCTTCCCAGAGCCCGCCTTCCCCTGGGCCTCGGGACAAAGACCCGCACAAAACACAAGGCAATGTGGCTTTCCCTGCCTAGAGGCAGCCTTCCCCTCCCCCGACAGCCCTGTCCAGTAAGGAAGGAGCCCCAAAAGTGGGGTTGCTGACAGGCAAGGAGCCAAGCACTCTCCTGAACCTAGGGCTGATCAAATTTACCTGCCGAGAAGCAAAGGGACATAAGCACACGGAAGCACTCGGGCAGAGTGGCCCAACGCTCCCCTGGTTCTGACAGCCGTGGCTGGGAACCTGAAAAACAGGCCGGTGTGCTCCCACAGCGCAGGCCTGGAGGTGACGCTAGAGGTGACGCTAGGCTTGTAAGCGGTTACCACTGAATGTCGCTTTTTTTCAAGTGTAGTTGATATACAATGTTACCTTAGCTTCAAGTGTGCAACACAGTGATTCAGAATCTCTATTCCTTATGCTATGGTCACAAGTACAGCTACCATCTGCCTCCAGGCAAGGCTATTACAATACCACGGACCCTGTTCCCTACGCTGTGCCTTTCATCCCCGTGAAAGGGGATGAAATGGGGAAGCCTGTACCTCCCACTCCCCTTCACCCATTTTGCCCATCCCCCTACCCGTCTTCCCTCCAGCAACCACCCATATTGAACTCAGCTTCTTTATCAGTAACCCCTTATAGTTATCTCCTAAAGGCAGGAAGGCTAAAGGCAAAAGAAAATACCCCAAGTACCACCAGGCATGAGAAAGTCATCAATAAAGGCCTGTTTCCTTTGACCTTCACTAACCTTTATTCATTTGCTTCACAAATATTTAAGGACTTCCTGCAAAGGCACTCAAGGGTGCAGCAGTGATCAAAGCAGACCAGTAAATCCCTGCCCCCCCCCCCCAGTATGTACTGGGGTGGGTGAGGGGGGACAGAAAACAAACAGGTAAACAAATTCACATACTAGTATGCTGAGTTTAAGTGCTCTGGCAAAAACGAAATTGTGAGTGCTGGGAAATGGGCAAGGACCAATTTAGACTGAAAAGTCTTCTGAGACTGTATTTGCCCTGAGACTCAAACAACAAAAAGGAGCAACTCAGGGGAAGACATGGTGGGAAGAATATTCCAGCAGCTGCACTAGCCCCTGCTAGGCCCCGCAGAGGGAATGAACTTACTAGCACCCTGATGGAAAAGAGGGCAGTGTGGCTGGGGCACGGTGGAGCAGGAGAGCAGCAGCAGCGGGGGTGAGGTCCAGGAGATGGGGAAGGCCCACTACATGGGGGGGGTGGGGGTGGGGGGATGTTGCAGATTCAACCACACCGTTTGATTTTATTCTTAAAAAAGGAAGGCCACTCAAACACACTGTGGGTCTTTCCTTAAAATTTTAAGCCAGTGCTTTTATTTGCAAAGTATTAGTAAAGCTTTTCTATTAATTACAGTTAATTAAAGAAAAATGCTAACCTCTTATTCAAGAGCAATGACTACGTTTTTCTGGGATACTAGACAACGAATCGAAAACCTTAAGAGTGGCATGAAAGTGTTTTGCAATCCTAAGTATATGAGAGCGGTACATAAAGGTATCATTTTAGGATGAATCGACTGCTAGGAATCAACTCTATAGAAATCCGCACGGTATCTAAAATGCTATACTTTTCTTAAAAACAGAAATCCACTGCTGATTTTGCAAAGCTGATATTTAAACAAGGTAGCTGTAAAGAGTGTGTATTGAGGGAGCAGAAAAAGAGATAAAAAAAGGAAAATGGGGAATACTGTCTTGATTATCTGGAAATCAGTGTCCCTAGAAAGAAAAGTGTTCCTCTGTTTGATTTCCTTTCTTTCCTGATTTTGCATTTCATAACTGCTTTGTCAAGATTCATCAAAATGGTAAGTGGGCTCGGGAGTGAGGAGTGATGAGGCTATGAAAGTATTTGAGTACTGGCTTTCTCCTGGGGCTTGATATAACCACTTACCACAGGGCAGCCCCTCCGGGCTGGCACCTTCGACGCCCCCCACAACCCCAACCCAAAATACCGGGTGTAGAGTCCTTCATCACAGGAAGGAACGACCATAGTATGTTTCTAATCTATACTACACTAAACTCTGGATGAAAATATTTGCAAGCTGTGTAGAAATGTGGTCTACACACACACACTCATGAGAGTGCACACATGTGCATCTCAAGTGTGTCTCCTAGGTGAAGGTCTCCTGCAGCAAGGCAGGGATGAGAGCCCGGGGGCATTTCCTTGAATCTCTAACACTCAAACCCGTATCAAGTCTTCCAGGTCACTGCGGCTCTACACTACCCCACACCCACTCCGAGGGAAATGACGGGAAATGACGGGACGCAAGGAGGTGGAGCAGGGAGAATCACAAAGGCCGAGGAAGAAGTTGGTCAATGGGAAAAGCACCCAGCTGCCCTGCCCACGGTCCCAGCCTTGCGGAATTCGGCCGACGTCCTTAGAGGAGGCAGCCCGTTCCCAGTAGAACTGCTTTTCTCGACGCACCACCTGTATGAGAACCTTGGCTTTGAAAATGAGCAAAAGCAAGCAAGGTCCGTGCCATTCTACCCCATTTTCCAGCGTGTAGTGTAGTAAGCCGATGCCCCCCTCCAACTCTCAAAAAACCCAAATTCATTTCAGTGCACACCTGACACTTCTAGACATGCGTGTAGACCCAGTAAGTGCCCTGGACCCGCAGCTATGACACCAGCACTACTGACACGGCCCACACACAACGTGTGCTCCTCAGGGCAGTCACAGCCTCCCCCGTCCCCCAGCACTGGGAAGGAAAGCCGCCATGGGCCAGGATGGAGCACGACGCGGCTCTCCCAGCAAAGCCACCCTTCTTCCACCGTTCTGAGCACCCTGGCCCGGGAGCCAAAGATTCCCAGGCTCAGAAGATCGAGCCCCTCACCCCAAGTCATGCAGGTATGGAATGTGCCAGGTCCGTCTGAGCTCCAAGGGAAGTGTTTAACCACCAAGGTGAACTGCCTCATTTACTTTCAATTCTTCAAAGTTTTTTTAACTTCCCAGAAAATAGTTTCAATTACAACACTGCAACTGACAAAATAGTCCACAGAACTCTAGTTTAAATCTTGTCACAATAAACGCCACTAAAATGACAGATCCTGTGCTGCGCAGGCGCCCAGCATGAGCGAATGCACCTGAGGGTGGCCCTTGAGGAAAGGCCGCAAACCTGTGCGAGACGCAGACTGCCCCGGGCCACACTGCCTGAGAGACCGCAACTTTCCCAACTCAAGTTCTCCTCCACACTTTCACACTTCTGCTCTCTACCCCGTCCACGTCTGCCTCTTCTGCATACTCTGAACTGCCAACCAACAAAGGCGCCGCCTTCTGCAAACTCTTCCCTTACCCAGTGCCTTCTAAGGAAGAGTATCACTTCCCTCGGCCCCCTTCCCACAGCTGCCCTCGCCCGCCTGGTGGATCCAAGCTGGTTGAGGGCTTCAATGAGAGGGACACTCATCTGTGACTCACTCTCCCTCAAAAGGAGTACTCGGCTCAGCAGAGAGCTGCCCTTTGATACCCCAACCAAGAGTCCAACAGTGTCACCAGTAACTTGGAAACATCCTACCATCACTCCTTTAGATCCCTTGGGGAACAGGGACGGGGGCAGAAGTCAAACACAAGGCAAATGTCTTTAAGACATCTCTGATTTTAAAGTGAATTCTGCTCCTGAAATATGCCCTAAACGTGGACAATTAATTTCACCATAAAAAGTGAGCACGCAGGCTGAGTCATTCCCTTAAAGGAATCTTAAAACTGTCAGCCCCGACTGCAACTCCTACGGCCTCAGCCGAAAGTGTCTTGGACGACCACAGTCGGTCCGTGTCTGTTCAGTGGCACAGAGGATCCATTTTAACCTCATTTGGTTTAAATTTCATAATATCCTGAAAGGTGTTGGCAGATTACCATGAGAAGGAGGCACACAAGTAGCATACTGTCAACCAAGCCGGAGACAGGAAGGCATTTCGACTTTCCCAACACGGTCCAGCAAAGGCCACATGCACAACC